GAGCCGAGCTGGTCCGACTCGGGTCACTCGATATCAGTAGTATTTCGAAAACACCTCATGATTACCGCAACTCCATAGTTACGTACTGGATTGTGTAGTACTTCAAGAAATTGCCCATCTATTTGAAAGTTTGTCACTCTGAAACACATTTTCCAAACTCATAACTTAGTCATATCAAATGTGATTGTGGAATAGCCGCGACTTAATTGAGTAGATTTTCATCGCATAACCTCCTGCGACGTTCAACGTATCGGTTGGATCTTTTACCTTACATCAATCAGACCACGTAAATATGTTCGCACCGATAAAGTGTTCTTGAATTCAGGGCTCTTCATAAGAACATCCAGACTACATTTGTTGGAAACTCAAATAATTAAAACCGCGTCGTGCCATCTCCTCCACGCAAGAAAGAAATCTAGTTAGGCTCCAATAATGCATGTGTTAGGTGTGAATCATCATTATCTTTATGGGAAAGATACAAAAGAAGGAATCGAAACAGAAACATGTATATAAGAGAGAGAGAGAGAGAGAGAGAGAGAGAGAGAGAGAGAGAGAGAGAGAGAGAGAGAGAGAGAGAGAGAGGTGTCTTAGGGCGCGTTTGGTAACATTTCTACTTCTCTATTTTTCTATTCTTCTGTTCCCTGGAACAAAAAAAGAATAGAAATCTGTTTGGTAACACATTTCATTTTTCTATTTCCTGAAATAGAAAATGGCCAAGAAATAGATTTGGAACAGAAATAAGAAGTAGATTTTTTCTACTTCTTTGTTCCCAGAAACAAAAAAAGAAATAGAAAGGTTCGGTCTTCAAGCCATGGCCTCAGCTCCTCCTCCATCCTCCGTCATCTGTAGATCATCTCAAAGCAACGGTCCAGCCCATTCCCGGCGGAAATAATTAAAAAAAATTCATAAAAAAATTAAAAAATTCCAAAAATACCAAAATTTCATAAAAATCAGAAAAATTCTCAGAAAATCCATAAAAATCAGGAAAAATCAGAAAACCCATAAAAATTTGTAAAATTCTGAAATTGAAAAAATTCATAAAAAAGTTTCTCAAAAATAAAAAGAGACAGATTTTGGGAAAGTAAAAAATTTTAATAAACTTTTCCCCAAAAAAATAAAAAATAAAATATTCACAAAATGGCTTAGAATAAATTAAAAAATTCCGAAAATTCATAAAAATTAGAAAAATTTCAGAAAAATCCCTAAAAAAATTAAAAATTAAAAAATTCCAAAAATTCATAAAAATCAGAAAAATTCTCAGAAAATCCATAAAAATCAGAAAAACTTAGAAAACCCATAAAAATTAGCAAAATTCCGAAATTGAAAAAATTAAAAAAATTTCATAAAAATTTTTCTGGAAAATAAAAAGAAACAGATTTAGGGAAAGTAAAAAATTTTAATAAATTTTACCCAAAAAAAATAAAAAAAATTCACAAAATGACTTAGAATACCTGTGGCCACCCACTTTGAGTGAAATTTAAATTTTTTTAGGTGCCCAAGTGGTATTTTTGAAGATTTCTTAGTTTAGGGATTAAAAGGGGTTTTAAACCCCTAAAAAGGATTAGACAAACCAATAAACCATGCTTATTGATTTTTTTCACTTATAACTTGTACTTATAGTTAAATAAAAGATATAGATTTGAATGCAAAAAATTGGGAATAAAATTTTTTTTGGTTGTATCAAACGCATTTCTGTTCTTTTTCTATTCCAGGAATAGAAATTTTGTGCAGTTACCAAACGCATTCTTTTGCTCAAAAACTCATCCAGGAAATAGAAATAGAAAAAACTATTTCTGAAAAGAAATTGTTCCCAAAAACAGAAACATTACCAAACACGCCCTTAAAGAGAAAGAATCAATCGATTTCGCTTTAGGTTTTGGTTTTGGTTCTTACGTTTGTTTGACATTGATCGTCAGCACCTTTGTAAGGGCATGTGCGCATAGTTCCTTAGAATTATAAATTGTCTAAAAAATGCCTTTCCTTCTTATAGACATCCCCGTCCGATCATCGATACGATATTATTTCCTCTACTCACTGTTCATCCGTGCTTGCATGGCTTCAAAAGCCGTTGCGCTAATTTGATGTTGCGCGAGATTTATCAATCGAGGTAATAGTTCATATCTAAATGATGTGAAGTTAAAGATATATCTAAAAATCAACAGTTTCTGTTTTCACCTCTCTTCACCACTTTACTCTTTGGTGTTTTTATTTACCCAATTCTAGGAAAATAACACAATCGATTTTCAACTTCCTTTTACCAAGAGAAAGAAAGAACTATTCAACTGATAAAACAAACTCATCGATTTAGCTCGCTTTGTTTTTCGATTTTTCCATGACCCCAACCGACCATCACTCAACCGAGATACTAGGGGTTCGGGACACGTCCCATCAAAGCAAAGATACAAGCACTATTACCACAAGTGGATGCAAAATCACGATCCCATGTTCTTCGAATCCAGCCGATGCCACTAGGTCGTCACCAGCCGTGATGACCATATAAGTAGTAGTCACTAAAACCCACATATTGCAAGGACCAACCTTACTTTTAGTTTGGTAGATTTATGGATTTAGAAACAATAGGTACATCTAGCACATGGTACATCATCTGTCACTAAAGTTGGTCACAACCTACCTTTTGACCTCTGATCCAAAAGAGATTCTGAACTACTAGTTTAGTGGGATACATAGTAGATTTGGAAGGTCTACTGAGTCTTTCAAGTCCCACCACTTTGACGCGTAGAGTAAAATCAAACCTTTTCATGTCATTTTAGTCTATTCGAATCGCATCTTTTTCCTTTTATATCTATAAAGAACCTGTTTTTTTTTTGTTACTCTATTGACAAAGAGAGCCACATATTTTTATCCATTTAGACTTTAAGTCATTAACCATTTGAATGTCTTGCAAGCAAAATCATTTTTTGCATCCACAAATTCTTCATTAGTTTAGCTACCACTAAACTGAAGGCATTTTCCATGATTATATTATTTGTAGTTATTTTTTATTTCTTTTCTTTTTTTCTTGCCTGATTTGGAACTGACTTTCCTTTGATCTTTAGTATGTGAGATATTTTGAAAGGTAGAAGCATTGACATTAAAGTCATCTAGAATTTTTCAGTCTTTGAAATATTAGAACATTATTTTCCTCCTTTAAAATTTATAGGAAAAGGAAAAGCTATTTTTTCCTCAAAAAATGTAAGGGCAAACAAACCCTACCGATTAAAATCTTTCATGGATAACGATTTATAGATAATTTTATATTTTTCTTGTGGTATATGTACTCAAAATTGATGCTATAAATATAAAATAGGACTATATTTTTCTTCATTTATAATTGAAGAAAATTTCTTGCAATAACTGATTGGTGAGTTATAACGAAGGTCATCCACATCCGTATCTAATTAAGTTTGTATCCGGATATAATGTCTTTAATGATAACCGCCAACTAGAGACGAGGGGTGAAACAAATATGCATAATTAATTTTCATTCATTGTGCAACATTATAAGCTATTAACAAAAATTATAAATTTAATTTCAAGGAGAAATAGAAAACTTGACATTAATTTTATTTTGTAACCTAATCTAGAAATAAATAATTGAATGGACATTTTGCTATTTGTTCAATGAATATAAACAAACATTTACTTAGAATTCAAAATTCAAAACCAAATGAGAGAAGCATTCTAAATTTCTCACATAGAGTGCAAGGATGAGATGGATTATTGCACTATAAGGAAAATTAAGTAATTTTACGAGGCGCGCTTTCTTAATAATAGTCATGACCACGGTTCGAAACCGGCGGTTCCGGTTCGTGGCCAAGTATGAACCGGAACCGGAACCGCCCATGGCGGTTCTGGTTCCGGGCCGGTTCCGGTTCCGGTTAAGGTTCGGAACCGGTCTATTCGAAATCGGTTCCGGGCCGGTTCATAATTTTTCTTTTCTGTTTTTTTTTCTTTTTCTTTTCCTTTTCTCTTTTTTTTTCTTTTCTTCCTCCGTCGGCCATAGCCGGGGCCGGCGGAGGTCACCGGCCTCAGGCGAGGCCGCCTCGCCGGCGTCGGGCGAGGGCCGTCCTCGCTGGGTGGCGAGGCCGGCCTCGCCCGGATCGGGCGAGGGCTCGACCTCGCTGCGTCGGCGAGGCCGACCTCGCCCGCAACGGCGAGGCTCGACCTCGCCGAACAGCGAGGCCGGCGAGGTCGAACCCTCGCCGGATCCGGCGAGGCTCGACCTCGCCGGCGTCGGGTGAGGCCGACCTCGCCTGCACCGGCGAGGCCGGCCTCGCCCGACGCCGGCGAGGCTCGACCTCGCCTGCAACTGGCGAGGCCGGCCTCGCCCGACGCCGGCGAGGTCGAACCCTCGCTAGATCTGCAGCTTCTTTTTTTTTTTTTTTTTTTTGAACCGGGCCCGGAACCGGCTGTTCCGGTTCCAAACCGCGGGCCCGGGTTTGACCGGGCCGAAACCGGCCCGTGGCCATGACTACTTAATAAGAAAGGGGGTAGTTAATTTCTTTATTTTATCTTTTCCTAATTTTTTTCATCAATTTTACATTTTTTTCCTCTTTGTTTTACGTTTACAAAAACAAGTTTGTAAATGTTAAATGAGAAAAAAAAACATATTTTCGACTTAAATATATAGATTTTCACTGCTCAACGTGAAATAACCTGTAGCTGTGACAATAAGGGTGAGCACAGTTCCAGGGTAGAACTGGAAACCGAAGAACCGAACCAGTGGGTTCGGTTCGGTTCCCGGTTCTAGGGTGGGAGGTTCCAATTTCGGGTTCCAATTTTTTAGGAACCGCCGGTTCCGATTCCTGGTTCCTATAGGAACTGGAATCGAGGAACCGGGAACCGGACTCGGAATCGAAACCGGAACCGGAACTGGCGCTCTCTCTCCTACTAAAAAGTAAAAACCCTAACTTTCTTAGTTTCTTCCCAAATTTCCCCTCTCGCTCGGTCGCTCCTCCGTTGCGCTCTCTCTCCCACTCCCAACACCCACGACTTGACGAGACCCTCTCGCCTCTCCTCGCTGCGTTCGGCGTCCGCCTCGGCTCTTCCTTTGTCTTCATCAACCGCAGTTCGGCTTGCCCGCGGTCTCTGCTTTTTCTAGGGTTTCCGATTCTGGCTGGAGGGCGCAAGAAGGAGCGAGCAAGGACAAGAGTAAGCGTCAGTTGAGTTTGGGCGATCTCGTTCTTGCCAAAGTCAAGGGCCACCCTGCTTGGCCTGCCAAGGTTCGCGCTTTTTGCTCTGTATTCCCTTTGATTGTTTCATGTTTTTCTCATTTTTGTTTGGGTGTTCAAGCGCAAGTTTTTACTTGTCTTTTTTTTTTTTGCCTTCTCGTGGTTGGAAAATGGTTTAGTTTGATTTAATTCTGCTTATGTTGTGAAGTGAATAGGTGGTCAGTCGTTACGTTTGGGAAAGCTGGTCTTTTTGGATTTTCTTACTTGCTCGCACTGTCTACTGTTTCTGCCCGGCACTTCGGAAGTGAACCTTTCTGGATGTATGTATGTGTTTCTTTGGATTAGTTGGAAATAGAGGTAACTGAGGTTTAATTTTGCTTTTTTGGGTTTTCAAAACTGAATTGGCATATCCAAGCACTGTTTTTCGTGCTTTACCTTGTGGCTCACCAGTGATTTAGGTTTGCCTCTGAGCTATTTAGTTAGATCCGAAGTAGCCTTTTGTCTTCATGGTTTCTGATTGAAGCCTGATACTGTATAGATACATTGATTTTATTGACCATCTCAGTGTGATGCGGTGCGCATCTTTTGTATGATGGTTGCTCCGTGAATGATGATTGTTTTTATGTCTTCAGATTAGTAGGCTAGAGGATTGGCACCAGACTCTTGACACGAAAAAGCACTTTGTGCATCTCTTTGGAACACAAGAGATGTAAGCTCACAAGCTGCCTGTACCACTTGTTTATTGATGTCTGAGTAGTTAGCTTAATGGCTTTATTGAGTTTTGTGTATAGTTTCATTCCTTTCATGCAGTAACTGCAGTATCGTGTTCATGAGCGGCTCTCTCTCTCTGGTTTTTTTGGTAAACCTTAAGGTTATTAGATTGGCCCAGTTCATCCACTCCCGGTCCCTCATGCCCCTCTTCTCTAAAGAAGCAGACACTAGCACAGACAGAAGAATGGAAGGGCAATTTGTTGATTAGAATCTCTTCCTTCTAGCACTTTGCCTTATGCCATGCTTTTGATCTTTTCTTTTTAAAGTATATCTCTATTGTCCCATAGGAAATATCTTCTGATGAACCGTAGAAAAAGCAGGTTGTATTCTAGCCTTAGTCATTAGTACGAGCTTTTGATTTGAGGAGTGAAGTCACCCATTAGATCAAAGTGTGAGTCATAATTCATCTATACTCTTTAGATACAATTGAAGAGTTGTCTTCTTTTCTATGCAACTCCTCTACACGCTATAATCTATTGGTAAAGGAATACTGTATAAAGATGAAAGGACATGTAAAGTAAAGGTTACAGATTGAGCCTGCTTGGTTGTTACACTTGCAATCACTTGTATAAGTGATGATCATTTCTAGCAATACACTGTGGATTTGTTATTTTGAAACTGCAAGTAGTAAAATTCTTAATCTTTAGCTATGGAGTGTCTTGATGAGGAGATTATCGTCGATAAATAGAGTTTACCAGTTGAAGAATGAATATATGTGATGAGGCTTTCTAGTACTTATTTTATTTTACTGCTTTAATGGCCAGAAGTGTTCTTTTATAACAATCTGCATTAATGAAATTGTTTATTTATCGCCATGCCTGTCTTCATGGATATGCATGCCACTATTTAATCTTTTAGTGATGCTTTTGAGGTTCATCTGCTTTGAGTGTATAAAAGTGTTATGTCGAAAACCATAGACTTATTGGGTCCAATCTATTATTGTAAATGGACATTATTTTCTCACCAGTGCCTTTGGCGCAGTTTCTGTATTTGAGTGTGGCTCGATGCTATGATTGTTATCACATGACCTCTGCTTTTTACTTTTCTCTGTGCAAACTGGCATACATACTTCTGGATAGCATTCATTCCATTCATTGTGAGTTACCTGTTCTGTTCCCCTTAAATTTATTGCGCATATCTATCTTCATGGTAGCCATTTATGTAAAAGCAAATATATGGCTGTGATTAATGAACTAAAAATGGAAAATATGAAGCAGGTGCTGGAAAGCTCTTTCTAAATTGTGTTTTCTGCAAGTATGGGTGAAAATTTTAAATAAAAATTTGATGGAGAATCTAACTGAGTTTGTCACTTAAAAGGTCTTTTAGTTAGGATTAACTCTCATGTGAGGATGGAATGATAGGCCACATTGAGAATGTGAAGTGTTTTTGATGTTTTAAGATTCAACAATTTGGTTGGTACTTAAGAAAGTGGTTTTAATGTTCAACCAAAAGAACAAGAAAAGAAAGTGGTTTTAATGGGTTATGCCCATAACAACCGCTCCTGTAAATGCCGTTTAATTTGGATGAAAGTGATAGATTTTCCCTGAAGAGTAGTCGGTGTGTTGGACTAATATTGAAAGAAGTCCATGGTTTTATTGGTAACTTTGCTTTAGCCTTTAAGGATGCTATTTTTACTCTTTGTTGATAAGGGATGTGCCGTGAGCCATGTAGGCTGCTGGATTTGCTTCGTCCTTATCATGTTATTATTGTTAACATTCCGCTTCCTGTTTGACCCAATTATCGACGCTCAGTTTCTATGTTTCTCCTCTTTCTACCTTGCTTTTGTTGTCAGTGGTTCTCTTGGAGGTTTGATTGCTACTACACAACTAATTCCTTTCAGTATTGCAGGAGGTGGAGGAGCTTGGAGGAGCAACTTGTTTTGATGACCAGAAACAAAAAATTTTCTACTTTGGAGGAGCTTGGAGGGGAGCATGTTTTGTACTTTTTGTTGAGAAAAATGTGGCATCTTGCCTTGGAATTAAAGTCATGTGTTGCATCCCAACAATTACTATTTGTACGTTATATCCTCTTTCTATTAAGCGAAATGTTACTTTCCAATAACTAGCCATTGTTGCATTTATTTTCGTTTTGTTTAACTAAAAATGAAATTAAAAAAGAGAACCTGTTAGAACCTGGAATGACTTGGAACCTGTGACAGGGTAGGTTCCACATTCCACGTTCCGACGGGTAAGTTTCAGGTTTCAAAAAATGAGAAACTTGTATCCCAAGATAGGTTTCAGATTCTAGGTGAAACCTGAAACCGCTTATCCCTACGTGACAATTACGTTCACTAAAAAGATTATGCCTATCTAAATTTACGCAGACTTCTTCGTCATAAAAAAAGAGAAAAACTACTATAATATTTTATACGATTTTACTTAATGAATTTATATCTCTAATGCTCTCTTCGCAATTTATTAAAACTACATATCTCAACTGTGAGGGCTTTTCCTTGTACGCTTTTTTATCATGATTGATAAAATTGATGGCGTCTGTTCGGGTGAATCATGAGTTTTGCTCATAACTTTCCTGTCAAAATAAAAGAGGATTTAATATTATTTTGTACTTTTAAACATTTGAGGCATTTAACATTAATTAAAATCAAACTTCAGAGCTAAAAGTCATCCCAAACAGACCCGAAACAGTAGGTAACGTATAAAAAGCAACTGAAGCAAACATAAAGCTGCATGAGAAATTATAAGAAATCAAGCAAGATAACGCTTTTTCCGCACCTCAGATTCACAGATCAGATCAGCAATGCTTCAAATATAAGCAAGCCAGCAGCAGCAGGTATATTTCAACAACAGCAGGTTTAAACAGGGATGTGTTTTGAAGAACGAAACAGAGTTAAATACAGAACAGAATCTGCAAGACTTCGTGTCCGCGATGAAATCCCACACCTACCCATATATACAAATGCACCGAGAATTATCTCTTTACTTCCATTAGTGTTGTGGATGTGCTTATTTATCTAATGAAAGGACACTCAGTAATCAAACTGTCATTTCCAGATCACTCCCACCTCATGATTCCTACGAACATAGTGAAATGTTTGGATTTGAAGAGCTAGAGAGGCCACAGAGAAGACAGGCGGCGACTCCTTCCATGGGTTTGCCGAGCGTTCCCCATTCCATTATGACTACTACCATCACTTCCCTGAGCAGGCATCTCAAAGCGGCAAACCGGACATGAATTGTGCCGATTTAACCAGGGGATGATACAATCAGAGTGATAAATATGGTGGCAAGGCATCATCCTTGCTTCTGAGCCCAACTCGAATTGCTCTTTGCAGACAGGGCAATCTGCATCGGCATGTAGATGCGTCTGGGTGATTTTGATGGTCGGCATTGCATCGATTGCAGAACGAGGTGCAGGGGCTGGACCTCTCTGGTCATTCAGAGATATAAATTCGATCAGTTCTTCCAGTCCTGGGCCCATAAAATAATCATCGAAGTCATTGTCCCTCGGTCCGTTCGCTCTACGCTGGTGCAGGGAGGCCGAATCGAGTATTTGACCGTGAATTGACATGAAAGGACCGGAAGGAATGGTGCCCCGTGTTTCTTCTGGAACTGAATTGAGATGCCTTCTAACATCAAAGTTGGGATTTCGGCCAGCAATTGGCTCTCTCATCATTGAACCAGTAGTGCCCCTGAATCCTCTTCTTGAGCCAATACCACTTTCTCTCATTAACGCATACATAATATCAAACATATGAGGCATTCCGGGAGGAATGTCCCCAGAGTTAGGCAAGAAATATTCTTCAGTAGGTGAGCCATTAATTTCGGTCAGTTCCTGCACGAAACCTCCATTGCAAAAAGGGCAAATTACTTCTTGGTTATGAAGACCGATTGGCTGCCTGCACTGGTAGCACCAATGTGTCTCCTCTCCATCAGACATTGTGCTTGTTACCTAAAACTGATTTAAAACAAGCAGAAAGTTTAACTTCCTTTCGCAAGCAACAATTAATAGCTTTACAGCAGCTAAAGATTAGATCAGTTAAAAAAAAATTACATAGAGGACCTGTTTCTCTATTACCACAAAAAACGACTTTCCATGACAGACAAAATATATGTTGATTAAAGCTACACATCAGAAGCCTAAACCAACTAGAAGAGAAGCTCCCAAGATTCCAAAACTTGGAACTGAAATTGTCAAATTGCATTTGCGCGATTCAAGAAAGCACTGTTGATTACCTGATATACCTATGGTAGGAAGTTCCAGAGGTCTACCTATATAAGGCGGGTTTAGAAAAGATTGTATATCAAATTTGTCATCATGAACCAACGATTGCAGTACATGAGCACTTAGGAAATCTTCTAAGAAACAAAGCAAAAAAAAAAGGCAAATACATTCTGATTCTTTAGCTAAGCTAAGAACTTGTCGCTGCATTCAGCATGAATCCTTAAAGTTGTCCACAGGGGCTGAACAATCACGAGTGGCAACTCAGCAAATATAGAAATTGATGAACAAACGAGACCATGCACATAACCTTGTTCTCTTTGAGAAGCTAAAGTTTGTGAATTGACAACAAGAGAACAGCAGGTAGAGACCAAAACAAAGAATCACAGCGCATCAAAAGGAGATGCGCTATAATAGAATCACAAAGAGAAGAAACACGAGGGAAGCACTCCAATCATCAAAGCTCACAAAAGAACTCAAACCACTTTTGCCTGTTTCACCAACTGAATGAACGAAACAAAAAAATATCCGAGTATTGGGCAGAATTCAGTTGTATCCTAGAAAGACAAACCAATCAATTACAAAGAGAAGTACTGAAATCGACCCATCCTCAGCTGGAAACAAGGAAAAAGCAGAGCTTGATCAGCAAAGGCCATACCGCACGACACAAAAGCCTACAAAATCAAGATTCATCCCAAGATACACCGAACCCAGAGACAGCCAGTGGATCGATCTTCGAAAGCAGCGATCGGACGCCGATCAAAGAGCAATCAGAACAAGAAAGAAAAGAAAGAAAAAAGAAAGACCCACAAGCCGCAACAAGCTTCGCATGCCGACGAATGGGAAGAATCTTCATTTCCCGATGCAGAACTCACAATCCAACAAAAAGGGGGAGAACACGGTGCATGATGGGTAATCGAGCGAAGAGGAGAGGAGCTGCCAGAGAAGCTTACCGAGCGCGAGCAGGACCGAGGCGACGAGGGATTCGGAATTCTTGTCGCAGGAAAATGGATCGACAGAGAGAGAGAGAGAGAGCTGCGAGATGAGAGATGAGCCTCGCAGCTTCGGCAGAGACCAGCTGTGCAGCTCCACCCACACAACACAACAGAGACAGAGACAGAAACAGAGAGTGAAGGTCAAGTCGTATGTACCTGTGCCTGAGCGTGGAATCTTCAGTATCTTGATATTTATTTTAACTTTTATTTTTACTACTATTTTAACCAATGGGTTAGTTTCGACAAAAAAAAAAAAAACACCAATGGGATAATATCAAAAAATCTCAAATCGATACACTTATGACGAATTTATCCCGAACTAATTTTTTAACCACCAAAAACCTCCCAAACTAGTACACTTGTGATAAATTTACCCTCCGTTAAATTGGTTAATACCACAAAAAATCATAAATTAGGGGTAATACTCTAAACCGGTACACCTGCCAACTGCGATGTGTCATCCGACTTGGTAATTTGATGGTAAAATTTAACTAAAACTAACGGAAGATAAATTTATCACAAGTGCCCCAATTTGAGATTTTTGGTGATAAAAACATTAGTTCGAGGTAAATTTATCACAGGTATACCAGTTTGGGAGTGTTCGGAGTATTAACCCAGGCCATCGACTTGTCCATTTGTTCCGACTTATGAAAATTATTATTTGTTAATTATACTTTTTATTCAATTTTATCAAAAAGATCAAAATTTATGAAGTTGTGGGATTTTTTAATAAAAAAATAGAAATTGCTCTTGATAGACATACCTTGTTAGTGTTATCAATGGACTTCGTCTCAGGTACTTTCCGGAAAAATGTCCAAAAAAGTCCTAAACTTGTCGCATTCTTGCCAATTCAGTCGTGAGCCTTTTGATTTTGCTAATTGTGCCCTAAACCTTTTCAGTTTTCATGTATTGTCAATTGAATTCATCTGGCCAAATTAAGTCGAAAATTCATGATGTGGACGCCAACAATTCTACGTGGCACAACTGGCGCTGACGTAGATATTTTTAATATTTTTATTTTTCCTTTTTCTTTTATTTTATTTTATTTTATTTTGTTTGTTTTTTCATACCTTATCGCCAGCCACAGGTGAGGGCTAGCGATCCAAGCAAGGGCCGACGATGGTCCGCCAGAAGTGAAAACAAAAACAAACAAACAAAAAGAAAAGAATAATAAATAAAAAATAATGTTGAAAAATTATTAAATTATTATTAAAAAATGTCCACGTTAGATCGGACGTGCCATGTAGGACGGCCAACGTTTACGTCATCAATTTCCGGCTTAAATTGGTCGGATGGACTCAATTGATAAAATGTGAAAAGATTTAGGACTGAATTGTCAAAATTAAAAAATTTGTGACTAAATTGGTAAAAGTGTAATTATGACTTTTTGAATAATTTTTCCTGTAATTTCCCGTAACCAAACAAACTGATCGTAGTTAAATTTTGACTCAAGAGCTGGCTTGGAAAAGTGCACATGAAACTGGAAATTAAAATTGGCATTAGACTACATGATAGTTGGAGCAGAACAAGTGTCCTCAATGTTCTCACGGCACTCGTTAAGTATACGTTGTTTGGAATAATTCGATTTTCAAGGCACTTATCAATTGTGCACAACATGAGCACAATCGATGCATTGAAACCGTACAGTTTTCTTAATTGGTTGCTCAATAAGTATATCAAGACACTATTTAAATCCGTTGTAAAAAAAATCCTAGCTAGTGTCGCAAGGCTCTTGTGCCTTCTCAATCACTCTTGACTTTCCTTAAATTCAAAGATTTAAAACTTTTGACATGTAAATTCACGTATGATTTCTTCATTTTTTTAAAAAAATTAGATAATATTGTGAATTTTGACGGAACGGCAAATTTTTTTCTCTTTTTCTTTTGTTCAGTCCTTTACAAACAAGCCAAATTGCTGATCTAATGACCGGCAACGAGCGAAATTGCCATGCGTGTCTTCAGGTATTACTAACGTAAACTACGACCACAGTGGCTCTCAAAAAGTACCATCAAGGCAACTGTCAATAAGCGATACGATTATTACAGTCCTAGGAACACAAAGGAAAAACATAGGTATGAGATGTCTGCAAAACAAAACATGAGCTTGATCTACCATGCACAACTACAATGTATATCTAAGTTTCAGATATGGCCAATCTCTCTTTCTCCTTTCCTAATGCTGGTCGTCAACTCTTCCTCTCATGATGACTCGAGTACTTTCATCTTCTTCTTCTTCTGGCCAATCTCAGGTTGGCCTCGGATTCTCTTCATCAGAAATTCGAAGACCATCTGTCTATTTGCTCGACGTAGCTTCCGGTACCTCGCTACCATGTACAGTCCATCATATGTGAAGGTGTGATCCCTATCCTTCCGGATCACTCTCACCGGCTTGTTTCTCTTCATGCTGTTCACTAGAGCTAAATTCCCACGAGTAAGCTTCTGATCTTTGGCCTTCTTGTGGTGACCGGGCATTCCACCCTGGCCCAAATAAACCAGCTCATCGGGTGTACTCAGATTATCTGTATAATCCCAGGAAGCGACAACACTTGTGGCTAGAATGTTTGGGTGACGTCCCATGTAATCGATGCCACTCTGAGGAGGGCGATGGAGCCCAACAACAACGAGTTCCATCCTGTAATAGAAGTTGTCTCCGACTTTTACTCCTGGAACATCACCGATAAATTGCATGGCACTGTGGACGTATCCTCGTCTTTTCTGTACTTCTTTTGCAGCATGATAGTCTATTCTCCTAATGCATGTGTTCTCTTTACCTGCTTTTGATTTTTCCCGAGAGAGCTCGCGACAAATATCTCTGTAGAACCTTAGAGTTGCGATGACCCTCTCTCTGGCCAAATCATGTCCGTCATTGCGTGTGAAATTCGCATTTCTAAGCTGAGAAAAGGAAGGGTTTGCTCTCCCAATATCTGATTTTGGAACAATGCGCAAACTTTTCGAGCTATTTGGTGTGCTTTCCCCTAAGTAGTTCCCAATGTTGCACCTGTCAAGAGACTTTCTTTTAGAACCTCTGTCCTTCATAGTAGGGGATGCACCGGGAGGACATTGAACACTCTTCTCCGCCTCTTTGATTATTATTGGGGTTTCTCTATTTGATTTGTTGACGATGTCGCAATGATGGTAAAGGAAGTTCTCTTTTCTTAGGTATTCCTTATCTGTCGTACTCCTGGAAGATGTTTGAGATTTTACTTGTGATTGTGACCCTGCTTCATTCGGACCAACACCTTGACTATCAGCATGATCCTTGTTCCTTCGCCATTTGAAGACACGTGCAGTCGCTGAGCTCTTGATTGAAGGGTTGCAAGATTTGTCGGGAATGAATTCTCCTACAAGGTCATTTACTCGGGCACGACTTCCGCATCCTGGAGGGAAATCTCTACGAGTCAAGGAGCACTTCTCAGGGCGAGAATCTCTAGTCATATTCTTCATCAAAATACTGCTCTTAGAGCCATCGAAAGGTGATTGCCCCTGCAAAGCACATTTTTTCTCATTTCCACGCCATATGACATCATGTGCATTCATAGAGCTCTCGACCGAATCATTGGCAGATTTATCAGGGATAAATTCCCCTTCTTCTATGCTTTCTGTCTCGATTTTGTCCTTCCCGTTCTCCATCATACCAGAATGGTCTTGCTTCAAATTGGTTGTCGTGGAAGGAAATAGTGCTTGTTGATGCTGTGCAAGGCTATGAAGAGGGGCGTGACTTCTGCATCCTGCAGGTAAACATGACACTCTTTTCCAGACTAGATTGTCTAATGCTTTTCATCTGAGTATTGCTCCTGGAGTCAACAGAACCTGATCGAGACTGCAAAATATGTGTGTAACCGGAAGAAGATCCTGAAGTTGGAAAAACAGTTCTGACAGCAGGAACATTCCTAGGCAGGGCCTCCATTGACAGCTCCACCGTCTTGTGATTCAATCTTCTCTTTAGGTTCCCCCATAAGCTCTGCCGCTGGTGAATTCCACTAGAATGCTGTTGAAAAACATAATGAACAGAATAAATCACCATAATAGCACTTGTTTGTAATTCTTAAGGTTATCACCAAACTTGCGTATCTCTTTTTAGAATAGTGTCTGGATTTTGTTGCCAAAATAGCCATATTCAAACTTTGTAACAAACGAAATGATAGATGGTATCTTGGATAGATGATAACCTGGCAAAACAAATTACATATGCTTGTTGACAAAACAAGTAGCTGCAACAAACTTGAGCATGCATCTCTACTCCATGAATGTTTAAATGATGTTGAAAAACATACCAGTTAAGTAGTCAAAAAATGAGTAGAAGTTAACCATAATGATCACCCGGCAGTTATGCAACTAAGAATTAAAGTGACAGAGAACAACTTATGTTTGACAGTCAGACTACGCTCTGCACATTACCTGCCTCACAATAGTTTTCGCTGCTACCGTGCAACGTCTGGACAAACAAGAGAATCCAAAGGCGAGGAGCCTTCAATCAATCGACCCGTCACTCGTTGCTTGCAACGCTTGCTCAAAGTTCCATTTGGTTCCTTTTAATAATTGAAGGGAGTGAGAGCCGAGGCTCGACTGCCGGATTGCATGAAACATCCTACAAGCCCCATGAATCGGTTAAATTCAGACTTTTGATATGGTGGCCTTGACTCAGGACAGTTTGCACATAGTTGTCGATGTGCTCAATAGAAGCAATGTGGGATATTTCAACAAGATTCATTAGAAACAACACTCCAAAACAAGATTAGGCCATATGCAGAGCAGATGAATGACTTACCTATATCGTTTCTAACGAGAAACGAACGCCGTGAGCCAAAGCAAGCCAAGCCTCAAAACCTGAAGGTGGGAGCAAAATGATCAAACCATAATAGAAAAGTTCCTTTTAGTCTAGAACTAATGAGGCGTCTACCAACAGGGCCATCTTACTTCAGAAAGTATCTGAAGCCTCGTTCTTACTAAAAGACAAGGAACTAAGCCTATCTCACAATGAAGTAGCAAACATCAACAAAGAATGTCAGGAGGTCACCTATCCTGGTAGTGCTCTAGCCTGTCCTTACGTCAAAAGGCACCTTCATGAGTTAATTCCAGTTTCATTCTCGCTCTGATAACATATTGTGACGCCCTAGAAATAACTCACCGCTTTAGCCTATCCTATACCGAGGCTCACGGTTTTGTCCCTTGGCATACAACCAGGCACTTTCCTAGGAGGTCACCCATCTTGATAGTGCTCTAGCATGGGCTCGCTTAACTTTGGAGTTCCAAAGCAAAGCTTATCTTACGTCAAAAGGCGCCTTCGTGAGTTAATTCCAGTTTTCACATATATATCTCATAATTGCTCTCCCCCGATTCAATGCACAGTTCGGTTCATTCTTACCCTCTTTACTATCCTAGAAGCCTGTCAAGAGCCGCTCTTTGTCTAGGCCCTTTAACCCCGACGACCACTCCCCGCCTTGATCGGACCGAGTCGTTACATACACAATGCAGAGCAAGCGACGATTTATCGTCAACCTTGGATTACATTTTTGCTTGAGTTGCCGCAAAAAAGTATTCACTTGTCACTTTTTCTGATAGACATGAAATTTGCTAAAAAGTTGGCCCCGTGAATATGCTTCTGATAGTATGTTCTAAATCATGAATCATGATACCTAGAAACAGAATCGATCTGATCAAACTCACAAAATTCAAATCAATCACTACACAAAACCATTTCCACGACCCTAATGATAGATAATGGAGATGTAAGTTTAGCCAGAGAAGTTCCTAGCTGTCGGAAGCAAAACGAACGCCACGAGCCGAGAAATAAGATAAAGCCTCGAGACCTGAAACTCTTAAAAGACAATCACATCCTAAACAGCCATGGAAGCACAAGAAGAGAAGGTCCCGTCGAGAAGAAATGAGCATGCATGACGGTAGCTCTGTTTTGCCTTTTTCGCTCTTACCGAGTGAAGCGACAAGTCGCCGAGTGGGCCGAGTCACAAGTTTTGTGGAGCTGACGAGAGGCATGCCAAAGGAAATTGACGGCCGTGGTTAAGAGCGAAGAAGCTAGCTTCAACCTCTGCAAAATCTTCCGCTGAAATAGTCTGGGAATAGCACGAGCTTCTCTCGCTCTCATATACCGCATGCAGAGGTTGGTACAGCTATGCAACACATAATCTGTTTCGTACAACTCCCATTTCAGTGCATTTACATGAATAAATAGATTAATATATATGAATAAATTCATATTACGTCCGACGATTTGCATTTTAGCCCGCCTCTTACTTCCTTACCATCAAGTACAAGGAAAACAAGGTACAACTCGAATTCCCTCACCGATCGAATATTTTTTTTCTCTATCCATGTATGATCTTATCTGTGCCTTATCTTACATTAAATGAGGCGGAACAAGGCGTCCGTAGGATTTTCCATACAACCGAGATACAGTAAAGCATCTCGAATCCGATCCGTCCATTCAAGTTCCGAATTTGGACTAAGAAAAATTTACCTTCAGGTCGCTTCTTACCTAATGTGGTACGAGATATTATTTGTAAGTTCAACTTACTGTTTAACAAATTATAATTAATCTCGTATTTTTGTCTGTCCATTCACATTTCGATCGGGCGCTTAGTTGTTAGAGTAATTAAATATTAAACGACGCTTTCATCCAACAGCTTAAATTTTTAAAACAGTTAAAAGTGGTCCCACCAAATTTCACATGGTATGAGAGCATATCTTCAAAAAAAATCGATCCTTAACCATGGCTTCCACCAATCTTAAGTATCCATACCCTGGTCTTTGACATTAGCAATTTTGTGTCATCGAAACTGACACAAACAAACTTTTCTTATTGAAGAGCCCATATGCTTTCACTAATTGAAAGTCAAGATCTGATAGGATTCATTTATGGCGAGTACTAGATGCCGAGTCCAACAATATTCACCCCCTCTGATTCTGGAAAAGAAGCTAGAGTCTCAGAGGAAGTGACAAATCCAGATTTTTTACAATGGAGAAGGTTAGATTGCCTTCTGTGAGGATGGATTATTGCGACGCTCTTCAAAGAAATTCTTGCTCAAGTAGTAGACTTGAAAACATCTACTGAGGTGTGGTTAGCTTTACAAAATATTTTTGCCAAGGTATCTTAGGAAAGTGAAGTTTCAATTTTTATACAAATTAAAAAATGTCATAGAGATAATTTCTCATCTCTTCACGAGTATCTTGGTACTTTTCAAAAATATTTTAATGAGTTATCTGCTATCGGATGTCCCCTTGAGGACAAAAAGAAGGGTCTCTTTGTTTTGAATGGCTTAGGTGATCAATATGGTTCATTTACAACCTCCATGTTGAAGCCTCCAATACCGATATTCTCTGACCTAGTTTCGCAACTGCAAAGCTTTGAGAGTCAGCTCATAAATAAAAGTTCCCTTGTAATTCAACACGAGATGGCTTTCTCACATTAGTTACTTAATTCACGTGTTTCATGGGCTAGGAATTTATATACTTCCTCGTATTGACGGAATAAAAAAACAAAAAGAGAGAAATTTATCACGAAAAGAGAGAAATTCAGGAAAAGTAGTTATCTGCATAAGAATTCGCAAAGCGTACACAACCAAACGAACGAGGAAATGGAGAGAAACAGTTTGGAAATATTCCCTCGTGCTCATAAATAAAAGTTCCCTTGTAATTCAAAACGAGATGGCTTTCTCACATTAGTTACTTAATTTGCGTGTTTCATGGGCTAGGAATTTATATACTTCCTCGTATTGACGGAATAAAAAAACAAAAAGAGAGAAATTCAGGAAGAGTATTTATCTGCATAAGAATTCACAAAGCGTACACAACCAAACGAACAAGGAAATGGAGAGAAACAGTTTGGAAATATTCCCTCGTGACTCCGATCTTTGAATTTCGGGAAAATTGTCCAAAAAATCTTAAATCTATTGCACATTTGCTAATTCAATCCTAAACCTTTCAACTTTGCCAATTGAGTTCTAAGCTTTTTCATTTCTTGACAATTAAGGCTGCGCATGACAACTTGCCAAACAGTGTTTGATTCTGTTCTTTTGTTCCCAGAATCAGTTTAGGAAAAGAAATGCGTTTGTTTAATTTTTTGATTTTGGGCACAATTTTGTCAAAAATTGTTCCCAGAATCAGTTTTCAAGAATAAAAAAAAAGTAGCTTCTTGATTCTGGGAACAATTTTGAGAATCAATTTTTTTTTCTTCTTCCTTTTCTTGGTTTTTAATGTAGCTTCTAATGTCCAGCCCAAGGACCGCCCTCGCCGGATCTGACGAGAATAAAATATTTTAATAAAAAATATTTTACCGGCCATGGCCGGCGACCAGGCCATGGCCAAAAAAAAGAAAAAAATTATTTTTAATAAAAAATATTTTACCTGCCATGGCCGGTGACCAGGCCATGGCAAGAAAAGAAAAAAATTATATTTTTAATAAAAATATTATTAATAAAAAATATTATTAATAAAAAAAATATTTTACCGGCCATGGCCAAAAAAAAATAAAAATGTATATTTTTAATAAAAATATTATTAATAAAAAAAATATTTTACAAGCCATGGCCAAAAAAAAGAAAAAAATATTTTACCAGCCATGGCCGGCGACCAGGCCATGGCCAAAAACAATAAAAATATATATTTTTAATAAAAATATTATTAATAAAAAAAATTTTGCCGGCCATGACCCAAAAAAATAAAAATGTATATTTTTAATAAAAATATTTTAATAAAAAATATTATTAATAAAAAATATTTTACCGGCCATGGCCGGCAACCAGGCCATGGCAAAAAAAAATAAAAATATATATTTTTAATAAAAATATTATTAATAAAAAAAATATTTTACCGGTCATAGCCGGCGACCAGGCCATGGCCAAAAAAAAGAAAAATACTTTTAATAAAAATATTATTAATAAAAAAATATTTTACCAGTCATGGCCGGCGAGCAGGCCATGGCCAAGAAGGAGGAAAAGAAAAAAAGAAAAGAAAAAAAAGAAAGAAATATTAAAATATTTAAAAATATTATTAATAAAAAGAAATTTTGTAGCGTTACCAAATGCATTTCTGTTCTTTTTCTATTCCAGGGATGGAATTTTGGGCCGTTAACAAACGCCTTAAAATGCTCAGAATCAATTCCGGGCACAGAATAAAAAAGAATCATTTCTGAGCAGAATCTATTCCCGGGAACAGAATCGTTGTCATACGCAGCCTAAGTCTATCCGGTCAATTTTGGCCGGAAATCACTGACGTGGATGCCGGACGGCCACGTGGCACTTACGTGGACATTTTTAAATAATATTTTAATAATTTATTATTTTTTTCTTTTTTTTTCCTTTTCTTTGTTTTTTTTCTAGATTTTGAAATTAGGGTCGGCATGGGCGAGGGCCGGTCGACCCTCGCCGGCATGGGCGAGGGCCAGTTGACCCTTGTCGGCTTTGGGCGAGGGTGTTGCGGCCCCCGCCAACCAAAGCGAGGGCGCGCGAGCCCTCGCCCAGATCCGGCGAGGGTCACAACGCCCTCGCCTGGCCAGATCTAGTGAGGGCATCGCGACCCTCGCCGGATCTGGGCAAGGGCTCGTGCGCCCTCGCTTTGGCCGACGATGGTCGCCGGCCATCGCCCGTGGCCAGCAAGGGTCGGTCGGCCATCCTCGCCGGCCCTAACTTCAAAACTCAAAAAAAAAATAAAGAAAAGGAAAAAAAAAGAAAAAAAATCATAAATTATTAAAATATTATTTTAAAATATCCACGTCAGCGCCACGTGGCCGTCCAGCGTCTACGTCAGTGATTTTCAGTCAAAATTGGCCGGATGGACTCAATTGGCAAAGTTGAAAGATTTAAGATTGAATTGGCAAAAGTTCAATAAGTTTTGAACTTTTTGGATAATTTTCCATTTGAATTTCTGCCTGATGACATTGATTTTCATGCTTCAGAAGGAAATTGCATTGAAATCAAAGTGAGTTTTACTTTTTCCATTTTCGGTACTCGTCATTAAAACTAATAAAAGCACAAATCAACGCGTTTTACAGATTAAAAAAATTATTTAAAAAAGTGAAGGTCAAGTATCTTCAGTATCTTGATATTTATTTATTATTTACTGATCAAACGAAAGGGTTCGTTGATTATACTTTTTATTCAATTTATGAAAAAGATCAAATTATGAAGTCGTGAGATTTAAAAATAAAATAAGAACCGCGCTTTTTCCGCTCTTTATTTGACTTAGACACTCATTTTCTTTGTGTTTTGACCATATTATCCCTTGTATGGCCAATCGCTTCTCTTATAACTCTACAAAACTGATCCATTTTTATTTTGTTTCTTCTTTTTTTTTTCTTGAAGGTCTCACTTTCCTTCTTCTTCTTCTTTTTCACGCCTAAATCGTCTCTCCGTTTTCTTTACCATCCTCTGCATCTTGTGAGAACGCACAAAACCCCTATCCACACTAAAGGGAAATGGATGCTCCCCTTGCCGACTATGCCCATTCATGTAACTTCTCAGCTGCATTTTGCTGAGAGAATTTTTAGGCCTTTTCTTGAAAGCCCACATGTAAATGTTTTCCATGTCGTGCTAAACCAAAAAAGCATCGAGCGGCAAGTCTGATTTCTCAAAGCTAGACACACCATTACGGTCCTGAACTATTTTGGACTTTGATTTTTCATTCAAAAGAGGCCTAAAGTAGAAACTAAAGAAAAACCAGGCGCTCCACGCACTATCAAGGGACTTGTTACTCTTATGCCCCACTTTTAGGATATTAACATTCATTTCTACTTGGTAAAGTTGGGGTCCCAAACAACATTTAAAATATCACAAGGGTCGTTCCAAAGCAGAGAAGGTGGGCTAGGCCTTGATGACAAAGGGAGATTGATATCAGGTGGTCCTCCGTGGATGATTGAGCCATATATCTCTCTCCAATTCATCGTGAGACAAAAAGCCAGAGTCCATGGACAACAATGTGTTTTCCTTCCACTTTGTGCTTCTAAATTGATAATTAGAGCGAAGATCTCCCTAACATGCTCACGAAACAAATCGAAGCAAATACGGAATTGTTCGAGCAACAATTCGTCAGTCCACAAAACCTCAGAGATCCCCTCACAAGTACGGAATTATTCAGGCTGTGTGTGGCGGAGAAAAGGGGCTCGTTGGGTTGAGAACAATGTTGGTGCCAGCGAAAGTGTGGAGGATGACGAGTTGGCATGATAGATATTCGAGTAGGGAGACGTAGAAAGAAGAGAATGGGAGAGAAAACAGAGAGACAATTTAGCCTTGATAAGAAAGAAAAAGAAAGAAAGTGGGACCCACGAGAAAAAAAAAACAAAAAAAAAGGGACAACTTTTGTAGAGTTATAAGAGAAGTGATGAGCCATATAAAGATAGTATGGTCAAAATATACAAAAAAGGAGTGTCTAAGCCAAATGAGAAGCGGAAAAAGCGCAATCCTTAAAATAGAAATCACTCTTAATAGACATTACTTGTTAGTGTTATCAATGGACTTCATCTCCTATACTTTCCCCATAACCAAACAAACTGATGGCAGTTGAAAAAAATTTTAAACTCGAGAGCTGGCTTGGGAAAGTGCACTTGAAAACTGGAAATTAAAATTTGGCATTAGACTACAAGACAATCGGAGTGGACCGAATGTCCTCGATGTCCCCATGGCACTCGTTAAGAATAATTCGATTTTCAAGTCGCTAATCGATTGTGCATAACACGAGAGCAATCGGTGCAGTGAAAACTTTAAAATTTACTTAATTGATTGCTCGGCAGGTTTATTGAGACACTATATAAATCCATTGTAAAAAATGCAAGCTAGTGTCGCAAGGTCCTTTTGCCTTCTCGAGCACTCTGGCTTTCCTTAAACCCAATAGATTTAAATCTTTTCACATGTAAAGTCACGTATGATTTCTTCATTTTTTAAAAAATTAAAAAATATAATAAATTTTGACGGAAAGGCAAAAAAGTTTTTCTTTTTTACTTTTGCTCAATCCTAGGCAAAGAAGCCACATTGCTGATCCAATGACCGGCAACGACCGAAATTGCCATACTTGTCTCTTAGTATTGCTAACGTAAACTACAACCGCAGTGGCTCTCAAAAAGCACCATCAAAGCAACTGTTAACAAGCGATACGATTATTACAGTCCTAGGAACACAAAGGAAAAACATAGGTATGATATGTCTGCAAAACAAAACATGAGCTTGATCTACCGTGCACAATTATTATGTATTGTATTCTAAGTTTCAGATTGTCCAATCTCTCTTTCTCCTTTCCTAATGCTGGTCGTCAACTCTTCCTCTCATGATGACTCGAGTTCTTTCATCTTCTTCTTCTTCTGGTCGATCTCAGGTTGGCCTCGGATTCTCTTCATCATAAATTGGAAGACCATCTGTCTATTTGCTCGACGTAGCTTCTGGTACTTGGCTACGGTGTACAGTCCGTCATATGTGAAGGTGTGATCCCTATCCCTACGGATCACTCTCACGGGCTTGTTTCTCTTCATGCTGTTTGCTAGAGCTAAATTCCCACGAGTAAGCTTCTGATCTTCGGCCTTCTTGTTGTGACCGGGCATTCCACCCTGGCCCAAATAAACCAGCTCATCGGGTGTACTCAGATTATCTGTATAATCCCAGGAAGCGACAACACTTGTGGCTAGAATGTTTGGGTGACGTCCCATGTAATCGATGCCACTTTGAGGAGGGCGATGGAGACCGACAACAGCGAGTTCCATCCTGTAATAGAATTTGTCTCCCACTTTTACTCCTGGAACATCACCGATAAATTGCATGGCGCCATGGACGTATCCTCCTCTCTTCTTAACCTCTTTCGCAGCATGAAAGTCTATCCTCCTAATGCATGCGCTCTCTTTACCTGCTTTTGATTTTTCCCGGGAGAACTCCTGACAAATATCTCTGTAGAGCCTTAGAGTTGCGATGACCCTCTCTCTGGCCAAATCATGTCTGTCATTGCTTGTGAAATTCGCATTTCTGAGCTCAGAAAAGGAAGGGCTTGCTCTCCCAATATCTGATTTTGGAACAATGCGCAAACTTTTCGAGCTATTTGGTGTGCTTTCCTCTAAGTAGTTCCTGATGTTGCACCTGTCAAGAGACTTTCTTTTAGAACCTCTGTCCTTCATAGTAGGGGATGCACCAGGAGGACATTGAACACTCTTCTCCGCCTCTTTGATTATTATTTGGGTTTCTCTATTTGATTTGTTGACGATGTCGCAATGATGGTAAAGGAAGTTCTCTTTTCTTAGGTATTCCTTATCTGTCGTGCTCCCGGAAGATGTTTGAAATTTTACTTGTGATTGTGACCCTTCTTCATTCGCACCAACACCTTGACTATCAGCATGATCTTTGTTCCTTCGCCATTTGAAGACATGTGCAGTCGCTGAGCTCTTGATTGAAGGGTCGCAAGATTTGTTGGGAATGAATTCTCCTACGAGGTCATTTGCTCGGGCACGACTTCCGCATCCTGGACGGAAATCTCTACGAGTCAATGAGCACTTCTCAGGGCGAGAATCTCTAGTCATATTCTTCATCAAAATACTGCTCTTAGAGCCATCAGAAGGTGATTGCCCCTGCGAAACACATTTTTTCTCATTTCCACGCCATATGACATCATGTGCATTCATAGAGCTCTTGACCGAATCATTGGGAGACTTATCAGGGATAAATTCCCCTTCTTCTATGCTTTCTGTCTCGTTTTTTTCCTCCGCGTTCTCCATCATACCAGAATGGTCTTGCCTCAAATTGGTTGTCGTGGAAGGAAATAGTGCTTGTTGATGCTGTGCAAGGCTGTGAAGAGGGGCGTGACTTCTGCATCCTGCAGGTAAACATGACATACTCTTTTCCAGACTAGATTGTCTAATGCTCTTCATCTGAGTATTGCTCCTGGAGTCAACAGAACCTGATCGAGACTGCAAAATATGTGTGTAACCGGAAGAAGATCCTGAAGTTGGAAAAACAGTTCTGACAGCAGGAACATTCCTAGGCAGGGCCTTCATTAACAGCTCTACCGTCTTGTCATTTATCTTCTCTTTAGGTTCCCCCATAAGCTCTACCGCTGGTGAATTCCACTAGAATGCTGTTGAAAAACATAATGAACAGAATAAGTCACCATAATAGCACCACTTGTTTGTAATTCTTCAGGTTATCACCAAACTTGCGTATCTCTTTTTAGAATAATGTCTGGATTTTGTTGCCAAATTAGCCATATTTAAACTCTGTAAGAAATGAAATGATAGATGGTATCTCAGATAGATGATAACCTGGCAAAACAAATTACATATGCTTGTTGACAAAACAAGTAGCTGCAACAAACTTGAGCATGCATCTCTACTCCATGAATGTTTAAATGATGTTGAAAAACATACCAGTTGAGTAGACAAAAAATGAGTAGAAGTTAACCATTATGACCACCCGGCAGTTATGCAGCTAAGAACAATAGCTTTTCTCTGAAAGTCTTGAAACTTATTCTGTTCCAACATTTCTAGGAGATATACAGGCCAAAACAGCTTCTCATTTCAATGGCCAATATTAGAAAATCCTTTCCCATGCATGAAGTCCCACAAACAGGAGATGAGTTTAATATGACAGAGAACAACTACTGTTTGACAATCAGACTACGCTCTGCACATTACCTGCCTCACAACAGTTGTCGCTGCTACCGTGCAATGTATGGACGAACAAGAGAATCCCAAGGCGAGGAGCCTTCAATCAATCAACCCTTCACTCGTTGCTTGCAAGGCTTGCTCAAAGTTCCATTTTGTTCCTACAAGTCCCATGAATTGGTTAAGTTCAGACTTTTGACATGGTGGCCTTGACTTAGGACAGTTTGCACGTCCTTGTGGAGATGCTCAATAGAAGCGATGTGGGATATTTCAACAAGATTCATTATAAACATCACTCCAAAACAAGATTAGGCTAAATGCAGAGCACATGAATGAATGACTGACCTATATCGTTTCCAAAACTTCCTCGCAGACGAACGTGGAGAGCCAAAGCAAGCCAAGCCTCAAAACCTGAAGGTAGGAGCAAAATGATCAAACCATAATACAAAAGTTCCTTTTAGTCGAAAACTAGTGAGGCGTCTACCAACAGGGCCATCTCACTTCAGAAAGTATCTGAAGCCTCGTTCTTGCTAAAAGACAAAGGAACTAGGCCTATCCCACAGTGAAGTAGCAAACATCAACGAAGGATCCTACTCCAAACTCAGAAATGGATTATATAAGACATCTCAACAATGTTTAAAATGTTTCGAATTAGACATTGATGTACACGGTGCAGGGCAAGCAATGATTTCCTCCCAAACCATACCTTCAAGATCAAATGAACAATATCATCGACCTCGGATTACATTTTGCATGAGTTGACGCAAAAAATAGACATGAAATTTTGCTAAAAAGTTGGCCCCGTGAATATGCTTCTGATAGTAGGTTCTAAATCATGAATCATGATACCTAGAAACAGAATCGATCTGATCAAACTCACAAAATCCAAATCAATCGCTACACAAAACCATTTCCGTGACCCTAATGATAGATACCGGAGATGTAAGTTTAGCCAGAGAAGTTCCTAGCTGTCGCAAGCAAAATGAACGCCCCGAGCCGAGAAATAACATGAAGCCTCAAGACCTGAAACTCGACAAAGACAATCACATCCTAAACAGCCATGGAAGCACAAGAAGAGAAAGTCCCGTCGAGAAGAAATGAGCATGCATGACGGTAGCTCTGTTTTGCCTTTTTCCGCTCTTGCCGAGTGGGGCGGCGAGTCGCCAAGTGGGCTGAGTCACAAGTTTTGTGGAGCTGACGAGGCATGCCAAAGGAAAATGACGGCCACGGTTGAGAGCGATGAAGCTAGCTTCAACCTCTGCAAAATCTTCCGCTGAAGTAGTCTGGAAATGGCACGAGCTTCTCTCGCTCTCATATACCGCATGCAGAGGTTGGTACAGCTACGCAACACATAATCTGTTTCGTACGACTCCCATTTTCAGTGCATTTACATGAATAAATAGATTAATATATATGAATAAATTCATATTACGTCCAACAATTCGCATTTTAGCCAGCCTCTTACTTCCTTACCGTCAAGTACAAGGAAAACAAGGTACAACTCGAATTCCCTCACCGACCAAAAAAGATTATCCTCTGTCCACGTATGATCTCATCTGTGCCTTACCTTTCATTAAATGAGGCGGAACACTGTGTCCATATGATTTTCCATACATCCGAGATACAGTAAAGCATCTCGAATCTGATCCGTCCATTCAAGTTCCTAATTTTGACAGAAAATTTTACCTTAAGGCCGCGTCTTACCTAATGTGATACGGGGTATTATTTATAAGTTCAACTTATAAATTCAATAAATTATAATTAATATCGTATTTTTGTCCGTCCATTCACATGTCGATCGGAGACTTAATTACTTTATTCGCGTGTTTCATGGGTGAGGAATATATTTACTTCCTCCTATTGAGGGAAAAAAAATCAAAAAGGGAGAAATTTCTCATAAAAAAAGAGAGAAATTCAGGAAAATAGTTATTTGCGGAAAAATTTGTAAAGGGCACGCAACCAAACAAACGAGGAAATGGAGAGAAAGAGTTTGGAAATATTCCCTCGTGACTCCGACCTTTGAATTTCTGCACGATGACATTAATTTTTTGCTTCAAAAGGAAACTGCATTGAAATCAAAGTGGGTTTTACTTTTTCCATTTTTGATACTCGTCATTAAAACTAATAAAAGCACAAATCAACGCGTTTTACAAATTAAAAAAATTATTTAAAAAAGTGAAAAATTTCAAAATAGGAATGTTCTTACTTTCAGAGATGGACGCAAGTCTAAGTCAAGTCAAAGTGGCAAATATTCCAATCAGAGTTACTGAATTTTTTTTTTTGCACCACCTTTTACTTAATTCAAACTTTACAATATCTGCACTTTGACTTTTTCTTAACCCGTGACACCTGAAACTTTACAGTACACAAATTTTGGCATGTAAACTTACATATTATTATTTCATAACTTTTTGAAATTAGAATAATGTTTTGAATTTTGATGGAAAAAGAGGTTATTTTTCGCTTTATTTGAAGGATAAATAAACACGCTCTAATAGTCTAATGTACATCGGAATGAGCGAGCATGAAGAAACAATCTCCATAATTCTCTTTTTTTCATTTGAAAAATCTCGAGCGGGTGTTGGAACAAACCAATAGTATTCAAATACTCAACAAAATATATCACAATAATAACGTAATATTGAGCTCCCACACGGAAATAAACTCAGATCGGGTTTAAAGAAAAGAAGAGATTGTAGGCTAATTAAACTATGTGCATACTGCAAATGCAGATACGAATCATGGGAGCTCACACGATTTCTTGTTATAACATTGGCTTAATAAATAATTGGGAAAATGACACAAACAGTCCATAAACTTTGGTCAAATGTGCAATGTGATTCATGAACTTTTAATTTGTTTAATATGATCTCTAAACTTTAACCCAATGTGTAATATGGTCCCTGAACTTTTAATTTGTTCAATGTAGTCCCTGAACTTTTAGTAAATGTTCAATTTAGTCCCTGAACTATATGAAAATGTTAAATGCAGTCCTCCCATTAATTCAAGTTCAAGGATTACATTGAATATTTTCGTATAATTGAGAGATTACATTGAACATGTACCAAAAGTTCAGGGACCACATTGAACAAATTAAAAGTTCATGGACTACACTGAACATTAGACTAAAGTTCAGGGACTACATTGAATAAATTAAAAGTTCAAGAATCACATTACGCATTGGGCCAAAGTTTACGGACTGTTTGTGTCATTATCCCTAAATAATCTAAGGACCGAAAGCTACACATGATTTCTTTTGGAGGGTTGACAAGGGGGAAGACTCGACCAGGATTTTGATTGAGGCAAGCGACTTTACAGCTACTGTGCTACTATTTAGAGGCCTTTGGCATATGCCTCTATTGCCTAAGTCTGACAAGTGAGATCGTGGGGTGATCTTTATTTGCCTATTTGAGCCTTAGTAAAGAAGTCTGGTTAGTTTACTTATTGGTGGAACACTTGAAGCAATTAGAGGCAAAGCTGGAAAATTGAAGTTGTGCGGTAATGAATGCAGAGAAAGAAGAGATTGTAGGTTAATTAAGTTAAGCTCATGCTGCAAAAGATGGTAGCAGTGTAGGAACTGTAGTCTCATACTTAGAGCTGGTGCAATGGATTCATTATCCATTTTTTCACTAAAAAACCTCTGTAGGTTTTTCTTAAGCAACATTAGAGAGAGTTGGTGATGCCACTCCCATGGAGTATCATCCCCTGATCCCATTTCTGCAATCATTTTAGGTCAGAACTGTCAAAGCTTCTAGGGTCAGATCAATCGGGGTTTCACGGGTAATGCACAAGAGAGTAAAGTAAACCAGTTATCCTATAGAGATCAAGGCATTGCTTGAACGTACTCCTCTTCGGATGGGTAGAGATACAGGGAACCCACCATTATCAACCAACCTGCTGCAGTCTCTTTCTCAGCGTACACTTCTGCTTCAGGATTGATTTTGAAGAGGCACGGGGTCAAAACTCAATCAAGAAAATCAGAATAATTCAGCAGAGGATTCTAAACTAAGAAAGAATAGTCATTCGGTTATTTTTTTTTTTTCAATGCAGGACCGACTGTCTTGGATAGGTCCCCCTTTGATGTCTGAAAGGCCGGAAGAAGTTAGGAAAATGAGGCGGGAACGGGTGCGTCGCTCTCACGGATACAACCGAGCACTCTCCACCTTTGATTTTTTTCCCTTCTGGGACTGGCTAACCCGCTAACCTATCCAGTTTTGGAGGGAAGACATATTTTAAATTTAACCCTCTAGTTATGTTGCTGAAAATTTTCACTTGACGAGACTTTTGAAGTGTCAATCCATATTAGAAGGTACCATCCCTCGTGTCACCGAATTTTGATAAAGCGCTCAAATTCACTACCTATTCATTGTTTAACAATTAATACCCTTTGATTGAATTTACTTAATTTTCCGATTAATATGGGCGGTGAGCAATGGCGTCTTGGAGGATGACATGGTGGTGAGGAAGGGGATGAGGGTGACGTACCATCTGTACACGATGGAGAGGCTAGAGGAGCTATGGGCAAACGACTCGCCGGAGTTAGTCGAGAGGGACGTGGTTGCGTACGTAGTGTTCCAAGCGGGCCGAGGGTTTGTTGGTGAGGCCCGCCCAGCGATGGCTAGTGGAGGGAAAATGGAAAAAAGACAAAAGAAAAAGGAAAAAAAGAACAAAAAATTTAGAAAACTAAAAAGAATTGCAAAAATTATTCACTACGCAGGACAACCAATGCTAACTAAACCGCAACTTTACCGATTTCGGGCCAAAATTAGCTGGAATGATTAAATTGGTAAATCGTCAAAGGATTTAGGGCTTAATTGGTCAAATTAAAAAGTTTAGGACTGAATTCGTACAAGTGCGATTGATTGGGTATGATCATTACCGCCAGCTTCATTTTCGCTGATGATGAATGATGTAAAGAGCAAACCTCCTAAGTTCGTGGGGTTGGGTCTATTGACTTTGGATTATATCTGAGGAGTTTCGTTTGGCTAAATAAAAGGAAAATGTTGCCTTAAATAAACAGGAATAAGTCATATGATTAATCTGAAAATTGGTTTGGGGTCCATTTTCTCTTCAATAATTAGAGAAATAATCAGATAATTTTGTTTTGGTCGAAAGAAATAATCAGACTACTTTTATCTATGAGAAATAAGAAAATTTTGCTCACGATGATAGAATCATCTAGTTTTGATTTTGACAAAAGCAAATAATTCTTAATCATCAAAGTGTTATTTTCAAGTGAAAAATAATTATTTCATTTCAAGAAAAGCTTATATATCTTTTAACAAAATACCAAACCTTAGAGTAATTTTTACTTAATTAATAGAAACAATTATATTTGCTTTTGTGCAGTGCCAAGGCGTGGTCTATAGTTAAAAAGGAAATTGAGAGCAATAATTATCACGAAGCACTGTATCAGTCATATTTTGGATCTAACTCTTGTATATGACGATCTACTTTGTGAAGAGCATGTGCTCGTGAATTACATATCAAGACTGATTAGATCTTGGGGTAAGATTTGGAAATTTCTCTATGAGATTGCAACGTTATTTTGTGAAAAATTGTAGATGTCGCGACCTACCATCGGGGTGTACTACCTAGGGGTTCGGTTAATGGATTATTAAGTCTAAACTTAATTCGAGCCTTTCCAAGCCCTACCAATTCGCAACTTAGGGTTTAAATTCTTAACATGTGAATGTTTTCATGCTGGAGTCGCAACTAATCTATTTTGCAGTGGATTGATTAGAAACCCAAATAAAACATAAGAAGATATGTTTTACTCCTACGAACCAGAGATTTTGAATTCAGGGATTTGGTTACGCTAGAGCTAGTCTAACGCCCTTTCGGTACCTTTTTTTTCAAAAAAAATGATTAAGCAAGCAGTCTAGATCCATTTTATTACCTAGTTGCTAATATATGAGATGACATGCGGGTGCGCAATCCATCAATTTAATACCCAATATAGAAAGCAATAATTAAATTACTAGCTTAGGAGAACAACGTGCCTTTTAGCAACGTAAGCATTTGCAATTTTAGCTAGAAAATCATACAAACAACCCTAATGTGATTTCTAATTAACAAGCAATTCACCCAACGTATTTTTTGGGTTTTCTCTTTATTAAAATGAAGACTAACCTAAGTGAAAATATGACATGCGAATAATTAAACCTAGCGTGCAAACTATATATCATGCGACAATATGACCTACTTCTAATGACGGGTAAATGATGTATTTTTTGGTATTTTTCAATAAAATTCGGAATAATAAAAAACGCCTAAAATAATATGCAATCTATTCTAGAAAGACACTCTAACGTATCCTAAAATGACCTCTTTTTTGACATTTTTTATGAAAATTCGAAATAATTAAAAATCCTACATAATCTATTAAGACTAGAATAATCCCTAATTTAAACTAGGAAATAGACTATCCTAAATCCCAATTTAAATCATAGAAAGGTCCCATCTTCTAGATATATTTAAGATACCCTAAACATGCAATGTTTCTAATTTAAAATCTAAATAATATTTTTGGATTTTCTTTTTAAAGGGAAAATAAATTAAACAAAAATAGCAATCACAAACCAACCACCCATGCGATCCGCAAAATCCATTTATCATGTTCAAATTAAGAAAATGACTCGAGCTAGCGATCATATCCACAGGGTCGTGGATATCGATGGAAAGCGACGATTTGAATTTGGAAAGCGAATAAAATAAGTTATTGTATCCGAGTAGTTATGGATAAGATAGCGATTTCCGTACCACCGCATATAGTCATCCATATACATTGCTAAATTAGGAAAAATTCTTAATTTTAAGTATTTTAAATATTGCAGATACCGCACACATTATCCCTAAGATATCTAATAATCCACCAAAGATACTCGCGAAATATTCAAACACCGAAAAATTAGGAAATTAAATATTCTTAGAATATCGGATGAGAATTTTACCTAATTTCGCGGATAATTTCCGAATTTGAATAGCCTCGGGATCGGAATTGCGGATCGGGACAGGGTGGCTGGCGGCGGGTGTGGCCACGAGGACGGCAACGACGGTGAGCTGGCCTTGCGCGGGACAGCGCCGGGATAGCAGCAGCAGGTTCGCCGGAGCAGCAGGCACATCGTCAAGTGCAGCACCGATGCAAGGAGGATCGTCGGTGCTGGCATGGCACGGCAGGGCACGGGCACGGCTCGTCAGTGGTGTCGGGCATCCGGGGGCAGCAGGGATTAGCAGCTCGGCGTTGTCGTCAGCGCAAGCAGGAAGAAGCAGCAGCGCCGGTGGGGGGCCATGATGGCTTAGGGTGATCAGCAATAGGCTCAGCGCGACGGAGGAATGACGTAGGGGCAGCAGCTGGGCACGGGTGTGGGTGCGAAGGCTGGCACAGGCAAGGTGGCGAGAACGAACAGGGGGCACGGGCGTGGCAGTGGGCACAGGTGCAGGCACGTGCATAGGTGTGGGCGCAGGCACAGGCGCAAGCATGGACGTAGGCGCGACGATCAGCTGTGGGGAGGCACGACCAGCCTCTTTTCTCACTCTCTCTTTCTTGCTCTCACTCATACTTGTGCTCTCTGAAAATTATGATCGCTCTCCCTCCTTGATTGAGGGGTATAACCACATATTTATAGTGCATGGCTAGGTTAATTGGCCAGGCTCTCAAGACCTATGGTTTTGGCTTATGCTTTATTATTTTATTTTATTTTAATTCCAAATGGACTAAATTAATTTGGGTTTTCCTCTAATTAAGCTTAATGGGCTGATTTAAGCTCAAATTAAGACAACCAAGGCCCCTTTAGACTTGCAATTTTTATTTTTTTTGGCCCTTTCCCCCTTAGCTTGGCCGAGTGGGACCCGATGTGTGGGCTGGGCTCGCGCAATGGATTTCGGGCTTACTTGCCACCGCCAGCTCGATGCGAGATGCAATTAACCTATATGGTCCTAAACTACATGTTATGCGATTTTGATATTTTTGTTTAGGGGTTGAAGTTTAATCCCTAATTTTCTATGTAATTAATCACTAAACGATTAGCCAAAATTTAGGTGTCAACAGTAGGGTTAAACACCATGTGGAATCTTCGGTACGTTAATTTATCTATTTATTATTCAACCGATGAAACAAAAAGGACATGAACTCATCTGTTTGTTTTGGCTAATTACATTTCTTATTTGTTATAATCTTTACTCAATTTTCTTAGAAAAATTAAGATATTACAAGATAACGAAAATATTAAATAATTCTACCAGACACAATTTTTTCTTTTACCTTTTCCTAATGCCCCGGGGTCGACTCTTCCTATCCGGATGATTCGAGTACTTCCATCTTCTTCTTCTCCTGGAGAGTCTCAGGTTGGCCTGGTAGTCTCTTCATTACAAATTCGAAGACCGTCTTGCCAGTCGCTCTACGTATCTCCCGGCACCTGTCCACCGCATACAGTCCGTCGTACGTGAAGGTGTGATCCCTATCCTTACGGATCACTCTCACTGGCTTGTTTCTCTTCATGCTGTTCGCTAGAGCTAGATTCCCTCGAGTAAGCTTCTGATCTTCAGCTTTCTTGTCACGACCAGGCATTCCACCCTGGCCCAAGTAAACCAGCTCATCAGGATTTCTCAGATCATCCGCATAATCCCTGGAAGCGACAACGCTTGTTGCTAGGATTTCTGGGTGAGGTCCCATGTAATCGATGCCGCCCCGAGGAGGGCGATGGAGCCCAACAACAGCGAGTTCTATCCGGTAATGGAATTTGTCTCCCGCCTCTACTCCGGGAACGTCTCCAATAAATCGCTTGGCGCCGTGGACGTATCCCATTTTTTTCTTGACTTCTTTCGCGGCATGTAAATCTATCCTCCTAATGGTCGCACTCTCCTTGCTTGCTTCTGATTTTTCCCGAAACAGCTTGTGACAAATATCTCTAAAGAGCTCGAGAGTCGCGATCACTCTCTCCCTGGCAGAATCATGTCTGTCATTGTGTGAAACATTTGCTCGGGCATGGCTTCCGCATCCTGGAGGGAAATCTCTTCGAGTCAAGAAGTACTTCCCAGGGCGAGAATCTCTGTTCATCTTGTATATACTACACATATAAGGTCAAAATGAGTGATATCGCTTTGACATAATCGTATAAATATCAGGACCAATTCTCAAAAATTCATTCCAGTAAAATCGTACTTCGGAATCGATTTCTGTCAAACCTACAAATCCACACCGTCCTAATCCATCATTTCCATATTTATCCACAGTTCAATAATTCCTTAATCAACCCTCCCAGTTAAAAGTTCACGAAATTTCGAATGTACAGCCTAACTCCGAAAATTGCTCGAATTACATGAAACTATGGGCTGAAATACTTACGAGACGGTGCAAAACGTAGTTAATCCGACTTGCCAGGCATTTCAAAACAGATTTCCCTTCTCTCTTCTCTACTGTTCTTCCTTTCCTTTCCTTCATCAATAAACGAGGCCTCTCCCTTTCTTTGTAACCCTGGATCACATTGGGGCGGTGATTTTTCTGCTTTGCTATTTTTTAACTTTCTGACTTGGTCAAACCGCTATAAAAAGACATTCACATGCTAAACAGCCGCGGAAGGCCGAAGCACACCCATGAATTATCGACATGCCACAAAGAATAAGAGGATGTCGTCATCCCCGCCCCCTTCGTTTTCGCTGGTGATGAACGATGCAGAGACAAAACCTCCTTAGTTTGGGGGGCTGTGGAGTTTCATTTGGCCAAAAAATAGGAGGATGTTGCCCTGAATTTAAAGGGTTCAAGTTATAAAACTAATCTGAAAATTGGTTTATGGCCCATTTTCTCTTCAATATATCGCGACGATAGATTGATTTAGTTTTGATTTTGATAAGTATGAAGTGCTTCTTGATCGTCCACATGTTATTTTCGAGCATTTTCGAGTGAGAAATAAGTAATTCATTTTCGAGGATCCTACTCCGAACTTCAAAGAAATGCATAACCCGAGACATCTTAACAAGGGCTGAAAATGTTACGAATAAGACATTAATGTGCGTGAGGCATGCGATGATTTCCTCCCCCCAAACCATACCAACGAGGCCAGATGAACTATGTCGTCGACCTCTGAATTGAGGATAAGGGCTTGGACGTGCTTTGATGCAAATTGACGCGGAAAAGAAAGGCCTTCGATAAGCCCGGAAACTCCTCAATTACACAATCCTTTTAGATAGACATGAAAATTTACTAGAAACTTGGCGTCGATTTACATGAATGTGCTACTGATAGTAGTTTCAGAAACAGAATCGACCCGATGAAACTCGCAAAATCCGAATCAATCACCACACAAAATCATTTCCATGCGATCCTATAGAGACAGATACCGGAGATGTAAGTTCGCCGCAGAAGTTCCTTGCATTGGAAGCAAGAAACAATCCCCGAGCTGAGAAGTGATGAAGTCTTGAAACCTAAAACTCGAAAAGCACGGTCACATCCTAAGCAGCCATGGAAGCACAGAAAGAGAAGGTCTGGTCGAGAAGCAAATGAGCACGCATGACGGCAGATCTCTGTATTGCCCTCTTGCTCTTAGCGAGGGAGCTGAGTCGCAAGCTTTCTGGAGCTCACGAGTAATGAACGAAAACGAGGGTCATGGTTGAGAGCGAAGAAGCTTCCTTCAACCTCTGCAAAATATTCTGCTAAGTCTGGAAATTGTGAGAGCTTCTCGTCACTGCAGAGGTTGGTGACAACGTACAACTGCACAACGTATTTCCTATTTCGTGCGCGGTGTATGGTACAAATTCGCTTTTTCCTACTGTTAATATATAAATAAATTCATATTTTAGTCCGCCTCTTACTTTATCTAAGTATGGAGTACACGTTACGGATTTAGTTTTTTATACCATCAAACATTATAGAAAAAATACATCTCAATTCCCTTTCGTTTATTTACGTTCCGACTAGCGCCTTCCCTTAAATTAGATTCGACTGAGTTGGAAGCGGACCAGTTCACACGGGCAAGGGTATTGCTCGTCGCCCGGACAAAATCCACCACCCTTCGCTTCGCTGCTGCATTTACACCCCATTCCATAACCCAATCCTCGAACCTGTCCATGCAGTGTCTTTGTGTGTCAGCATATCGCTCATGCACGTGTCTACATTGCTCATGTGACGCGAGATCCTAACCCAAGACCCAACTCAACCCGACCTAGGCACCAGAGCTACCCAACTCGAATCCAAGACCCAACTCGACCCGACCTAGGCACCAGAGCTACCCAACTCGAATCGACCCAGGCACCAGAACTACCTCGATGACTCGGCAAGCTGGTCCACAGTCGCCCATTCTTCAATGGAACAGTTTAAGGAGACGAGTTGCGAAGAATTGGAACTCGAATTGGGTCGAATATAAGTCAGAGTCCAGATCGGGTATGATGGGTGACTCATTCATCAGAGCCAGCTTCGCATCGATTGACGAAATCCAAGAACAAGTCAATCTAAAGCCACAGTAAAGCTCTCCCTCAACGAAATCGATAAGGTGGGAAGAATTAAGATTATACCACGACAACACGTCCAAACAAGACTATCTTAGTCAACGCATAAGTGTAGAACATCCAATTCAAGGGCAAGCGTATCATCTTTCCCCTTGCTGAAAGTGAATGTCCGGAAGAAAGCTTAAAGAGCAGCAATGGAATGCTAGTAAGTAAAGCTACATTATCGCGACAAAAAGGCCATTCCTGCACAGCACTTTGGAAGCACCGTTCTTAGATTTTGTTGAAGGCGACGATGTCACAACTCTGAATGTATTCATTGGCAGGCTCAGCTTGAAGATGCTCCTCGATGAGGGTGTCCACTGAGACAAGGTCATCCACAATGGTCATCATGATCTGCAACTTCTTAATTCCGTAACCCACTGGAACCAGTTTTGCTGCAAGAAAGAAAGCAAAAGAAATCCTCACAAGGGGATAAACATGACATTAAGTGACAAAACATTATGGCCAAACTGGTTGAAATCATGAGAGTCAAAACTTACAAGCCCCCCAGAAGAGCCCAGGCATCTCCACACTCCTAACAGCCTCTTCCAGCTTCTTCATGTCTGTCTCATCGTCCCAAGGCTTCACATCCAAGAGGACAGATGACTTTCCACCTATAAAAGGAGCCAGTTATACACACAAGCCAAGATATTGAAACCACTGATGAGAATTTCATTCCAAAGAAAGAAACAAGTTCAGGCAAAGCAAGCAGCCTAATGAACACGAGTAGACAAGTTTCTAAGAAATAGGTTAGCACCTTTAAGCAAGCAAGCAAGCTGTATACATCTATCTATCTTATGTTTTCTTTATCACAGAGCAAAGTACACACGCCAATCATATCAGGTAGAAATGTAAATGAAACATGATGCATCAGCCCTCAAGAGTCAAGATATAACAGCTGCTATAATTAGGACTGTTGTATGTATTTTTTTTCGACCCAGGAGAAGAGGTGACTCCAAGAAACTGAATTCAGGAGAACGATTGCAAACTTACTTTCTTTCTTCTTTGTGGATGCCTTTTTGGCTGCCTCCCTCTCTTCTGCAGCCTTCTGGTCCTCCTCTGTCTCTTCACCAAAGAGATCCAAGTCGTCGTCATCCCCAGCAGGAGCAGCCTGCTAAAAAGAAAATGAAACATCAAATCTTAACCATTTAGAAAAAGAAACATTACCAAAAGTCAAAACTCCACCAAGTTAAAGCGAATCTTAAAGAGATGCATTCAGTTGCTCGGTGATCTAAAGGTCATCTTAACATAAGGTCCTCGTTTCGAACTTTAAGAACATGTATTTACTCACACATGTAATTTCACAAGGACAAGATAAGGACAACTTTCTCCACAAGGGGATAGAGTAGGGTCTAATCACTATGCTAGTCATCATTAAGTTGTTCAAACCTAGATCAAAGCAAGATCCCTAATCTGCAACATGTGTAGCAGTGTGCATAAAAAGCATTCACCTGATCAAATGAAACAACCTTTCTGAGTTCCACCTGCCACTATGGATAAAAGCTCATCAGTGCTTACTGAAGATTGGAAGGGACAATTCCATTCTGGGTTACATAAAGTGTAGGAAGATGATAGAATTATTAAAAGATTCCTATAGCTAGAAGAAGTGAGGCCTCTACCAACAGGACCACCTCATCTGCTAGAAAGGCTTTACAGACGGAGTAGGCTCTCCGGACAATAGAAAAGCTTCTCTCAATGAAAGTAAAGTTGAGATTATTGACGAGATTAGCACATACCTAGACCAAGAAAATCAGTAACATCACTCAGAAAGCTTACGAGACCAAATTTTTATTAAAACAACAACAAACTGTGCCTATCCCACTGAACGGGGTGGATCGATCCTGTTACATCATTTCATTCGATTCAATTTCTTATCGAAGTCTTAAATAATAAGCCATCGTATCAGTACATATAACATACCTCCTTAGCTTCTTCAACTGGAGCACATTTGGCACCTACTCTAACACCAGCAGCTTTGCCAGGGAAGCTAAACAAGTGAACAAAAGTAGTGAGACATCAGGTAGCATTCGACTCTCACATCAAAATAAAATGCATCGCAAGAAGACATGCAACAATGCTGAAAATTTCTCAACTTCAACAAATTCAATGTACACGATGCACCCATGCATCGATCTATACCCCCAAATCATACCAGGGAAATCAGGCGAACGATATACTTGACCTTAAATTGACGATAAGGGCCTCTGAATATGCTTTGGCGCAAGTCTATAGAAATAATAGGCATTCGCAAACACAGAAAATCCTCGCTTTTATATGACCCTTTTAGATAAATGTGAAATTAATGCAACAGTTGGTCCCGGTTCACATGAACATCATGTTGCTACGTGATACCAAGAACCAGCATCAACCAGATGAAACCCACAACCATGGAATCAATCACTACACAACCCATCAGCAGCGATCCCAGCGAAAAAGAAAGCCCAAACCAACCAAAAAATTGGAGCAAACCGAGCAACACCCACGAGGAGCAATGGAGCAACAGAGCCTCGGACAAGCGACTCGACGAGAGAAAACGAACCTCTCGGCGAGATGCGAGGACACGCACTCGTACCACTTGCTGGCATTAGGGAACGAGCCCCCGGGCTTCTCCGGAACCGCGGCGTACACCTTCACGTCGTCCTTCGTGAGCCGATCTCTGCAACATCCATCGAAACGCCCGGTGAGCATCCCCCACAAAACAAATACCCGAACCGAGCGATTCGATCCCGCAAAGAGAGGGAGGGAGAGGAACGAGAGTTACCCGGAGATGTAAGTTTTGCCGGAGAGGAACTCGTCGAGGGACTTGAGGCCCGATTCCGTGCGGAGATCCGAGAAGGTGATCGCCATTGGCTTCCGATCGATCGGGGAGATGCCGAAGGGGAAGCGGCGAGCTTTGGACCTTCGATGGAGGCGGCGAAGCGGCAGAGGAGAGAGAGAGAGGAGAGAGAGGGGGAGGGGTGTCCGAAATTGATTGGCCTTTTATAAATTGCTAGAAATAACAACCCTAGATTCAATGGGGATTATGGGATATTCTCTCTCTCCTCAGAAAAAAAAAAATTTTGTTTCCTCGAATTGAAATTAAAAGTACTCGACCCAAAAAAAAAAAATGAAATTAGAAGTGAGTCTAGAAGTCTTTACAAAATACTGGCCAATTCCCTAAAAAAACCCCAACTTTAGTCTTTGTCCCAATTATATCTCAAACTTTTTTTTGTCTCATAAAAAACCCCAAACTTTTACTTTTGTCCCAAATCTACCCCGTTTACTATTCATCCAATTTTTTAATATTATTTTTATTTTTTCGAATTTTTTTCTTTTTTCTTTTCTTTTATTTTTTTTTTGTTTCACCTTCAACCTCCGTAGGTCGCCGAGAAATGAGGGCCGGCGAGAGTCGGCCCGCCCGGCAATGGCAGCGAGGCTACGCACTCACCAAGCAACGGCAGCGGCCGACCTCGCCATCGCCCCCGGCGTCGCCCGGCAGGTCGGCCTCGCCCGCCGCCGGGTGGCGAGGTCGGCCTCGCCCGGCAATCCGGCGAGGTTCGGCCTCGGCCAGGCCTCGCGCCGGCTAGACAGGGAAGCCGATGGCGAGGTCGGCCTCGCCATTCTTTGGCGAGGCCGAGCCTCGCCACGGTTGTCAGCGGGCGAGACCTTCACCGAGATCACAGCGAGGCTCGGCCCGCCAGACGGCCGGCGAGGTCGGCCTCGCCCGGCCTGACAGAACGGTGAGGCCGAGCCTCGCCAGCGGCCGGCGGGGCCGACCTCGCCGGCCGGAGGTTGAAGGTGAAAAAAAAAAGAAAAGAAAAGAAAAAAGAAAAAAATTCGAAAAAATAAAAATAATATTAAAAAATTGGATGAATAGTAAACGGGGTAGATTTGGGACAAAAGTAAAAGTTTGGGGTTTTTTATGAGACAAAAAAAAGTTTGGGATATAATTGGGACAAAGGCTAAAGTTGGGGGTTTTTTAGGGAATTGGGCCCAAAATACTGGGCAAGAAGAAAAGGCATGATGCACTGATGGGAAGAAAAGTTAGAGGGAAAAAATGAAATGAATAGTCCGTAAACTTTTAATTTGTTCAATGTGATCTTTGAACTCTAGGCTAATGTGCAATGTCATCCATAAAATTTTAATTTGTCGAATGCTTTTGATACATGTTCAATTTTCTCCATGAACTTGAATTAATGGAAAGATAATATTGAATATTTGCATATAATTCAGGGGCTAGATTGAATATTTATTAAAATTTTAGGGACTATGTTGAACAAATTAAAAGTTTGGGAATGATATTAAATATTGAGCTGAAGTTCATGGACCACATCAAATCAATTAAAAGTTCATAGACTATATTGCATATTGAATCAAAGTTCGGGAACAATTTATGTAAATCTCAAAACTTAATGAAGAAAAGAAATTTGCAATTTATTAAATTAAATATGAACTTAAATTATTGGAGGATTCGGAAACTTTAATACTAAGTTGGGAAGTATAAGAGATTGATGGGATAATATGATTATTATGTGTTCTTTTACAATTACCATCTTGCCCATTTTTTTTGATAATATAGAGTTATCATTCATTAGATAGATGTCGTCAATACTATTGAAATATCTTGAATAGAGCTCAAAGGTTGAAGGTGAAGATGAATTTTATTATTATAATAATGATTGCTTATATCGCTTGAAATAATTAATCAATGAACTCTTGAATATATATATAAAATCATCCTCTCACATGAGCAAGATCAAAACTAGCGTTAGCATTATTCCCTCGCAACTACGTCACTTCCGAAAAGACTCTCTTCTTTCATCTAAATAACTAAAGGATTTTTGTTAACCATATGATTGCTTAGAGATACTAGTTAAGCAACTAATCAAAAGCACTTTACAGCCAATCGGCTTATATTTTGTATACTATTGCTTCAAAAAGTTAATTATTTCCTATTTAATATGTTTAACAAGTATCTCAAATGCACTCTTTGATAAGATCCATGAGCAAATAGATGATTAAATGAGCTACCTACAAATGCTGATGTTTAATGTTATCTTCTTACCACGGCTAAGGAAATGACAGATTCTAGAACAGACATGACTGAATGTTGGTTATAGCCTTGTAGGCCTTTGGGTCCTAATCTAATGAGGTTTACATTGTATGCAACAGAGTTCATATCCTTGGATCAATGCACTAAGTTCTATCAAAAGATATGTAATCCATTTGAAAAATGCATAGGCTCCTTTTGTTTTATAGAAAAATAACTTTTTTAAGGAAAAAGTTTTCCGAATTTTCCGAGGTTTAATTCACAAGAAATAAAATAGTCAAGAAAAACATTTTCGGTCAATGGAAAAAACACCTTCAAAAGTTAAGGAAATCATTTTTTCTCATCTTCTTTCGCCCTCGACTCCCTCTCTCTCTGTACCTCTACCTGTACTCGTACCTTTCAAGGGGAAGCGAACCCACGAAGCTTCTTTATAATAGATCCACGATGACGATCCGACTAGCTCCATCCCTAAACTCATCAACCAACTCCGCGACAGCAACTTCGATTCTTTGAAAAGATGGCCGATCCTCCCCTCCTACCTCCCCTAGTCCCAAAACTCTAGTGTCCGGCCTCTCTCCTTCGAGGCATTCTTCGGCAACGGCTTCACTTGCCACCTCGACCTCCTCTTCGCCGTCGACGGCAAAGGAGGCCACGGTAAAGGATAGTTCTAGTGCTTCCATAGCGAGACGCTCGAGAAAAAAGAAAATGAAAAAAAAAAATAGAAATAATTAAAATTTTGAACTTTTTGGTAATTTTACCTAGGAAAATCTAATCAGATTTTTCCATACCAAATGGTGGAAAATATTTTCCTATTTATTTTTAGGTTTTAGCTACAAACTTGAAAATATTATCATTTTCCTGGAAAATGACTTTTTGAAAAATATTTTCCAGGAACGTCCCATTTTTGGCGAAAGGAACGGAGCCGGAGCGTGTGAGGAAGCCTGGATCAAATAGTCTCATGGATCGAGTAAGAATCATGTCGAATCCCTGTAAAGGCGTAGCCAAACATAAGCGGGGTGGCGTACGTACCAAGGTGCCATGTCCCAATGCACAGCTAATGGTGAATTGGCTTAGCTAGACAAAAAAGATTAATGCTCAACTGCCATAAGATTCTCAGCAGCAAGATTCATTGCAGTCATGCAGAAAAAGAACCTGACGAAAATGAACCTAGATGAATCTGCTTAGAATCGACGAACATCTCCACTTAAAAGATTACTTGTGTACTAAAAACCAGAATTTCCAGATCGCAACATGACAACCAAGAGAAACAGAAAACATGAAGCGTGAACCAACTTCCTGTCTACCAAACGCCAATAACGTGCTAGCAAAGATTAAAATTCTTGTCACGAGAGCTGACAGACCTTAATGCAATCGCCTAGGGAGGCACCTCCAAATACCCACAGCCAAGGTGGTCTATGTATACCCTTTGTGAGCATCTATGGAACACATTGTTTTCATCATGAAATCTCCTCCAACTTTGTCCTCTTTTGCAGCTATTGAATGCAAAGCCTCCATGGAGGACCTTCAAGAATGGGACAGTCGGCGAAGCAAAATACTTGATATAGAGAATATCCCTCCTACAGAAGGAGCCGCAGAACCATCGTAGGCGCACTTCAATCAGCTTCAGATGCTTGTGACCGACTCGCCACTGCTCCCTTTCTCTCTTCACGAACTCATTCCTTCTTACTGAACCATGTCTTGATCTTCGTAAAATCTCCCTGCTGAAAATCTTCCTGCGAAATTACTTTAGACCGATCCAATGTTTGTCTGCCAGGTCCTTGAGCTATAAATTTCCTAATGCTTTCTGTATTAAGCTTGCTCTTTCATTGTGTGTCGATCATAACTTTCGAAATGTCTGGATTTCTGGAAAACAAAATTTTCCTAGTACAACAATAAAAGCGAATAAACTATTTAACGACGATGAAAGAAGCTGCAATGTGCTAGAGACAGAGATTAGGCACAATCGGTGGCCAAACAGCAGAGCCAATCCATCCTCACATTCTGCGAACCCTGTATTCAACATGACCTCCAGTGTTTCAGATGGACAACTTTGGAAAGGCAAATCTATGGAGACACAAAGAGTGGTGGTGATTCATGATGCATCACGAGAATTAATTTTATCTTCCCTCAGGTGGGCATTGTATGAACTTCTACTGAAGCCTGGAGATAAGCTCACTGTCCTTGGAGTTCTTCGTCAAGCTAACACCCAGAGTGAGTACGAAAGGAAGAAGAAAGGTTAACACCCCTACTACATGCTTTCCTGATAGTGAATCAAAGCTCATAGGCTTCATTTATTTTTTCACCTAAAAGAATAGTAGGAAAAGAAGCAGAAGTCTGTATGCTGAACATGTGAATAATGCAAACAGGATGATATCTTAAGAAACGCCTCTGTTTAGGTTCCTTGCTATTCACTAATATCTCTGTGTGAATGAATTCATTCCAGTGGGATCCGGGAGCAGCAATGACTCAGGTTCAATGATCCGAGCAAACCAGAAAAAAGGTAATTCTGAAGAACTAAGGAAGAAGGAAGAGTATGAAAACAACATTGAACTTCTTCAAGTCAGCAAGCTGTATGAGATACACAAGGTAGCGACTTATCTCCTGCTCTTGATGCCTCATTAAATTGATGCTCGACATAAAGTATGCACTAACATAATATTCTGCATGAATCTAAGTGAACAAATAAATTAGGACGCAGATTCTACTTGCAAGAGATAAAAGCCATACAGTCAAAACTAAAAAGCCATACAAGCAGATGAGGTCCAGGCTGGGAAAGAAATTTTAATAGAGTTTACAGTAGGAGCCATATATAATCAGAGGGCCTACAGCAACACATGGGACCCTCGTGTAAAATACAAGAGCTATCCAGATTCTGAAAGCCGATAAGTGAAAACTGTAGGAATAAAAATTCTTGATAGATGAGGTTCAAGGTTGTTGCCTCATGACGATCAATAGCTAAGTGGAGATGTGATAGGGACTTGCACTCTTTACATGAAGTACAAATAACTCGTACAAATCTCAAGAAAACCTTCGAACTATGTCATCCCAATTTTCCGGCATTGTTCTCACTTATAAAATTGCCGGAGATTAACCACAGAGCATTACCATAAAGGTGACAGCAGAAAAAGAACTCCGTGCGGCTCTCTATAAAATGTACCAAATCGGGATAAATAAATAAAACAGGTTTAGAGTTCCATATTCAAGACACTGGTAGCTATGATCACTACTAGAAATAGAATAAAGAGCAGACTACAGATATACATCAAAATCATACCCATCAAATAAAGTTCGGTAGATCATTTTTAAAGCAATAACAAAGCACAAATTTAATCTGAATTCTTCACTAAGAAATATTATTTGATTCACATTTCATGAATGTACAAGATTCTAAGTTTTGGGCATATCACTGATAACTCCTATTCATCTGTTCAAGTACTAGCTAAGATAGTAAAGCAGTATAGCTCGACTAAAAGCCCATGCTTTTGTGGTAAAGATGGTGCCTGCCTACTTTGCAAATTGGCAAAATTAATGAGACTTTGTGCATTTGTTGTTTCAGATTGAGTTTAGAATAGAGGTGGCCGTGGGACCTTCACCTAAGAAGACAGCTCTTGAGGCAGCCACAAATCTTAAGGCAACATGGGTGATACTTGACAGGTCAGGAAAAAGCTAAATCATGGATAAAAGTACCAGCTATCAACAGAATTTCTACACTACAAGTGCAAATTTTCTTCCATGATGGAGTGCATAGTTTAGGGTTTGGCTACACCTATTAGTACAATATGTTTCTTATGAAATGGGTAACTGGAAAGTCAATTAGATATCTGACACTGATATGGACATCTTGATTGCAAGCACTCCTGCATCCCCCACTCTTTTCATCTAATTAAAAACTACCTCGCTGTATATTCAAAACGGGAATACTTAGCAGACAGATCAATTGAACTATCAATATGAGAAATGAAGGCTTCACGGCAGCCAACTAACGAATATACCATAAAAATGATGGCTTTAGTGTCCACGATAGACAATTAAAGAATGAAGGCTTTCAAGGCAGGAATATAATGAATTGCCCATTACATGGATAATGCCCAATGTTCTAAGTCTGTTGGTTTTATTTCTAATTCACCTATGACACAGGCAGATGAAAAAGAACAGAAATTACTTCCTGCAGAAGCTTTCGTGTGGAATATCACGGATAAAAGGTGACCATAGCATTGAGAAGTTGAGAGCACCAAGAGTCGCAGGGATTGACATGCTTCACAGGGAGAAACATCACAGTATTGACATAATTTATGATGAAATGATGCCAGGATCACCGGAGATGGAAGATCTATTCAGCATAGAACTTCTCCCAGACAGTAAGTGCTTGTCACTTCACCAGTTTCAGTTTCATTAGTCATGAACTTCCCTGCCAAATTCATATCCTGATTACAGCTAACCATACCCCTAACAACAACAAACACCAAACATCAAAGAAGAGGCAAAAAAGTTACAGTAACAAATTATGATGATTGATATGGACAAGCAGGACTAGACGAATCCAGCCAAGATCCAGAGACAACAGAGAGCACCAATCAAGAAGGGACACAAAGGTGGCCAGGTCAGAGAAGATTCAAATATGTCACATGCACGATTTGCAAGAATGAAAGGCCCCTTCTCGGGTTCCAGAAAAACTTTACATATGCAGAACTGGAAGATTCTACAGCTGGATTTTCGGCCAAAAGCTCCCTTTATGATGATGATGATGATTTTGGATCTACTTTCAGTGGTCAGTTGACCAATGAACTGAAAATGGTAGTTATGGAACTCAAGAAAGTGTGCTTGCTACAAGAGGAATTCAAGTCCGAAGTCGATGTACTAACTGAAGCAAGACACGAAAACATAGTCATGCTGATGGGGTCTTGCTCAGAAGGAAACTCCAGGCTGCTTGTATATGAGTACGTATGCAACGGTTCGCTTGACCCCTACATTTCAAATGCGGAAAGTAAGTTGACAAAAAGTCATTTCGTTGTATCTTTCTGCTTATGATGTGTGTGTGGTTGTATTTATGCATGTACAAACATGCATACATGTACAGGGTCTTTCTTGCTAATAATTCAAACACCTGGCCATCAGAGAAGAAATTAAAAATTACCCTGACTGAAGCTGCTGGCACGATGCAGAATATGGTTGTAAACCATTGACATGGGCACAGAGAATGAAAATAGCCCAAGGTGCATCCAGAGGACTTCGTTATCTCCATGAAGCAGGCATAATTCACGGGGATGTCAGAGCAAAGAACATTCTTCTAACTCACGATCTTGAACCACTGGTATTGTTTTAAAAGAATATTATACATCCAGCACATCCTCGACACTATGCCTAGTAATGTATCTATTGAATGCACTCTCAGCTAGGAAATTTTGGGCTAGCAAGAATAAAGCATAAGTCGGATCACTCGGATTATAATGGAGAAAAGTCGGGATACCAGGCTCCAGAACATACAGAGATTTGGGGAGTTTCAACCAAAGCAGATGTATACTCCTTCGGCGTGGTGCTATTGGAGCTTTTCACTGGAAGAAGTGCTGCAGAAAAGATGCGGGATGGAACCAGTCTAGAAAGCTGGGTAATGACCATAATCATTACATAGTATAATGTGTAAAATCAGGTAGGTAAAATCACGTGGACTCACAACATTGCAACAAGACTAAGATCATTCCATAATCTGGTACCCAATCTGATTCAGATCATATCCTTCTCAACTTTCTGGTGAATCCCTATCAACAGATTTAGTAGTTCCACGCATGCATTTCCAAATTGGCTCCAACTTTGAAGGAATTAGTTTCCCTGATAAGCGAATGATGTGTGTCCTCATTAGGAGTTAGAATAATTAAGATCAAATCATTTCGCAAGGCCTGATGTACTCTTTCCTGAATATGCTTTTGCCAAAAGATATACCATATATGCTGCTACCAAGCTCAGTATGCGAGCTCGGTTGGTGTTATAAGAACACTTCTCAACCGCTTAGGTACTTATGACTAAAAACTTGATTTGGGTCAACTCTTCCGAGTTAATTGTTCGCTTTTTACTCTTTTGAGTGAATCGTACGTATGTTATGTCTTTAAAGGTACTTGTGATAGTTTGTAGAAATTTTGATACTTTGACTCCTTAAGATCCCAAAACTCACATGTTCATTTTTAAGTTTTCAGATAAAGTACAAGGGGAGCTTTATAATACCCACAAACTACATTAAGAAGCTAAAAGCAGAAATACTGTCACTGTCAGTATACCTTGTTCGCCTACACAGATCAATCTCCTTCACATGTATCGAAAGCAAGTAATACTATATCCCTTAGATGCTCATCCATTTGACTCATGCATCTGCAGGCAAAACCTCTGCTGAAAGACAGAATGTACGGACAATTGGTTGACCCTAGAATTGCAAACTCGCATGACGAGCAGCAGCTTTTCTGGATGGTTCAAGTCGCACGAACTTGTCTCTCCGCAGACCCTGACGAAAGATTAGCCATGGACAAGGTAAGTCTCAATCACGCAAGCCTTATTACCTCTCTTCATCATCCATTTCACTAAGCAACAGAACATTTCCCACTCTCATTACTTCAGGTGGCATCCACCCTGGAATACATATCAGAGAGGAAACATAGCTTCATGATGGACGAAATCATTCCAGTCCTGTCAGAAATTGAAGTCCGATCGCCGAACAAGAATGGCATGCGTGATCCCGAGGACAAACCGAAGCAACAAATCTCGAGGAAAGAGGGGAACTGGAAAGTTCGTGCGAGCAAACTGACAAGACTCTTCTCGCTCAAGTCACCAGCGACTAAATCAAGAAGCAGTAATATCAGTCGCACAATTCACAGCGAGGAATTCTCTTTCAGTACCCGAAAGAGTCACTGGACGACGATGGCGACGAAGAAGAACCTAGAGTGCAAGACTCCATTACCCGCAATGATTCCGATTCCTGGCCAGATAAAACACGAGAGAGATTGCCGAAATTTCCTATCTAGGAATCGAATGAAGTGAAATTCGCAAACAAGTTCTTCGGCAGTTGAGCTCCAATTCGCCGGAGAATATGTCGGAGACAAATCTTCTGCAGAATTCGGCGTAATCGAAGATCGATGAACCCTGGCAAGATCAATCGAGAAGCACATGAGAGGGAGGTTGAAGAAGACGGTCCATGAGATTCGAATTCGCGACGAAACTGCCAGCCGTTTCGTGCCAAGTTTCAAAGCTCATCAGCAAAGCAAGCCCCCGCCAAATCTCTTCATGAAATACTCTACTCGATAGATTCAAGCAATAATTATTGGTGACTTTTCATATTTCGTTTGATTCTTAAACTTATGGAAAAAAAATAAATAACATCACTCTCTTAAAACAAAGTATACACATATGTATTCTATTTTCCGTTCGGTTAAAAATACTTCCATTTTATGTTCTTAGCTCAAGTAATGACAATATATGTCGGATTTTACTCATATATACGAACCTGATTTTAGTACGATTACTACGGATTGGACCCGACCCGATATGCCATTGACATTTTCCTTCTCATATTCAAGAAAATATAAGAGCAACTTCAATTCCAAATTATGGGGTTACATGTATTTAAAAATTGGCTCCTTGAATTCTTTGCTTGAAACATTGATGAAATGGCAAAAACTGTGTTAGCATTTTATACATATTCTAGCCAAAAATTAAGTAGATACGAACACACGCATATATATATATATATATATATATATATATATATATATATATATATATTATACAACTAACTAACTGCCTCGGTTACATGATCCTTATCCAAATTCTATACGGAGCTAGCATGTTTTAAAAGTCTAAACTGTCTTTATACGATCCTTATCCAAATTCTATATAGAGCTAGCATGTTTTAAAAGCCTAAACTGTCTTTTAAAATTACGAGATTAAAATTATATTCGACTTCGGTATCTCGTGGTAACTACGTCAACATTTTCTTTTTTGGGAGTTAGCCAAAAAAAAAGAAGTCTTGCACGACATATCAACAATCGTACGGACTCATTCTATCAGGTTCACTCAATCGCATTTCAAGAATCTGCGAGACTCGGGTCGGGTTCCACCAAATAAAACACACGAGTTCCCGTGCAGTTCCTGTGCCGCGATCAATCCCATCCGCTAAAAAAAAAAACAAAAATCCTTATGCAGGTTCCGAACTGCGGTCGGTTCCGATCCAATCCATGGCAAAAGACTCAGGCTAAATCAATGCCCGCCATGCTGGGTTACAAGACACCCAGATAAGCTTTCTTTTCTTGATCCGCACAGGAGCCAAAAATGAGAAAAAAAAGGAAGAGGGAGAGAGCACAAAAGACAGACTGAAATAGGATCTGAACTGTCAAAATTGTAGTGATATTAGGAGGAGAAGCCGTGTTTTTCAGAAACCGAAACGAAGAGTTTCCATTGCGGAGAAGGGTTTCCTAAAAGACTTACAATTAAAGATGTCAATAAAGATTTCAGCGTGACTGTGTATCTGTTATGTTTTTGGTAATTTAATGAAACACTGACCTCAATGCTCTCCAAGATTTTGATCCTGAGAGAGAGAGAGAGAGAGAGAGAGAGAGAAATTCTTGACCCAATCCTTTTGGCATTCTCAGTCTTCCCCTCTCAAGAACATATCAAGTCAAGAGCTGGTTTTTATTCACTTCCCTTATTCTGCTGATTCTCTACTTATGATCTTTCTTCTTCCCTTGTTTTCAAACCCTGGTTAGTCACACTGCATAACACCGTCTCTTTGAGTTCTTGCTGGAGTTGGTGGGCGATTCTCAGCTCTCTCTCTTCTTCTCTCTTCTTCTCTCTTCATCTTCTTGGCTCCCTTTTTTTGGCCGAAAACAGAAAATAACCCCGTCCTCGCACATCCCCTTCTTTTGGTTTCGTTTTCGTCCTAGGAGTGCGCTCGTGTTCTTCTTGCTGCTTCTTGATTCTCTGTTCATCCTGAATTTTCTGATCTTTCTCGCATGGATGGTCTGAGAGGAAGCCAGGATCAGACAGAGCGAGTGCAGCTACCCCATCAAGATCGTAGGAAGATGGCAGAACCCGATCCTTTGGAAAGATCGGAATCCTGGAGCCAGATGCCGAAAAAAGACCCGCTCTGGATTAAGCTCAAGATATCTAAAACGGAGCAAGAGGGCGAGCCGAGCGAGCAGGAGGAGCCTCCTCCGGCAGCTGTCCGAGTTTGTGAATTCTGCGGCAAGGAGTTCATGAATGGGAAGGCCCTTGGGGGCCACATCAGGATCCACAATCAAGAGAAGAACAGGGCGAGCAGCTCGAAGAAAACAGGCGAGTCAAGGCAGAGAAAGCAGAAGGCCAAGTGTGAGAAGCATGTCCCCGAGGATCTTCCAGCTCTGGAGAAAGGAAGAGACTTTGATTGTACAGAGAAAGACGAGGAGACACCAAGTTGCTACATCTGTGACCGGAGCTTCCCTTCCATGAAATCATTGTTCGGGCACATGAGGTTCCATCCTGAGAGGAACTGGAGAGGGGTTCAGCCTCCGGCCCAAGAAAAGGACGGATCTTGCACAAGAGAAGTCGAATCCGTGAACCAGAGGACCACAGATCAAGACGCAGCTTGTTTGGAAGCAGGAAGTTCAGGATGCTTTGTGAATCTTTTGAAGGGCTTGCCGAGCTGGTCCAGGACTGAGAAAAGAGGAAGGAAAAGCTTGATGGCCTCGGAACCTGAGGCTATTCATGGCCTCATGAAGTTGGCATGTGCTGCTTCTTATGAATCGGGCATATCTGATGACCAAGTCAATGATGAGAGTCCACTGCGGAAGCGTAGGCTTGATGAGGAAGAGCTTCCAGGGCCTAGAAACCAAAACCTAGAGCCAACAGAAAATCGAATCCAACAATCAACTAATGTTGAAGGCGAGGGCTCGTTCAAAGCAGTTTGCAATCAGGACTATGAGCTGGAATATGCAGACAGGTCTAGGAAATACAGAAAAGGGGAGAGTTTCAGTCATAAGTTGGAGAGCAACCCGAAAACAGAGGCTGACAAGAAGATCAAGGTAAGTGGGATGTGTGAAACTCGAGATCTCAGCACTAACAAGGAATTTGCAGTGATGCCAGTTAAGGAGGACAAGGTATTGACACATCACAGGTTTAAATGCATGACCTGCAATAAGACCTTCCCAACATTCCAAGCGCTGGGTGGTCATCGATCCAGCCACAACAAAGAAAGGGGGGTTGTTCAGCCACCAGAAGCCTCTTTATCCACCGGTGCTTCGGGTACCGAGAAGAAAATCATATTGAGTCCCAAAATTCATGTGGCAGAAACCAACAATTGCGCAACGAGCTTTGCGCAGGAGGATGTCATGACTCACAGGTGCGAGATCTGCTGCAAGAAGTTCCCAACCGGTCAGGCACTTGGGGGACACAAGAGGTGCCACTGGGTCGGACAAACCGAGGGCCCCCCATCAAGCGAAGTCGTGTCGCCAGGAGATCAAGCTAGCCAGAGCGGTCCTAGAGCGCTAGCTTTTGATCTTAACGAACCTCCTCCAACGGATGAGGAAGATGGCGTCATCTCTGGATTCAACTGAGCCTGATCTACTGAGCTGGTTATTGGCATTTCCTTCTTTCCTAATAAGTAATTGCAGTAAAATTGATTCGAGTAGCCATTGCTTAACTATGTCTTCCGAAATTCTTTAGTGCAAATGCTTTGGTTGCTTGAATTTTCATATTTGTCTAATTGTTGTATTTTAAAACAATATTCAAAAGCATATGCGTTTCCATTTGATGTGCTTTAGGTACCCGGTTCAATGTTCATTCAGAATTTCTTGCTATTTTGTTTGCGTGATTACCTTGATCCAGAGTACTGGGATTGAAAGGAAAAGTAAGCCATGGTGTACTGGATGATATGGAGTCGGATTGGATTGGTCAGATAAGCTGCTGACACATCCAAATGAGAGTTAGGATTCTGTTTTGCACCAATATCTAGTCTACTACCCGATGATGCTTAAAGACCTGATTAGTCCTCGACATATGAAGTCGCACCCCACAGACATCTTCGATTACAGGTCGTGGATCGTTCTGTTCATAATCACTTGAGGTCAGAGTATGAGTACCGACTAGATCATGCCGCCGTTGCTTTATTTTTGCATCTCATTTCTTTTAGTGCCCCCTTCGTCGGTCATTGCTGATTCTCTCTACTATGAAAAGCATTTCCAAATCCTTTCATTATCCAGCTTCCAGGACAGACAACTCGTCTAATTAAGGTTCGGCAATCACGAGTTGCTAAAATCTTGCTTAGTAAAAACAAAAGGACCATTCAATGCTGCAGATTTGAAACTCGCAACTTTTTTTCAGCGAACTATTTTGAGTAACAAAACCTGGTCGAGATTTGGTCAAGTCAAATGGACTCCATTGACAGGCATAGTAGAGGGTCCGAAGGCAGCTCGTAAAGTTCCTACCTTTGGAGGACGGATAATATGTGATTTGACACACAGGTAAGCGAGTAAGACAGACTAGATCAAAATCGCAGGAAACATCTCAGCAGGCACAATTTGATAACATTTCCAAGGAGGGTAGATGTGGTCACAGACGCGATATTCCTCCCAAATCAGTCACAAGAGTCCTTTTGGGGAGTCGACACCAAAATAATTTTGCGAAACAGAGAATTCCAGGCACACCACAATATGTTCAAGTAGATGGAAGGGAAGGTCCTGCAAGATAAATGAGCCGTCGACTTGACTGGTCTCGGCAGAATATCACCTTCGAGTTTCGAACTTGGAAGTAAGAAGATCGATATAAGTCAGACGGAATGAACTATAACCTATAGCAGTGAACTGAAAACTACTGAAGTCGGTTGTATAAAAGATATCGTTCGATCATTTTGTGTGGCCAGCTAGCTGTCACTCCCTCCCTCCCTCCCTCCCACTTCAAACATCAAAAGACGAAAGGAGTAAGGAGGGCAAGTATCAATTGTTTTCACGAGATTGTTCCTAGTTAGCATCATTTTAGGCTTGACGAAGTTACTGTACTGTAGTTTTAACGTTGGTGATATAATTGTCTAAAGAATGCTTTGTTTTGTTAAAGAGTTTCCATACACTCCTAATGTTAAATTATGCCTCGAGTTTAAATCGTCTATGGAACCCGATCCGGTCAGAAGATATATCCAAGAAATATTTTAAAGGCCATATAGGATATGTATGTTCAGATTTGTTTTTATTGGGTTGGATAACTATCCTAGTTTGACCGCACAAAGATTATCAAGAAAGGGAGCTTCTGTGCGGTCAAAATAAAAAGGGAAACAAAGGGGCACAAGATATGTGGTGGTTTCCTTTTATACAAGTTTGACCGGTTGACCAAGATTTGGACTTTCTCAGCAAGTCATGCAGTGGACTTTCTCTTAGTCGCCTAAGAGAAGCCGCTCAAAAGATAACTAGCAAAAAAGAATTAGGACGTTTCTTGAAGAAGGTTCAACAACCGGTGATTTGTGATTTGTGATTTGCGGTGTGAGTTTTGCATCCAATTGAGTTATTTATAAACACTTTAGACTTGAGTGCAATCTAGCTATGAGAAACTCTCAAACATATGAGCTAATATAACTCTAATTCTCCGATTATTCGACCAAAAAAAAAATTCCGATTATATTGGATTAGTTGGTTGAGTAGCACCGACACTCAGACCAAATCACGTAATTCTTGGTGTCCTTATTGATCTTCGTTTATTTCTCTAGTTTAGTTGCAAAAATCAACTTTCGCATCTTTAATAGCGATGCCCTAGATTAACTCACTCGATATTTGGCCCGTCCTATATAAATTTTGACATTTTTGGCGTATGATAGAAGAAAGATGTGAAATACATGGACAAAGCATCTCCAGAATCACATCGTACTTCTTCCTTAATCCATCCGGTAAATATTGGTGGATTGCACTCTCACATTCCGAAAGACCTCGTCCTAGTGTACGCCTAACGATCATCTTTTCGAGAGATAATGTCAGCGAGACTCTCCATGAAATATTGGAAAAAGGAACTCATCTTGAACGAGCCAGTCGAGAAATATCAAGATTTGGCCAGTGTCTTGATACTTTGCTCACGGTGAGTGTTCGAACATCGGAACAAGAATCTGATCCAACCGCTCCTTTCTCTCAGCTGCGTCCTTAACGTATAGACCAGTTGCGATGGAGAAGGTAGTGGCGGAGGAAGGAGAAGAGCGACGGTCGCTATGGCGATCGAGCACCGAATCGATGGTCTCCCTCACTCTCGGCAGAGGGTTTTGACCTCTGCTCGCCCCAAGAACCTCCGGGACGTCACCTCTCACTTCTCTCCCGAGCTCCGATCACCTCCAACCCTCGTCTCATATTACCTACCGTGGATTAGATACGTATCCATAGGAGAAGATTAACACGAATGTGTGTAATGGAGTTGGGTAGTAAGAGTTACCTCAGCGGCGGCATTCCATGTCCGAAAATGTCAATATACCAGGTCTAGAACTAGTGTGTATATATATATAACCTTTGTATTGAATACGAGACAATAATACAACGCCTACATTGCAAAATTTGAGTTCTAACGAATCCACATAGATGCCTAAGAAACAATATGAAGGTCGTTAATACCGTGTTAACTGGATGCTGGTGATCAATCCTCAAATCCTACAGATTTGCTAGGTTGGGCCAGATTTCTTTTCAGGCGAAAAACTGACACTGTCCAAGTAGAGCATCCGGCCGAGTTGCATCAATACGACGTGCTTGTGCTTCAGGATTCAAATTAGGTCCTGCAGAAGAAGGGGATTGAAATAACCAAAACAAATGCAAGACCGTTTCGAAAACCTAAAAGCTTACAAAAGTGTTGCGATAATAATAGAAAAACCAAAGTGTAAATGCTAGACCTGTTTCGAAAACCTAAAAGCCTACAAAAGTGTAATAATCTCACCGATTGATGATTCTCTGCTATCAGGAGCTTGCTCTATGAATGCTGGCGACGCAGAATGACCCTCAGTGCTGATTTCGTTGCATCGTGGATCCAAATCTCCGTTTGTAGTTTTCGACGACTGCGGTGCATGCAGGATCGCTTGCAGTGGGTTGATAACATTTTCTGCTGCAAGCGGATGCGGATGCTGTTTCGTATCATCAATCTGGTGCAGCAGCAGAGAGGATGTTTTGCCCCGACTACCTTGTCCAGCTTGTAAACTCTGGCCTGAAGGGAGCTCCGGCATTCTAGTCCCGAAAACGGGTCTGAAAGGCGGGGCATAACGGGCACCAGAGGGCAGATGGCGATTGCCTTCAAAATCAGCATTATGCAGAGGCGAGAAACCTGGCGCAGCGATCGTCTCGCTGCTCTGATGGGCGTATCGAATGAACGGTGGCGGCAGATCACTTATGAGACTACTGCCTGCTCGGATAAAAGGCGGCATCGCTTCTCGGACGTATGCAAGTGCAGAATTCCTATTGGGCTGCACAAAACCTGGAGGAACTGGAACATTACCCGCAAGAAAATTAGGGCTCTGTGCTGGCAAGAAAGTAGTATGGCCAACGATCGGTGCGCGGCCTATGTTTGGATTTGCCTGGTACAACGGCCAGCCGGCACTCTCATGCCGCTTCACCCTAGTATTCCAGAAATTCTTGATGTCGTTATCCGTGCGTCCCGGCAACTGCGCGAAACACAGTTTCCATATGTGATTCAATATGTCAGAATATTTAAACCTTGCCTCAAGTAAGACATCTTAAACTTTTAGAGCAGTTGATCGTGCTTTCATAAAATTTTATATGATGCCACAATTTGTTTAAATTTTTAGAGTAGTTGGTTGTGATCCCACTAAGTTTTATACAATACAAACGGTTATAGGAATCCGAATTGAATCCATCACCTGGGCGGCTATGAGCGACCACTTGTTGCCGAAGCGAGCGTGGAGCTCCACGACCAGCCGCTCCTCCTCGTCGGAGAAGGTGCCCTTCTTGAGGTCGGGGCGGAGGTGGTTGAGCCAGCGGAGGCGGCAGCTCTTGCCACTTCGAGGGACGCCGGTGAGGCGCCTGACGCGGTTCCAGTCGCCCTCTCCGTGCTCCCGCACATACTGCACCAGTATCTCGTCCTCCACCGGCGTCCACGGCCCTTTCATGAGCTCCCCTACTGCCGACCGCTCTCTCTTCGGCATTGGAACGCAACGGAGTGGAATGCTGGAGAAGAAGAAGAGAAGGGGAGGAAGGGAAACCAAGAGAGTATGGAAACCAAGACGGCGAAGCGGGAGTCGACGTGGATAGGTCTGATCTAAAAAAGAATTCGAGTCAAACAAAAGGTCAACGCGACACCTATTATGAGAACTTTTAACGCAGAAAATTAATTTAAAGATATATACGGATTTCACTTAATATTCAAATTTTAAAGTTTTCATTTAGCATACGATGTCTCTCGCATTGTTCTTTTTATAAAATTTTAAACACTTAACATTTTTCCTTAAAAAAAAAGTCTTATCTTGACATTGGAGAGTCACCATAAACTTTTTTATATCTTTTTCTATAGATTGAATCATTTTTTTTTCATGGAGAATTCAAATTAGGCTTAGTTGGTCTTTTGGATAAATTACAGGATGAGTCCTAAAACTTCAAATTCCTTATTTAAGTGCTAAAACTTATCAATGTCGCGCACTCGGTCTTTTTGTCAAGTGGACTAGAAAATATACATATGGCTTTCTTTTATTATAATTTTAGTCAAATATGGTCTTTTAATAGTTAAACACAAAATTGTTTCGTGACGCCCTGTCAGCAAAATTAGAAGAAAAAAACCGAAAATAAATTAAATAGAAAAATGAAAATAAAGATGAAATCTGGAAAATTGCAAAAAAAAAAATATAAAAATACAAAAGGAGGACAGTAGGGTTAGGGATGGGGTGCCACGGGCAAGGGTCGCTGGCCCTCGCTATTTTACCCTCGATCTCTCTTTCTTTCAATTTTCCTTTTCAATTTCATATTTTTCCCTTTTAAAAAACACATATATATGGGCACAAAAATGAAGTTGTCTTGAGTTTAAAAGCAACATAGAATTGGCAAAAATACTTAAAAAATCACGGGTGGGTGCATTTCTGTCCATTTAGAATTGAAGCGCTTGGCAGAATGATTGATACGTAGGAAGTTGAAAAGTTTTAGTACGAAAGTTTAAGGATACATGTGCACAAAAATGACAAATTTTAAAATGCCTAAACTAGATGAGATATTTTTTTATCTATCAAGAAAGTTTTTCTAAATTTGAGATATTGCAAATTGAAAGATGGAAAAAGATAATAGCGACTTATTTAAAATAAAGAAGCTCGCCAAAAGATGGAGGGGGTCTAAGGTTCGTGGTACTTTACAATATTCCTTGGGGTGATATGAGATATGTACCAATGGCACGAGAGAGTATTTTTGGGGCCAAAATGGGAAATAAATACTTGTATTCTAAACACTTTTCATCAATCTCTAAGGTTCACTTGAATGGTAAATCTGCGGTTGTAAAGAGAATGGCTCATGTATATATAGATGCCTTCCACCTCATTTGGATCATTAAAGACATTTATGCAGTACCAACTATTCTTGAGAGCAAGTCTCTCTCTAAATACTTTTTCTAAACACTTTTATACTAGTATCAAATACTCATAATAACTCCGAAACCAAGTATCAAATACTCATAAAGCGCGCGAAGTCTTAAAACCAATACACAAACCTGAACTAGCAAGAATTGTCGGCTCCATGGTTGATCAACCACGGAGCCCTTCCTCGTGAAGCTCTGAGGTCTTAGACCTAGGCATGGGCGTTGAAGTCCCAAGCTCGGCCTCGATATTACCGGGCCTAGTGTCCCGGGCACGGGCACCGGTGTCCCAATCGCGGCCTAGATGGAACTTGGCGCTGGTGCTAGGGACTCAACCAGGATCGGGAACGACTATTGGGTTTCCTGTGCCCAAGAGCAGACTTTCTGGGCCAAGTGTCAATACTTTATCATATTTTAAAAAATGATTTTCGATTTTTTAAAGAGAATTATTTTCCTGAATTTAAACTTTGGTAGGATATTCTTTTTCCGTTTATTCATTTTCCTGAGCGATCCAAATGTCAGAAAATGATGAAAATCTTTTGCAAAAAAATATTTTTTGCGAAACAAACGTATTTTATTTCTAATTTGCTTTCTTGCATAATTTTCATCATTTAACAAATTGCAAAGATTTGCACTTGCGTCAGACAGGAAATTACCATTAAGAAACCGATCTCAATTATAAGGACGAAAACGTCAAATCCCCTTTACGCTCGTCCAAAAAGAAAATAGGAAATCAAGAGCGTTCTCGACTCAGGTACAGAGTCCCTTCACTCCGTGCCCTTGCTAGACATGAAAGCGCAGATTCAGCTTGTCTTTTTCTAATTAGAGCTCGTCTCAAAAGAATCGTTTTTTCTATTGCACCGTGATCAAAGTGAACGAGAGGGGAAGATGGAGAGCGTGCTGCCACTGATCGATAAGCAGAGCATGGTCTCCTATCGCCGATGGTTTGCTCGCCAGTTCTTGCACTTCCACTGTGTCTCCGTATCGTGTACATGACGCTTCTCACATGGATTGATTGGCAGAGACCTAATATTGCAAAATAGCTGCGCTACTGGAGTTAGGCATAAACTTTCGCTTGATGCACATGGAAGATAAGGGAGTTTCGTTGGTTTCTTTACTTTTGTGACGGTTGACGGTAAGATCATTAATTAATTGTTACTGGTTATAGGGATTATAGCGGTTACGAAGGCTTGATCTGTAGTCGGTTTAACGGCTGGGAGGGACAACAGTGTACGGACAAATATATCTGCGGATGCAATAATGAAGTTGTCTTGTGTTTAAAAGCAACATAAAATTGGAAAAAAAATACTAAAAAAATCACGTATGCATTTCCATCCATTTAGAATTGACATACTTGACAGAATGATTGATACGTAGGAAGTTGATAATTTTAAGCACGAAAGTTTAAAGATAAAAGTGCACAAAGTTGAGAAACTTTAAAATTACCGAACTAGATCCATTTAGAATTGACATACTTGACAGAATGATTGATACGTAGGAAGTTGATAATTTTAAGCACGAAAGTTTAAAGATAAAAGTGCACAAAGTTGAGAAACTTTAAAATTACCGAACTAGATAAGATATTTTCTATCTATCGAGAAAGTTTTTCAAAATTTGGGATATTGCAAATTGAAAGATAGAAAAAGATAATGACGACCTATTTAAAATAAAGAAGCTCTCCATAAGATTCTTATGGATGGGTATAGCTGCTCTCATAATATGAAATCATACACAAATATCATAAGTTTGTTCTTTTTCTTGAAAAAAAAATATGGGTAAATAATTTCACATCAATATATATATGTTCGTATGTATATCAACTTCTTGTATTGAGTGTGTCACGAAATCATAGGCCGCCTACATTGCGATATCTGTATTGTGATAAATCCGTATGATACCTAAGAACCAATACGCAAACCTTAAACGTTGTTTATTGTATGGTGGTGGTGATCAATCCGTCAAATCCTTTATGCCGTGGATTGGATACCAGCGTCGACACACCAGCCTATTACTAGTGAATGTATAGATATTCTAAACCAACTCTAGTATCAAATACGTCATAAAGCGATTCTACAGTGCAATACATGAGTTTTAATGAATCTGCATGATGTCTTAGAACCAATACGCAAATCTTGAACACGGTTAACACAATTTAATTGTACGCTGGTGATTATACCTCAAATCTTTCTAAGTCCTCTTATAGCATTTACTAAATTGGTTCAATCCACAAGGGCAACTGAAGCCACATCAGACATGACACCGGCCTCCCCGGACTAGCAAGAACTGCCGGCTTCGCTGGACCTGCTGCTTGTGAAGCTCAACTTGTCGCTGATGGGCTCTTCGGCATCGCCAGAAGAACAGCGCAATGTAAGTGGAATGTTCGAGAATAAACGAAAGGAAGCAAGATTTTGCAGACAGAGATTAAATCAGACATCTATTCAACTGGCCATTTACCCCTCTCTCTGATCTCTCACGAGAACAGCAATGCTCTTCTTTCGCTAATCATTAAATAACAAATATCATGAATTTATGATTTTCCTTGAAAGGGAGAAAAGTGTCAAATTTTTTACAATTTTTAGATTTTGACTAAATTACTTCTACACCCTTATAATCTTTTGTTAGAAGGCGCTCGCTAATCATACTTAATAAATAGATATTTTTCTTTTAATGCATCGATCGCCCATAAGACAAGAGACAACGAATTGAAAAGGACAGTTTTTCTATATTTTAAGTGTTTTAATGAAAAACATGATGTGGCTGTGTTTAAGTTATTTTGTTATCCAACTGATCTAGGAAGCTGAGTCTTATGATGACAAACTACACCGGTAATGTGGATGGTCGAGAACAAGCCTGATAGACCACGAATTTACTGTCTACCTTAATGGTTCGGTCTGAATTGAGGGTCGAGTGTGTTGAAGTAATGTAACAGTGTCAAAGAAATTTACTCAAGCACAAACAAATCTAGAACCGATGGATTCACGTACAGAATGACGGACAATGTCCATGCAAATTCTCATCAAGACTCAAGATGAATTGCTGCAATTTACTCACAGAAGAAATCCTCCTAATATCGCCAAATTTCTCCCTGAGGTGTCGATCAATCTCGATTTCAAATGGTCGATGTTACCAAAAGAGAGCTCTAGAAAAGCTTCAGCAAAGAAACACATGAGAGAGAGAGAGAGAGAGAGAGAGAGAGAGAGGAGAAGTCGGATCGCGGCAATACATGATCAAAAACATAATGTACAAATTTTATCTTCTACTACCACAATCGTGTTTAGGTCTGCACATCCCTAATCTCAAAAGTTCATGAACTTGCCCCACAGATAAGTGAGAAATTCCCCAAACGTGCAAGCACTCTATTTGCTTTTCATTATCTGATAAAGCCATTTGCAAATGCTTTACCTCTTTCTCGTTCATGTTTAACAGCCTTAGAGAATCTCTTATACTAGGGAAAAATGCTTCTGGCCGAGCACAAAATGGCTGGAAGACAAGGTACAAAGCTCTCATATCCGCTGTAAACCGACCAATCCCTTTTGCGGAAAAAGAGATGTCGCTTGTAAGCATGCTGCGAAAAAGAAAATGGTCGAGCCCATCGGCGACGTTACGCCACATATCCAGGAAGTCCTTCGGGTTTAGTATTTTTCTGATACTTGTTAGCTGACTTCTCAAGGCATCCAATGCTATGACAAGATCGGCAGACACTACATTGTCAGTCCCTGAAGAAACTATACTCGGGGTATTATCTTGCTCAAGTTGCTCAATCCCAAAACTATGCCTATTCTCGACATAATCCCAGCTAAGCATTTCAAATTGTTGTAGGAGAAAGGCAATTATCTCCATCAGCCAATTGGTCTCGAGCTCAACCAAGCTTTTAATTTCTTCCCCAAAGAAGCAATTATAACCAGTGTCAACATTTTCATGCCGCTCCATATCCTCACCGAAGTTCATGTCCAAGAAATTCACATCATCACTCCACTCTAGCAGTTTATATTCAACATATCTGGCGGCATTTATAGACCCACAAACCCTCATAACCACATCATTGTCATCAAAATTGGCAGACTGCAATTCTTCTATCCTGCAATGTGAAATTAAGACCTTGAGAAAACACCAAACGAATTTCCCAGCAGCCGATCTGATAAACTGCACCCTTGGGAAAATAGAGGGTAATTTTTGACATCTCTCTATCATTGCCCACGCAACTTTAAGCACGAAATCTGCGATCAATGGAGCTTTGTGGTCATCTTGGTTAGCAAGAAGATAATCCACAGATTCCATTTCATGATAAAACCCATTCCCGCACTTGCTACTTTGCACCCAAGCCCTCTCATCTCTTAATTCATCTTTGAATTTCTTCCACGCATCCTTGAACTCAATCTTTGCCCAAATCTTGAGCCACTCAGGCTTCTCACAGAATATGTTCAATACTGATATTCCCCTAGTCAGACATTGAAGCATATCAGAGCCCACGTGAAAACAGGTTTCGGATTGGACGAGCAACTGCATACGTGAATCGAATGCAATGATGAGGTCCATGATATTAAGCCATGAAGTTGAAACTTCAGATTTGCCACATTTATCCTTGTAGCTTTCAACAAGTGGAGGTAAAACCTTCTTCACCAGGAATCCAGAAAGCATTTGAGCCATTGAAAAAACCCAAGCTTCTCTGGCACTAAAGCCAACCAACCTGGCCTTATCTATCAGAGGCTGCAAAACATCTTCAACTCCAACCAGGAAATCCCTCGTAACTTTAAATGCAAGAGCAAAAATCAATTCGGGCTGGTGAATCCATTTAGTAAAGTGGTACTCCATCCGTGCTCCAATGGGAGACACCAGCTCATCAATGGCCCAAAGCCTCGATCGCTTCTCATTTAAACCCAAAAGTTTCTGTTTTCGCTCTTCCCTTCGTGTCTGCAGATGCTGCAGTGCGCAAAGAGATAGAAAACTGTGAGCATAACTCTCTCTCTTCTCTCCTTGCATTAAAACTAGAGGATTTGGTATGCTAGAGACTTCTCCATCCCCCATAGCCGTCGTCACAAGTTTTGGTGGCCATCCTAGGGAAGCAAGAAGAGACCTATGATCTGCAATGACTTTCGGTCTAAGAACAGCAAGAGTTTTGTCGACTCTGCTATCCACAGATTTCAAAAGATGGCACCATCGAGGTCGAGATTTCAAAATGCCAATCACTAGGTCCTCGATATCGTTCATGGTTTTTATTGCTTGAAGCAACTTCTCTCTACTCCGTCCAGTTTCCTGAATTGGAAAGGAGGAATCAAATCGGGTTCATAACCAGCAGGGAAATTAACATCTAAAGAACTACCACGAAAAGGAAGGGCAAAGATTAAGGTCATTACCATCAGAACAGATGAAGCAAAATATTTTCCGGACAAGACATTCCTGTCTTGGCGATTCACAGAGATAACTGAATCTTCCAGATCTCCAACCAGCACTTCAAGCTGTAATGCAGTCCCTTGAATATTTGTTAGCATAAATTAGTTGTGGCATATCATAGAAAGCAGACATTCTCCTTTCCCTAGTAAAGCAACAATAAGAGACTGACTAAATCTTACGAAGTTGTATTACCCATCAAAACATCTTAAGTTGAATTCTCATCGATGCCAATAAGTCGTGAGCCTAGAATTGAACGACTCTCGAGAAACTCGATTACAGTGGTTCACGATAACGCGAAAGACGGATTGGCGACGAAGTCACGACTCCGAGATTGATAGAAGAACAACATTTTTCTGCGCGCTGCTGCCACTAGCTAATAAACAACCGAAAACGACTCGAGGTAGGGATCAGAGCTCACCGACGTATTCGCGAATGTTCTCGACGCGCTGCACCTCTTTCGCAAGCCAAGGAAGCTCCTCGCCGAAAGTTCTTCGACTCCTATTCGACTGTCCACCACCGTCTACAATCACGAAACTAACCATAAATTCAATCAAAGCATCGAGCTAAAGGCGGACCAGCCACAATCACACGTTTCAGAACCCTCACACAAAAATGATCGCCGCGAAGACGACGAAATGCAAACCTAAGACGATGAAATGCACTCCAAAAAAGAATAATGATCGCAAAAGGAAAAGTGCGCAGAAAACCAACATTGCGACGTGCGGACGCTGAGATTCTCCAACTTGACGAGCGACTTCTGGATCAAAGACTTGGCCCCGAGCGAGCGGTAGATCCACGAGACGGCGAGCCTCGCGATCCGGCCGCGGAGGGCCGCGAGGTCGCCGTCCAGATCGGCGCACCTCCGGCCCAGCTCCGACGAGAGATCGGCCGCCCCCGGCAGGTCCCCGGGGCTGGCGAAATGCGCGTCGAGGAAGGCCACGAGCTGCGGAGAGAGCTCGGCGGAGGGAGGCAAGGGCGCGTCGTCGGCGTCGGCGTCGGGAGCGTCCATGGCGACATGGGAGGTCGTTGCCGTAACCGTAACAGCGTATTTTCAAAATTCTTTTTAAGTCGCTCAAAATTCGGACAGCAGAAGGGGCCAGGCTTTGTTTTGTCCTAGGGCTCAGCGTATTTCAAATTCCTTGCTTCGTTTTCAAGTTCTCTAGTTCACTAAAGCAGTCCTCCTTTTTCGTGTTGAGAAATAGCACGAGATAGTCGGGCCACTAAAATTAGTAACAAACAACGAACGTTAACACATCTTGGAAATTGGTACAGGGATCGTATCTCACTGAAAAGAAAAAACGTGACATTCTTCGAATGAAAATGTTCATATTTTCAAAGCGCAAGTAATTACTCGTTACCAACGCGAAGTGACTTAGGGGCGCTCCTTAACATTTTCCGACAATTTAATACAAGCTTCTAAAAATGCCTGAAAAACCTTAGCACCAAGCTATTGAGCCCAAAATAGGAATTTGGGAGATTGATATTATCTTTTTTTTCTCGTACTATGGACGACCGAAATTCTGGGTTGAAACCAAATTTAGCCAAGCCGAAGTAGTCAATTTGATTCGAGAGTGGACGCACAAGTTTTCACAAAATTGCTTCGCTCGAGATGTTTTGCGTTGTTTCCATGTTTTTCCATATCCTATGTAAAGGACCAAATTTCACTCTCTTCTGACTCTGAGAGAAGCTATCCACAAGAGAATGGCATTGTCATCAGCATCAGGGCCTTTTGCTGCCAAGAAAATCCTCTTGAAGATCTCTCCCTTCAAAACAAGACATGCAGAGAGTCAAATCTGCCTATGCACAAAAACATAAATACGCACTGTACAACCCGAGCCGTTATTTACAAGGCCAAGCGCAGGTCAAGGCAAAAAATGTGATAGGCTGCCACGCGCACAGAAAAACATGAGCTCCCATGTCTACCTCCAGCTTAAATCAATTGTAAGACCAAAACCCCCCCAAATCACCTCTTCTTCCTCAGCCAGGCAAAGGAATGTCAGTTCAGACAGTTAGGATCACAGAGAAGTTGACGTTCCCTCGGGGATCAACCTCGGGGAGCCAGGGCTCTGTTCTTCGTCGACCTCCGAAGAGCTGGAAGGAGTAGGATCGTGCTCTATCATCTCTGGAATTACCTTCGGCTCTTGCTTTATTAGCCGTTCCTGTTCCAATGGATTCTTAAGCAGCGTCCTCTGTTCTAAATATTGATATAATGTTCAAGCAAAACATGTTAAGGAACACAGAGAAATAAGAACAGAGAATGCTCGAGCATCTGATCAGGGAAAGAACGGCAAAAGAAAGGAGGATTCATGGGTCCTCAAATCACCAGGCATTGATTGCGAGCACTCATGTACTGGTTAGTCAAATAAAAGGATATTCTCTTCTCCATCCCTTCTCATTTGCTTGTTCAATAAGATTTTGTAGCCGGGCCAGCTCTCTTTGAATCCACTGCAATATATAGAAAAGGTTAATTTCTGGAAGTTTGATTCTGGAGGAAAAAGCAGCATGCCCTGAAGTAGATACATCTGTGCATACATGCATGATTAGAGAAGTGGTGAAAATTTTGTGGGCAGAATGAATTCAGTAATGTCCAGCGGCATGATAATAGCAAGAAAAAAGAAAACAGTCTGAAGCACCAGTACAACTCTCACGGGTAGTCAGTATGGACCTGGATGAGGAACACTTACATGTTTAATCACATCTTCATGCAGACTTTTAGCCTTCTCCCGAAGCTCGACCTGTCAAAACTATCAGGTCAAGAGATGAACTATCTACAGTTTGCATATATAGGCGCAAATTTGACCACTAAAATGACTTTGAGAATCCATTAAGCACATATTCATCAAAGAAAACTTTAACATCTAGTCTACTAAAATTCTATACCGAATGATGCAATTCCACGCCTGATTTCGTTGCCGATTCCATAAGGTTCGGAGTGGTCTTTTCACTTTTGCACCGAGTTTTTCATTTTCTTCCCCTTTTACTGTTTCAATTCAAAAATTTATTCTTACTTGCACATTCCAAAAGACAAGATAATGCCCTTTCACTGAATTCTGCATTGAGGATATGACATACAATTCCTGACAAATTCACAAAAGGTGACGTTGGGCTTCTTTGGGATATCTAATTGAGTTTTATGGTGAAGACAACCACTGCCAGAGATAAAAGAAAACTTTCTATTGTTTTCATTCCTGAACTTTTACTTATTTCTTTATTTGGCCAAACCACAGGTACGGTCAAGTTAAATATAAGGAGATTTAGGCATCTTCAGTCACCACTGGACCTCAGAAATTAGAAGGATTTGTTTACAAGTATTAAATATGACTCTTGCAAGTTAAAGTAGTCCTGCATGTACCCTCAGCATATTAATGGAGTTTCTACATGCGCAGGTTCTTTATAGCAGGCATTTGTCCTTGTGTGCAAAACTAAAGTTCTTCCAACTATAGGGTTATGGGAAAAAAGCTGCCTAAGCAGGAAAGACTTACCACAGTAAGCTTTTTAAGAAGGCCAGAATTTATCTTCTCCTGCAAATCCTCGCAATCCTCCTATCAAGGGGATCACACCGTTAAATGATTGAAGAGCCAAACATCGTTGAGAAGTGATAACCAAAAGATTAGATGGTAATGAGCTGGAGCAAAGCTAAAATTAAGCACCAGTGATTGTCCAGCAAAACAGCAAATCCACCTTGCAGTTTTAAGGTATATTTAAAGATTTAAAATTCTATTGATGACATTGGGGTAACCAAATTGTCCAAATAGCAGCCCAAACAATAACCAGAAAAAGTAGAGATATTCTCCTACAAACATCAAGACACTAAAACTTCGGTGCCTGAATGTCCTAGCCATGGACCACTATAAAAGGACAGTAACAAAGATAACATGGAATCTACTTTGAGAAGCAATGTCACCCCATAATGGTGCTTCCCCCACTAGTGCACATGAGCATAATAAAATAGGTAAAATGGAAAGAGGAAAGGAAAGAAAGAACAAGGAGTGGTCTTGAGTTACGACTAAGAGTTCACTCAAACCATAATTTGGATGACATTAATAGGAACAAGACAAGTTTAGTTTTCTTTTGTTTATATACACTAAGCACCAATATTGCTGGGTTCACAAGAATAGGTATCCTCTAAACAGTTCAGTACCTCAGTTAAGTCCGCATCAGACAACATCTGTAAGTTGACATCTGATGGCATGTCCAATACTTGGAGGAGAATCTCTCTATTAAGATTGTTGGCTGTTGAGGTTCTCTTTATACCTACATAAAAGAACATGATGGTGAAAATGACGTAGCAATATATAAGATCACAGCATTTTCATCAATCTGCAACAGATGAGTTTTAAGTGCTTTGCTATGCAGGAATTGGAATACTTAAGCCAAGCCCCAGCAATTAACACAGCAATCACCTGTAACTTGCAAAAGTTGGTATGGACGCTTGTGCAGATAGTCCCTTGGATCTGTTTTCACTTTTACAAAACTTCCAATTACTTTGCCTTCAAAACTATCTGGTTGCTTCAATAGCTCTTGGATCAAGCTCCTCCTCAGATAAATAAGTTTGATATTAGCTTCATTAATAGAAGCAAAACAGCTCTCTTGAACCCTACGAACCACCTCCTTTTCCTTAAGTTTTCTGTTAGTGGATCTGTTAGTGGATGAGGTTCTCTGATGCTTACTTGCAACTAAGTTGCTCCTATTCGTTTCTTGCAAATTAAGACCACAAGCATCATCACTTTCTTCCTCATCTGAGAGCTCCAAAACCTCATTAAGATGTGGCTCCAGAAGAAAGTATATTTGGTTTTTGTGAATGGTTTTCTTTCTAAATACAGAATACAGACTTTCATCACAAATAACCTTCTTCTTTTTCTCGGGATGAAAAAGTTGTTTCTCTTTGATGTATTTAGAGATGATAGAATCCACATTCCACCGTGATAGCTGTTTGGTAGTGTCTTCACCAATGGACTTGAGAAAGTGAATTAGTGTTTTTGATCCCCATCCTTCAAATTCAATAGTAATAGAACCCTTCACTTTTCTCGCTGATTTTTTTCTTGAACGGTCCTCATCACTTTCAGACAATGATTCAAATATTTCTTCACTATCGGAAAGTTTAGCTGAAAAGGAACCATGCTTGCCCCCTTTTCCCTTCTTCAACAGAATATCTGCCGAGTAGACATGATCTAAAGTCAAGCCCTCCTTTTCCTTTATTATCTCCCAATATTCTTTAAACAAACACTCATATGTATCTCGATCTTTGAAATCAAGTTTATCCTGCAAGAGTCAGATGAGAGTTGTCAAGATGGCTATGCGCATATTCACTAGAGTGTAAAGGACATCATCAAGCTGAAACAATATAGCTAAGAGGTAATGAGCCTTAACGAATTGGCATGATAATCAAACAACTCACTCGTACATTGGAAATCTTAAATTTTTCTCAAGTTACTAAAAGAATTTCAAGATAAATATCTAATTTATTCGACAACTAGGCTAATATCACTCTTTGTAATAATATATAGTCATTTTCTGGTTTTTGGCCAGTGTTGTAGTACATGTGACTCTCTATCCATTCCCATAGAAACTTTATAGAGACATACATTGCCACACTTTATTTCAACAACTACGGCTCGGTTCACTTTAAAATGTTAAAAACTGTACCACACACTTGAAGCTATCCGTTCCCATAGAAACTCTATAGAGACATACATCGCCACACTTTATTTCAACAACTACAGCTAGGTTCACTTTACAATGTTAAAAACTGTACCACACACTTAAAGCTATCTAAAGAGTTACAGGAATTTGGACAATCTCAGAACATGAGATGCCTTGTCTGACAAGAGGCTGATGTGTGGTACCGGGTATAGTCGACTGAGTGATAGATCTGAAAAAGGAAAATGTACAGCCCAAAAGGGAAAGACAAAGGAGCTGCCAATTTGCTGTGTAGCATCTAGAACACAATCATGACATATGAATGCCTAGAGATCATAAAGTTCAATGGTTCTTCGATACATACCCCATCAGAGTCATAATCCACGTTTTCTTCTATAAGCAGAATGAGTTTCAAACATTCGTGGCAGAATCCTCCATTTCCTCTGACGGATACAAACTCAGCAGCACTATCACAGCGTCCACATATAGCATTTGGACAGCAAAAGCAATAATACTTTGTGGTTTTATGGCAAATGAAGCAAGAATGACGATCTGGAAAACATTTTTATATCATTGTCCAAATATATGTGATAAACTTTCCTGTACAATGCCCTAGAAGAAATGTAATGTCAAGGCAAGTTACAAGGAGGCTGAGAAATTCCAAACTCTTCAGCCATATCTTGAGTTTGTGACTGCATACGAGCTTACGGTGGAGAGAGAGAGAGAGAGAGAGAGAGAGAGAGAGAGAGAGAGAGCATGGTGCAAATGCACACCCCAAGTTATGTTGCTTAACTTGAAACAGAATATTTGCGGCTTACCACAAGTCCAGGATTGCCCAGTCTGCATAGAAGAATCATCCTTTCCCACACAATCAGAATGATAAACTTTTGAGCAATCTCTGCAGTAAAAAGCATACATTGAGGCACAGAAACAGAACAAATCCATAAAGGACATAATTGCTAAATAGACACTTTTGATTACAACTCCAGAGTCCAATTCCTGATCCGCAAAAATGTGCTTGAGAAAGCTAACAAATATATGCACCCAAAATCAAGGACTTCCACGGTGCTAGGGTACAATGCAATGTTGTACCATGCAATCTTTACTTTATGACGGGTTTGCCTTTGCACTTGACTAAGAAGAACGGTTGTAACGTAGTAAAAAAAAAAAAAAACCACAATCAACCGTGCTTTCAGTAGGATGTTGTACCATAGAAAATCCAAAGGATACTTTAGCAGAAAGATCCAAAGGCGTCAAATGACAAAACCATTTGTTCTACGAATAAGGAAACAGGCGAATTTGTCTCTTCTCAGGAACTTTTGGAGTGACAGCGACGACACAACACAAGGAGAAAATGCATAGGCCATGCAAGACTGATGAATCTATGACAACATAAAAGAGAAGTTTCAACACTGGTCTACGACTAATTCACCATTTGGCACCGGATATGCTATCGTTTTGGCCATGCAATGAGCACATCGTTTACACGGTGCAGACAACAGCTTCGCCCTCAACCACATAGCGCAGCCATGTGAGATCCTTGTAAGACCAAATGGCCTATCCCTGGCATTTCTCTACGAGAAAAGTTGAACAGGATTTCGTCGAGGAAGGCGCGACCAAACAAGTTCTGAATTGAAAATACAAATGCACGCGCAATCAAAAACATCGGAATACACAAAACTATACACAGAATGTCTCTTGATCGACTCACATTACTCAAAAAATCGCGAACCCGCACGGCAGCAAACAGAACAGAGCAATTTCGAGCACTCACTTGTGGTCGCACAGGATCAGCTCGCCGCCGTCCTTGCAGACGAAGCACCAGTCGTCGGACTCCTCGTACTTATCCCTCTTCCGCTTGTCCTGCTTCTTCTTCTTCTTCGTCATCTCGCCTGATCGCCAGAAGGAGGGGGAAGAAAAAAAGAAAAAGCAGAACGCCCAGAGTGATGTCAGTAAGTCGCCAGTCTCTCGCGACAAAGCAACGGAAAAAAGGGAAACGGAAGGCCGGCGCTGGGTAGGTACGCACGCGTCAGCAGAATCGCAAGGGCGGACTTCGCCGGCGGCGGCGGCGGCGAGAACGGCAATGGCGATCGATCACCTGGTGACGCGAGCGAGAGAGAGAGAGAGAGACTGTGCGCAGAATCGTAAAACCTGCAAAGCAAATGAATGCCGTCGTCTCTGATCAGTCAAGAGAGAGAGAGAGGGAAAGCAGCGATTAACAGAGGAGGCATCTCGTGCGCATTTCCTGAACTATCCCCACCGAAATATCTTAATCCCGAATGTGCCCACGCTTTCTGCCGGGAAAGAGGGGCGATGTCGAACTGACTGTCCTGGAGCTAAAAGGGTCATTTCAGTCTCGGCTTGCCCGGCTTACTTTTCCAAATCGCTTTTCCGGGTGCCCCGAGAAAAATATCTTACCACTCGTGGGAGAATTACGAGGATATTCTTGACCGTCGATCGACATCATCCCTTCCTAATTAGTTAATATTACAAAAGATTCTAAATTGATAATCCGATAACAAATTTATCCTAAATTAATTTTTTGATCACCAAAAATTTAAAATTAATAAATTTATAATAAATTTCTCCGTCAATTTTCGTTAAATTGTTGAATTTGATGACACGTGACAATTTACAGGAATACCGATTGGGGTTTTAACTCTCCGTTTATCACAAGTATATCAGTTCGTGATTTTTCATTGTATTAATCTAATTTAACGGATGGTAAATTTATCATAAATATATTAGTTTAGGGTTTTTTGTAATAAAAAAATTAGTTTTTGGTAAATTTATCGCAAATCTACTAGTTTGAGGTTTTTCATGAGTAAAAAATTAATTTATGGTAAATTTATCACATGTGTACCAGTTTGGGGTTTTTCGTGGTATTAACGCTTACTAATTATAAGGTTTATACCAAAACAAATCCAAAACTGATACATCCATACAGTATTTATGCCAATTTTTTTATTTTAAAAAATCTAAAATCGACAAACCATGTCACATTTATCCCAAAATAGTTTTCGTGTCGCAAAAAATTCTAAACCAATGCGCTTGTAACAAATTCAATCTCCATTATCTTTCACTAAATATCCACATTAAATTGCTGACGTGGCAATAGATGTGACAAGCAACTCGAGATCGATATATCCCTAACAAGATCTATTTATACAAAAGGAAAATGAGACAAACAGTCCCTGAATTTTGATCAAATGAGTAATGTGGTCCATGAACTTTTAATTCGTGATCCTTAAACTTTTAATATGTTCAGTGTGGTCTCTAAACTTTTTGTACATGTTCAATGTAGTCCCTAGTATATGAAAATGTTCAATATAGTCCTTTTACTAAATTCGAATTTTAGGAACAACATTGAACATATTAAAAATTTAGGGATAACATTAAACATTAAGTTAAAATTCATGGACTATATTAAACAAATTAAAAGTTCATGGACCACATTACTCATTGGGCTATTCAGAAACTATTTGGGTAATTATCCCTTATATAAACAGGTCAAAGAGTAGACAAAATGCGTTGATCAAAATCCTCATAGTCTCCAACCAAAAAAAAAAAAGGTCCTTATAGAGTCTTTGTAGGCTTAGGGTGCATTTGGTAACATTTTTATTTTTCTTTTTTCTATTATTTTGTTCCGCAAAATAGAAAAAGAACAAAAATCTGTTTGTGTATGTCAGTTAATTTTTCTATTCCCTAGAATAATAGATAAATGACCGGGGAATAGATCGATGGAAATTTTATGTCACTTGTTTAAAAATTTCTAATTATCGATACTTAATTTTTATCATTGAGAATTTTTTTTTTTGGTCGGTATCATCGAGAAACTTATGACCACTATAAATATCGATAACTCAAGTCATGACACATAATTTTACGCCAATATGTCAAATCTAATTGGGGCAAGTGAATTAGGGACATGGGCATCGAGCCTTTTTTCCATTTTATTTATATGATACAATCGGCAATTTCGGTGCAAAGCATTCACTTGAGTATAAATAATACTTAACCAATATTGACTTAGTGAGAATTTTCAAATATTTTCAATAACTTAATAAATTTGTATGCATTTCGGCTCCGGCTAAAAAGCAATTAACATCATCGATGTAGTGGAAAATGGAGAGGAAAATTTAATTTTAGAATTGGGCTCAATTTATTGAAATTTCATTGCATGCAATCTCATTTGCATGTTTTCCAACCATTGAATCTAACGGTGCGGTCAGATACGAGGAAAGCGAATTGAAGAAGGAGAAAAGGTTGTCCGCCCAACTACGACGTCGTTTTGACGAATTTGCAGATCAAAGTCACGCTTCGTCCTCTTCTTCCTCCTCCCGCTGCTGCATCCTCTTAGCCTTCGTCCTCCTCCTGAACTGCGCCTGCCTGGTCAATCCATGTCCATGTCCGCCCTGCAACAAGAGCTCGCCCCTCGTGCTTGAAGCTTCTCTACAGAAATCGCCCTCCGAAGCAGACGACGCGAAGGCCATCAATCATTCAATCCCCATGAACAGACCTTCCTAAATCACTCCCGCCGCCGTCACTCTGATGCGGGCTCCTCAATCGAACAATGCTCACGCTCAAACACGTGAGCAAGACCAGGGCCCTTCTGCTTCCCCAGTCCATCATCGTCCTCGACCACGCCCTCCTCGCCACCGCCGCCGCCGCCCCCCCTCCGCCGCCGCCGCCCCCCTCCGCCGCCTCCCTCCTCCGCGCGCCGCAGCGGGCCGGCGCCGCCCTCAGCACGACGGAGCTCGTGCTCTCCTTCGCGGAGTGGTTCCAGTCCAGCAAGAATTCCCTGTTCGACAGGATCTTCGAGATCCTGGGCTCGAGCCCCGACGACGGCCGGGGCCCGCCCGACTCGGCGCTCTCGTGGCTGGGCCTCCGCCTGACGGAGCGCCTCGTGCTGGACGTCCTCGACTACGGGACGAGGAGACACGGCGGCGTGCTTCCTTGCCTCAAGTTCTTCGACTGGGCGGGCCGTCAGCGCGGGTTCTACCACACTCGCGCGACCTTCCATGCGATCCTTAAGATCCTGTCGACCGCCAAGCTCATGTCGCTGATGATCGACTTCCTCGAGAGCTGTCAGGTGCAGAATTACTTCCACAGGATTAGGTTTAATGATACATTGGTAATGGGGTATGCGGTCGCTGGGAAGCCCGAGTTTGCACTCCAGCTGTTTGGTAAAATGCGCTTTCGGGGTTTGGACTTGGATACGTTCGCCTATCACGTGTTCTTGAACGCGTTGGTGGAGGAGAGCTGCTTCGACGCTGTCGAGATGGTCGCGAAGCAGATTTCACTGAGGGGGTTCGAGAGCGAGATCACGCACTCGATCATGATGAAGTGCTTTTGCAAGCGGAAGCAGATGGACAAGGCAGAGGAGTATTTGCGCAGGTTGGCTAGTGAAGGAAAGAATTTGAGCGAGCACTTGTTGTGCACGTTTGTCGATGCTCTTTGCCGGGATGAGAAGTTTGAGCAGGCATGTGCTTTGGTGGAGGAGTTTGCGGAGATAGGATTCGGGCCAATGGACCGTGTTTATGGTGTGTATTTGGGAGACCTTGTCCGAGCTGGGAAAATAGACAGAGCCTTGGAGTTCTTTCAGTCCAAGAAGTATTTGGAGGGATATATTCCTGATATGTATCGCTATAATATGTTGATATGCAAGCTTTTGAGGCAAAATCGTCTTGAGGAGGTGTTTGACATGCTGATGGAGATGAAGGAAGCTCACGTTCTACCTGATAAGGTCACCCTAAATGCTGCTCTATGCTTCTTTTGTAAAGCTGGAATGGTGGAAGTTGCCCTTAAATTGTTTGATTTGAGGGCCGAATTCGGGCTCTCCATCAACGGGATGGCTTACAACTATTTGATCAATACATTGTGCGGCGATGGGAGCACGGACGAAGCATATCGTGTCTTGAAGAACTCTATGGTGCAAGGTCATTTCCCGGGTAAAAAAACCTTCGACGTCCTGGCAGATGCTTTGTGCAGTGAGGGAAAGCTTGATAAGATGAAGGAGTTGGTGGGCGCAGCGCTGGATCGGAAGTTTATGCCTAGTTTTCCCGCATATGAAAAGTTCATATTGGCCCTGTGTAGGGCTAGGAGGGTAGAAGAAGCTTACTTGATACATGGGGAGATCAATAAGGTTGCTCGTTTCACCAGGAAAACAGCTAACTTGAACTTGATTCGTGGCTTTAACAGGTCAGGTAGGGGGGATATTGCGGCCAGGCTTCTTATTGAGATGCAAGATAAGGGTCATGTTGTGGGTAGGCCATTGTTCAGGGCGGTAATCTGCTGCTTTTTTTCCATGGAAAATCCAGAAAACCGATTCCTAAGATTCCTGGAAATGAAGCTGTCTCGTAGTGAACCAAGCATTCAGTTGTATAAGAACTTCATTGATGGAGCTGGGCATGCCAAGAGACCTGAACTGGCTAGAGAAGTGTATGAGATGATGAAGAGAAATGGCATTCAACCCGATGTGCAGGCTGACTTTCTCATGTTACAGAGTTATCTAAAGAGCGAGAAAGTTTCGGACGCTCTCAATTTTTTTAGCGATATATGCCAAAGGAGAGAGGTTAGCACAAAACTTTACAATACCCTTATTGTTGGTCTCTGCAGGATTGGAAAGGCAGACGTTGCACGGGAGTACATGAGCCAGATGAAGGAAAAGGGGTTGGTTCCAAATGCTGAATGTTATGAGCTTCTCGTGCAGCTCCTGTGCTCGCAAGGGGAGTATGATGCTGCATTTAATGCTATTGCTGACTTGAAGAACGTCAGACGCCCCATCACAGCCTTTATTGGCAATGTGCTTCTGTTGCATTCCTTGAAAAGCCCAAGGCTATACATGGCATGGGCACGTTCAAGCAAAGAGTATGATCATATATCTGAGATTTCAGAGCTTGGAAAACTCCTTAGAGCATTTACTGGTGGAATTATAACCGGTGAAGATGTCGTGGACACAGAAGAATTGATCAAACGATGCTTCCGGCCCAATATTTACACTTACAACATGTTACTGAGAAAACTGTGCATGACTGATGTGGACGGTGCTATCGAGCTCTCCAACAAGATATGCAAAATGGGATTCGAACCTAACCTGTGGACTTATGACATTTTAGTGCATTCTCTTATCATGCATGGAAGAGCAACCGAGGCTAGGAAATGGGTGAAGGAGATTAGTTGTACGTACCCGTCTCGCCGGGTCTTTAGATATTTGTCGGGCCGGCAGTCATCGCCGGCCGCAATTTACTTGTAGCCATTCAGAATAGCACCTCAATTTTGGTAAGAAATGATATGCTTGCCATTTTGGTCTGACGGTTGTGTCAATTGTCAAAATGGCGTCGACCCGTGTACATTACAATTTTTTCGTGAGGTATGCTCTAGTCGAAGGAGAGAATCATATGTAAGTTTTGCTCTTTACCATGTCGAATAATCTAATAAGCATTTGCTTTGATTCTTGGTGGTGCTGTCTGCATCACGGTCTACTGCATCACACAAAAGTTTTATGTTCACGTCATCACTGACTCCTAGCTGGTTACTTCTGCTCATCTTCTTCCCTCCTTCACAGGTAAATTCTTTGCCTCTTGCTTCTTGTGCTTCATTCTGGTTTCTGAGCTAATGCTTTACTCTGTGACGAGTCTGATATCGATGGCGACACTGCATCTTGTTTGATCCTGCGGATGATTTGGACTGTCGGATTTGGCGAGTCCCTAGTGCGGTGGGCATATCGCGATGGTTGCAATCTCTGTGTCCGCAATAAACCGAGTCGACACGAGAATTTCCGACGATTCATTGCGCTATCCATTTGACTTTAGAAAAGCACATGATTATGCATATGGCACAAATTGGCTCTCCTTTGTAATTTCAATTTCAGTTTGTAGCTATGAGAAGGTTGACAGATTGGCATGTCCCTTTAAAGAAACTATATCCCAGCATTGATGGCCTTTTGCTTTCTTTTGGAGAGGTTAGGGAAGTTTTATAAGATTGCGTGTTTGTCTATCACAAACTTTTTAATTTCCTGCAATTTCGACCCAAAACTTTTTTGAAAAAATACATGCGAATCTACATTAAAATGTGTATGCAATAAATTTTTTTTAGGTGTTTCGGGCTAAGAAAAGTGGAAGTAATTGGCACGTAAGATTTAGATTAAACAAAAAGTACAAAATAGAATTCAATTCAAACATGCCAAAAAGAGGGAAATCACATAATTTTTTACCCAAAAAAAGTATAGTACGGTCGAAAAATGATTAACATGGGTCATCATTTATTGAGGCTCGTACCTTGGCGCAAACAGTGTAGAATCGAAAAATGTGGCTATATAAATGGTGGCGATACGATTCGTACGGACGGATTAACATGATGGTGTAAGTTATTCCGATCCTGCTTATTGGTTTGATATATCTATTAAATGTATGAAATTATAATTCAAAAATTCAATAAAACGGTCAATCAATGTACATACTTGCATCACAAGAAAATATTCTTTTCGGGATGACCATTAGTGCCCTTGCAACTCCACAACATTAAAAAAACATTTGCACGACACTGGACGAGAGTAGGTGCATCCCACGAGCTTGTTCACGGACAAAACTGCAGTTCAAAATTTCGAGAGAACCATCAATCAATACAGGGGCCTTTAAGTAATATCAGCTCATTCACGGACAAAATATAGAGCGAAATCCAATAGAATAGTAGTTATTTAATTAATTAAATTACATTACAAATAGTATTGACATTACGTTATGCCTCGCGCTCTTTATAAGGTGTTTTAAGCCCGTTTAAGTTTCGTTCTCTTATATTCACTTTAATAATAATAATAAAAAAGAAATCCTCAGGCAAAGAGAAAAAGAAAACAGAAAAGGGATTGGACTGATATAAATTAGGAATTTTCCGTGGCAAAATCGTAATTTCCTGGGAATCCCAGTGGTGAAATAGACCGCCTCGAATGTAGTAGTAGTTAGGGTCGGCACCGTCTTCCTCCATACTCGTCCGCTGGTGAACGTTGCTTCGGGTAGAGAGAGCAGAGGGAGAGAGAGAGAGAGAGAGAGAGAGAGAGAGAGAGAGAGATGGCCGTAGCAGCTCCGGGCCACCTCAACGTCAACGAGTCGCCGTCGTGGGGATCGAGGAGCGTCGACTGCTTCGAGAAGCTGGAGCAGATCGGCGAAGGCACTTACGGGTTCGTTCCTTCGTTCGTTCTCCCTCTTCGATGCCGCCTTCGCTCGCTCGCTTCCTCTCCAATTCTTCTTCTGCCCGTCGTGCAGTTTCCTGGGTTCGATTTCGTGTTCTTCTAGGGTTTACGTGTGGTTTAGCTGTTGGATTTGATGTATATATCTCGTAATTCATGCGTCGGTTTCATTTCCTTTTTTTTGTAGGTATGGTTTCTATGGTTATTTATGCATCTGATGATGACTCGATGAGCGATTCGATCCTGTTTGTCCAGTATCTCTCATTTGGAAAATTAGGATTTCTTTTATTTACAGGATCCTCCTTTTTTTTTTTCCCCACTTCTTGTTTTTTTTTTTTTCTGGGGATGGGGCTGGATGTTCTTGTGTAGTTCCCAGTCGATGCATGTCCAGGTTGTTCCCGTTGAAAGACGGAACTTTTAGAGCTCTGGGTCGGTCGGGCGGAGCGAGTTTCGAGTTTTTGTAGATCCCTTGTATTAGAATGGGAATTTTTGTAACTGTGTATATTGATGAATTGACCATAATGGAATGTGCTGATTTTCCTCCTCTCCTGCTTCGGGTTGTAATTTTTCTTTAGCTCGGGCTGCTTCGAGCTGTGATTTTTTCTTTGTCGTGATTCGATGGTCATCACAGTTTGAAATCACTAAGGCAGCCTCTCTATAGTAGCTGGAGAAGGCTGGCATATGTCTAGCTCTTCCCGGAATCAACAATGTGGGAGTCTTGTGACACTCTTTCTTATAGTTGAGTTGCAAGCCAATGCTAAGACCCATTTTGTACTGATCATTAGAGGAAACAAATTCACGTGTCCGGTTTGTTTTAAGAAAAATGTACAATATAATGAGAGGTAACAGCATCCCTGCTTTCTTCTGTAAAATGAAAGCTTGATGTTATCATTAATTAACCTTAGCGTATCGTAACTACAAGGGCAATCTAGAAAATCATGTGTCCATGTGTCTTACTATTTGGAGTGCAGTTATTTTAATTTCCTACTCTTGTTATTGCATCTAATGGGGCCTTATGCGACAAAATGAGTCGCTTAAACACGTTTCACTTGCATACCATATGAGCTGAACTCCCTCGTTCACGGCCAAAGAAACATGGATAATTGAAGAAATAATTCAACTAGACCGAATGATCACCTTGTATAAAAGATGTTATTGGGGACAAAAATACATATTTGGAGACTAAAAACGGCATATATAGGAGCTTTAGTGTGATTTATCCTCACTTCAGCGATAAAAAAGATAGCCTTAAACGGTCGATTGTATGGCTATTTTTTCCTTGATCATGCATATGTATGACACATGACTTGTAAGAAAGAGGAGGTAACTTCTGGCCAGAGGATGACATTCTATTAAGAGTCCTTTTCTGAGCTTATTATGTGAATTTTCTTTTTTGACTCTTGTATGAATTTCTTCTTCAATTCCAGTTTCCCTCAGCTCAGTAACGTTCCATTGTTTGACGTGTGCATCATATGGTTCAGATGGTTTGGTTCATTGATGAGTTCCGCACTTTATTTTTTATATGTTGTTAATATTGTAAAATAACTTTGACTCTGCTCAAATTTTTTCTATAGTTTCTTTTAGAAAATTTTATTTGATTATTTGTCGGTGACAGCTTTGACTGCTATTTCAATTAAGTAGGTTGTGCTTAACTGTGCTATGTGGCAATAGCCCAGTACCTTCTGCAAACGTGTTTGAGAAGTGCTGCCAAACATATGTATTGGCATTTTATGTGATGGCTATAACTAATTATATAACGGTTGAGGCTGTGCAACATATTCTACAAGAAAAAGTGATGTAAAAAGAACCTTGCTTTGTGATTCTCATCCCTACCTAATGCATGCAGTCAAGTTTACATGGCTAAAGAGAAAAAAACTGGTGAAATCGTGGCTCTGAAGAAGATTCGGATGGACAATGAGAGAGAAGGGGTATGTCTTATACAGTTTTCTCGTTTTCCTTTTGGTGCTTTAACAAGCTTAAGTTGGATATCAAATAATTTAGGAATCGTTAGTCGAAAATGCTCTGAGATGATTATTGAATGTATCGTCTAGATTGTGATTGTTTCTTACCCCTCATCTGTAGTTTCCAATAACTGCGATACGTGAGATCAAAATTTTGAAGAAACTCCATCATGAAAATGTGATCAAGCTGAAGGAAATCGTGACTTCTCCAGGTAATGTGATTAAATCGGCTATCTGTTGACCTAGGCATCTATCAATCTATCCTGTTCTAAGATATGTTCTGTAATATTTTATTTAATACGTGATTGGTGATTATATTTCAACCGACCTCTATCATCCATGCAGGTCCTGAAAAAGACGAGCAAGGAAGGCCAGGCAAGTAATTTTTTACAGGGCTCTGCAGTTTAGCTTCGTACGATATTACAGCCTACACAAAAAGGATGCGGACAGATACATGCTTAATGCATAGAACATGAATGTTCTTATGTAGGCATGTAGAGAAATTTTTTGTGCTGTGCACGTATGTGCATCCAGCTATATACATACTGGAGGAATATATAGTTTCATGAGTCTAGAAGAAAAGAAAGAGAGCTGATCTAATGGACTTGATTTTACATTCTTAATTTGTTCTCAAATGAGGATATTGGATGTCTGACGTGAGATGGGCAAATTGGACTGCAGAGGGAAACAAGTATAAAGGTGGCATCTACATGGTTTTTGAATACATGGACCATGATCTAACTGGCCTTGCCGATCGTCCAGGGATGAGATTTTCTGTTGCCCAAATAAAGGTATTAAATGTTCATTATCCTCATTGTGACAGTCAGAGAAATGGTCAGTTCTAATCTTTTCTTTCCTTTTCTGCCCCTTCACAGTGCTATATGAGACAGCTTTTGACAGGGCTTCATTATTGTCATATTAATCAAGTTCTTCATCGTGATATAAAAGGTACAGATTGCTTTGATCAGTTGCATTTTTTCTGACCGATGATGCTGAGTTTTCTTGTATGTGGTGCAGGGTCTAATCTTCTTATTGACAATGAGGGAAACCTGAAGCTTGCAGACTTTGGCCTCGCTCGATCTTTCTCAAATGATCACAATGCAAACCTCACCAACCGTGTTATAACATTGTGGTATAGGTCTGTGCTCTTGAAAAGGGTTGGATTAAATCTGTTGGACGAATAGTTTCATTAGTCTTCAACGTTTCTTCAGTCAAGCAGCATACTGATAAATCAGTAGGGTGCAGAAGCATGCATGCAGTATCGTGAGCATGCATGCAGTATCCATGCACGTGCGTGGGACTTTGTCATGGAGAGACCCAACTCTAATCTTTTATTGCTCCCCCTGTAGACCTCCGGAATTGCTGCTTGGGGCAACAAAATACGGTCCAGCTGTTGATATGTGGTCTGTGGGTTGCATTTTTGCTGAACTTCTCCACGGGAAGCCAATTTTTCCTGGAAAAGATGAGGTAATATCATCTGTAGTGTTCTTTGTGCTACCTCTCTTTGTTGCAGATAATGCTGGGAAGACCACGGGATTTAGTTACTTTTGAAAAGAAAAATAGAGCTTTGGTGATAAGATAACTACTAGGGATATACTCTACTTGGTTTTAGTATTTTAGATGCTTTTATGTAGTTTTGTTGTCCCTCCCATTGATTGCTAGTTGATATATTTTGTCAATCATGTGCTTTTTATTAACTTTTGTAGCCAGAGCAATTGAACAAGATTTTTGAGCTTTGTGGAGCTCCAGATGAGATCAACTGGCCTGGTGTCTCAAAGATTCCCTGGTACAACAACTTCAAGCCGACCCGGCCAATGAAGAGACGCCTCAGGGAGGTGTTCAGACAGTAAGCAACTCAATGCCACAAAATACTCGGTGGAATTTCCTGAAGGAACTGCAGCTGACTTCAGGGCCACAACCTATCTAGGTTTTGATGAATTTTGCATTTCCCTTACAGTTTTGACCGGCATGCTTTGGAGTTACTAGAAAGAATGTTAACCCTCGATCCTTCTCAGGTAATACTCCATAAAACTTCTGTTTTTCTGTTCATCATTGGTCTCGTGGCTATGAGATGCACCAGGTCGCTCTCTCTTTTCTTCATTTTGCTTGAGGCCTAATTACTAAAATCATTTCTATTATGAGGGAAAATTTTATAAACCATCCACACTTTTCATCTTCATATCAATTAACATCCTCAGTTTTGGAAATCTACATTTTACATCTCACGCAAAACGCCAAAGCTAAAAAGACCAAAGTACCTTCAACTACTTCTCTCTGTCTCTCTCTTAGACCATCTTGTGTTTTGCGCTCTCTTCTCTCTGCCATAGCCGATCATCCAATTGGGGAATGCACTTCCATAAGCTGAAAAAAATTGAGGAAGCGCAAATGAGCTGCAATTGACATGGAGTTTTACGTTGTGATTTTCTTTTGTTGCGTGCAGAGAATATCTGCGAAGGATGCGCTTGATGCAGAGTATTTCTGGACTGACCCATTGCCTTGTGATCCAAAGAGGTCTCTGCTCTGCTCCTACTTTAATCTTTTATTTACAATTTTTTTTATTTCCCAGATTAATTGTCATTTGGCAACCATTATGCTATCTCAAGTATGTCTATTTGACTATGGAACTCGACGCCGCAGTTTACCTAAATACGAGTCATCGCATGAGTTCCAGACAAAGAAGAAGCGCCAGCAGCAGAGGCAACACGAGGAAACAGCCAAGCGTCAGAAATTGCAGCATCCTCCTCAGCATCCCCGGCTGCCACCTGTTCAGCAGTCAGGGCAAGCACATGCACAAATGAGGCCAGGACCCAACCAACTCATGCATGGTTCCCAGCCCCCTGTGGCGGCAGGCCCGCCAGGACACCATTATGGAAAGCCTCGTGGACCATCAGGAGGAGCTGGGAGGTATCCTTCCGGTGGAAACCCTGGTGGCGGGTACAATCACCCGAATCGCGGTGGTCAAGGAGGCAGTGGAGGTTATAACAGCGGGCCATATCCTCCTCAGGGGCGAGCTCCGCCGTATGGTTCAAGTGGAATGCCAGGTGCCGGACCTCGAGGTGGTGGGGGTACTAACTATGGTGTTGGTCCATCAAATTATCCTCAAGGTGCTGGGCCTTACGGTGGGTCTGGTGCTGGTCGCGGGTCAAACATGATGGGCGGTAACCGGAATCAGCAGTATGGCTGGCAGCAGTAAAATTTCCACCAGTCGCTGCTGTTGTGATAAAAGGTTCTTGAATTGTGGTTGTAGTTATTTATGACGACACTATTTCAGTGAAAGAGCAAAGAGGATCCACATACAAGAGTTGTTACGCTATACATCCTTTTACCATTAGAGCTTGAAGCAATGTTGGTATGCCAGCATTGCTAATTAAATGATCGATAGTGTATGTAAAATCAGTGTCGCAGCATTGTAATCTTGGCTTTGTCGAGGCTGTGCTTGAATAATGGTTTCCAATTGATTTCAATGACGACATACAGACCACTCGTTACGGGATTATGAGATTTGCAATGATGTGTTCTAGTTATCTCCATTGATCATTTATCTGAACAAGGAAAACTTGCGTGACAATGAGATTATTCAAAATCCAGTTCCCAATTGTGCTAGATCCTAGTTACAAGTTTGGCAGTATTGGAAGAATTGGCACTGTTAAAGCCGAAGTAATTGTTGCTCAGTTTGATCTGTAAGGCCTCTTCTGGTTCAGGAATCAGATTCCTCAAAGGGAGGATTTCAAATTCCAGCATTTTCCATGTTTAGACAAAAATCTTTGGATTCCATACCAAGATAGAATTCTTCAAAAATGGAATCGGATTATTTAGCTATAGTTAGGATCGTGATCTTATTCGACACTTTTATAACTTTAAAACTATTAAAAACTTGATTCCACCACCGACCGCTGCCACCATCAGCCTCCGGCGACAGTCATTGGCCGATGGACTCCACTACTGATCGGCGGGCACCGACCACAGACTCCACTGCTGATCAACTACAACAGTCGCCGCTGGAAGGGTAATAGTCATGGGGAAGAGCGGTGGCCGGTGGTAGGGAGGTTTTGGATAAGGGTGATTCAGGGTTAAATCATATTTATTTTCTAATTTTTTTGATTTGATGATTTTGCACTTTATGTGGCGCCAGAAAAAATTTCGTAATATAAAGACAACACATGTACTCCTACGGTCCATATCTGGAAAAACCGACCGATAATGAAAGGCTTAACGTTGAAATTTCAAAAAATAAAGAGAAAGTTCTGAATTTCGGGCAAAAGTAGAAGGACCGACAGTGCCAATTGACCAGAGAAATGTACAGAACAGGCTAGCTCAAACCTTCATCTACTTAAAGTATTAAAAATCAGGAAACATCTTTGATACTGAAGGCAACCAATTTACATACAAATCACTGTTGGTCTATTTACATCAGAACTAGTCTTAACCAGCAAACACTAGAGCAAGGCTACTAAAACCCCCTGACCCAGATATTTCCTTAAAACACAAACAGAAAAGGGGAAGTATATTTGATACCCCCGTTGGAGAAAGCCTAATGTACTATACAAACGCAATCTTTTTACTCATCTCGTGTATATATGAACCAGCGGCATGCGCATTACAGTTCAAGTGACATCAATAGTCTCTGATCTTTTGATGTAGGAGCTGAAGCAGCTTCAACGATCTGCACATGTTTGAGAAAAACAAATGAACCTCAATGTTTTCAGAGAATTCTTCAACAAGAAGCAAAAGAAATAGGATATGGTAGGAGTAGTGGAATGGCAAATGAAGATGCTGCCTCTACCCTCATACGCGCAATATATGAATATAGGGTGGGCATGGGCATTCTTGAGGATGCCACAAGACTGAAGAAAATGCTTTGAGACAGTAAAAGCAGGTGGCCACAATGATAAATGCTATATTTTGGTTGCACCTACAAATTTGAATCAGACCTAATTCTTAAAATTTCCAAAATTCACGACACTAGCTGTGTCACACTAAGGCTGCGAATGATAACCATTCTGTTTCTCTATTTCTGTTCTAGAAATAGGTTTGGAACATAAATCCATTTGGTAACGCAATTCCATTTTCTATTTCTGGAACAAATTTTTGTTCAAGAAATAGGTTTGAAACAGAAATCAGAAGTTAAAAATGTTTTGCTTCTTTATTTCTGGAACAAAATTGAGAAAAATTCTTTTCATCTCTCGTCCTCGTTACTAGCCGGTCGCCCACCCGCCGCCCATTGCCGCCCACTTGTCCGCTGCCACTGGTTGCCGCCACCCGCCGCCGCCGCCCACCTCCCACTGCCGGCCGTCGTGGGCCGCCTTCCACCGGCCGCTGTCTCCCGCCGCCGGCCGCCCTCCTCCTGCCGCTCACCTCCCATCACCGGGTACCGTCTCCCACCGCCGTCCACTGGCCACCGTCTCCCGCCACCGGCCGCCCTCCTCCCGCCGTTGCCCGCCTCCCACTGCCGACCACTGCCGGCCACCGTTTCCCGCCACCAGCCACCCTCCTTTCGCCGCTGCCTGCCGCTGCTGCCCGCCTCCCACCGCTTGCCACCGTCTCCCGGCGCCGGCCTCACTCCTCCCACCGCTACCCGCCTCCGGCCGCCCACCGCTGGCCAGCGCCCGCCGTCTATCGGCCACCGCTCCTGCCCCCGGCCGCCCGCCTGCCGCTGCCGTGGGTCGCCACCTGCAGTCCACCGGCCATTGTCCCCCACCGCCGACCGCCCTCCTCCCGTCTCCCACCGCCAGCCATCGTCTCCCGCCGCCGCCCACCTTCAGCCACCGCCCACCTCCCACCTTCAACCACCGCCCACCTCTCACCGCCGGCTGCCGTGGGCCGCCAGCCACAGTCTCCCACTGCTGGTCGCCCTCGTCTCGCCTTTGCCCTCCTCCCGTTGCCGACCGCCATCCTCCGCACTGGCCTCATCGCTGTCCGCCGCCGCCTCCCCCCGCCATCCACCGTCCGTTGCCACCGTCCGCTGCCCGCCATCCATTCTCCGGCCACTCGAGAGAGAAATTTTATACCGCTATCAAACAAATTTCTATTTCTGGAACATAAATTTTGTATCATTATCAAACGTGTTTTTTTGCTCAGAAACTCCTCTAGGAACAGAAATAGAAAAATCAATTTCTGGCCAGAAATTAATTTCTGAAACAGATTAATTGTCATTCGCAGCCTAAGAGTCTCCAGTTTCACAGAGCTGGAAGCTGTGCACCATAAGGGGTTCATAAACAGATTTGGACAGACTGAACCGGCTAGAAATCTTAGGGTTGTTCAGGTTTGAACAAAAGGAAATCGATTGTAAGCGGATATTTGAGTTGTTTCTAACCTATAGTAGTCATAACTTTACACTAATATGTCTACTAATAGCTTCAATTTAATAACAAAGCAAGTATCTATTTCTCCATGATGGAAATAAATAAATTGCTATAAGAGAAGTTCTAGCAAAGCTGCAACTATCCACAAAGACAATTTTCACATTGTGCTTCTGGAAAGACTATAAAGGTGATTGCACAACTGAAACTTAAATTTGGAACCTAAGTGTGTGTCCTTGAGACGCTTGTCCAAAGGGGATAAATGTGGCCATTTTGCACAAATCAAGAAAAAAAGGGAATTCAGACCTAGCATTGACCATTAGATGAGCCCGCCTAAGCTTGGGCCAGACCTACTATCAGGGTTAAGTTAGTCTTATCAAGCCTGCCCACGGAAAACCTTAAAAACCAATTATGAAAGTGCAGGCTTGGCCAGGCAAATCAATCTTCGCAGGATTGACCTATGAATCAAATTCAGACATATCCTTCATCTAGAACAAGCCCATTTGTTACATCAAGGGAAGTGAAAGCATAACAGCACGACTTGAGCAGAATGAACTCTTATTGATAAGAGAAAAGAGAACAAAGATGAAAAAGAAAAGGCTAAAAGTTACAAACAATGCATGAAAGTATCAACAGCAGCAATATATCAACTTGCTAACAAGTTTAAGCTAAGATAAGTAAGAACGCATGTGAAGAACTCAAGGAGAACTAAATCCCCCCAATAATGGGACACAAAGAAGTTGACCTTGAAGCCAGTTTTTTTGTACAATTTCTGAGCAGCCACATTATCAGCATTAACATGAACGTATAACTGCTTCATACCTGTAGCACCATCCAAACAAGGATGAAACTGTATATAACATACATAGTTTAGAGGTTGTAACTTCTATTGCTAGGATAGAATCATACCCGCCAAGTTTGCAATATCTGTGGCTAAATAAATCATATTAGATGCAATACCCTGGCACCGAGCAAACTTGGATACACAAACATTTGCAATATAAGCATACTTATGTGCATCGAAGGGCTCCTGATTTGCAAAGACTGTAGAAAATCTTTTCACCTCCTGGAAACCATAAGCAATGGCTACAGATGAGATTCCACTCCGAAGTAAAGTAGCAACTTATAAGGAGTGTCTTTCATGAAACTAGCTCTGTCATCTTATTTGAGATATTCAAGATCAAGATAACAGCTAGAAAAATCAGGTTGAGGGAAAAAGAATGAATACCCCTGGGTATGTTTCCCCTTGCATATACTGTCGAATACTAAGATCTAAAGTTCCAACGACACTACTTAGCACAGTTCTTCTCACATTTTTGTCTTCCTTCTTAACCTGCATGAGAGAACATAAGTAACAGACATAAGCAGTAACTTCGTTTACCAAGTTTTTGCAACTACTTTTTGACCTATTTCATTAAATAAGACACAGGGAGCAAATTTCAGTTGTTTACATAACTCTTGGACATTAGAAACTTCAAATCCTGTGCTACCATACGGATGTCCTGAGGTTTTGAGCCCCCAAAATTTCCAATATAGGAAAAGCCATGCAAAACTATAACTATGATGAACCATTGGTCAAATTGCCATAAGAATTTCACATTCACATTTGATAGATTGAAAATGCACAATAAGCGAATTAGAGTTTCCTTCCCACATGTAATACTGACTTTACAACCACGCTGTGCATGTACTCTTTTCAAACTAAACTAAGGTCTTGTTTGATAGACTAAAACAAAAACCAATATCAGATATGAATCAAATGCTAAATATTATTAGTTTCTCACCAAGTATGGAATTGTGAACAATATGGGTAAGTTTTAGCAACACAACTGGTAAGATTCTAGTTACCACCAAAAAATGGTTTCATCAAATGAATCATGTGACCATTTCAATTAAGTGATTTTTTACTTCAATATTTACTTAAGTTGCATGCAATTAAGCTGTCATCGAATGCACTTGATGATTTTAAGTGCAGACAATCTACAGTATTCAGAACTTAGTATGATTTTCAAACACACCCAAGTAAAAGCATCAAAGGGGACAAAATTCGATGACGTCCAGCCATGAATACTTAACAAGGCATGGCATTAGATTGAACACATTGCCTCTGATCAAGAGAGACTAACCATATGACGTCCAACATCTAGTATCTTCTTCAACTTGTAATCTTTTAGATGAGAAGACATATCTCTATTAAAATCGTTCTTCTCTCTCTTTTATCCATTTGCATGACTACTGTGTGAATATCATTTTACATCTCCAATGTAAAGGCTTCATATTGCAGCATACTCATGAAAAATCATTGATGAAAACAATATAAGATCAGGGGGTAAAAAAACATACCGTAACAAAACAAAAGCAGTTCAATGAATTTCCATCCTGCCCGAGGCATCTCCTCTTCAAAGCATAAAACTCCTGCCACATGCAAAGAAAAGATAAGAGTGACCTCATGAAAAAAATTGACAATATTGCATAAAGAAGCAAAGGTTAGCATTATCTACATCACCTTAAGGATGGACTAAACTAATTAAAACACAATTCAGGAATAGATCCATTACGAGAAATGTCATTTGAAAAGAAATTGCAAAAAACAAAGATCTCCTATATCGGAATTTGGGCAGATACTTATACATATATAGGGATATAGTTGATAGTCAGCATGAAGATAGATTTAGGAGTCTAGGAGCATAGGACCAATCGATACTATACCGCATGCCTCATATAGCTCAACTTTCAGTAGGCAATCTAGATTAACACATAACAACTCACCTGCTCCGCGTATGTTCTCTTATGATTGTCAATGTACCTGGAAAAGCAATTAATTACATCAAGCAATCAGCCAATTTGGATTCATCATTCAAGACATGGATGCCACTAGAAAATGACATTAGGCCACAAAAATGTATTCACAAGCCAGATGCAATGACACCTTAGTAGTAAAGAAACCGAAATTTAGAGCCACTGAACTGACCTCATATAGGACAGAGACTCCCAATGAGCTTCGGCTCGTAACCAGGCCGCTGTCTGCCAAGACATTCACACCCGACACAATCAAAACATAAATTGCACAAAAACAACAGATAAAAATGAAACAGCACCATCATATCTCACACACACACAAAAAAGAACACTAACCCAATATTCTTCATCCAAAACGGCTTCGCGGGCAACGAACCGCCCGAAGCTCCGCTTCAGCAACCCGCTGCATTCTTCGTCGCTCAGTTGCAACCGGTTAAAAGAGAGCTGAGGCATCCTGCTCGAAACATCGCCCTTCGAAACAGCTGGATGCTGTATGCTGTGCCCATTACCAATACCATTGTTGCTACTATTATGATCACAATGATGGGTTTCGATGGCCCTCCATTTGCTGAACGAAGCAGGGAACGTCTCCCTACGACCAACCCAATCCCAAAAAAATACATAAGAACAATCACCACCCAATTCGACCAAAAAAGCTCAAGTCAACGCATCGGACGAAACAGACAAAAAAGCAAAGCCTTTCATTTTCACAGCAAAGAACCGTAAGAATTCCTCCACCTACGAACCCGAATTGAGACCGGACGGAGAAGCGCTGGCCGCCGGGCCGAGCTTGAACCGGCCGGTTCCTCAGGACCTGGTGGGGGAAGGCCAGGAACTCCGGCGCCGACGTAAAGGAGACGCCTTTGCCCATCCTCGATTTCGAGGGGAGGAAAAGGAGGGAACTTTCAGGATTGGAGCAACTGGGTCGAGAGGGTACGGCGGGAATTCATGATGGGGAACCCAATTCGGAGAGTTCTGGTGCTCCTCGCGGGGCGCGGGCGCGAGACGGAGGCGAGACACGAGAGAGGAAAGTCTGCATCTTCGGCGTGGCGGCTCAGAGCGCAGAGAGAGAGAGAGAAGAGAGAGAAGATGGCAACAGTTGAGGAGATTGGATAATTTCTCTCTCTTCTTCTTCGTGTGTTTTTTTTTTTTATATATTTTTTCGTGTGGATAATACCGATGTCGTTTATTACGTGCTTGGGTCTAATCTTGAGTTCCAGGGGAAATTACCAGATTGCCCCTTTCGGTTTTTCCCCGCAATTACCGAACGTGTTCCTCTTTTTATTTCTGAATTTTGCTCGGGGGTTTGCAAAAAATAGACTCTAGATGGGTCCTTGTTTCCAATTTTTCCCAATTTAGGATGTGGCCGGTGAATTCAAATGAAATTTTTCGCTTTGAAAATTTATAAGATGAGTTCTCAACTTTACTCTTCATATATTAAGAACCTACAGCTGCCATCCCCACTTTTTACATCGAATTACAGCTCGTTGTTAGAATAATTAAATATTAAATCATATATTTATTAAATATCTCAAGCTTACTAAACAGTTGATAGTGATCTCACCAAATCTCACTTAGTATCAAGGTTGGAGGACTCGGATTCAAATCTTTCGAAGGCCCATTTGTCTCCCTAATTAAATATGTCCACGCTTAGTACTAGGTAAAAAAATTAAATTAGACCAAGTGTGAGCGATCGACATTTTCTTTCTCGAAGTACCCAATCCACAACATTGGATTTTACTTTTTGAATGTAGATTTTGGGTGCACATAAGATCAAAAAAGCCTTCTTGGTATTGTGTGGTTAGGCGCACTGGTCCAGGTTCGGGCGTACTTGGGATTGTGTGATTAGGCGCATTGGTCCAGATTCGATTCCCCAGCTGAGCACTTGTGATTTAACTGGGGGGCCATGGCGGTGGGTTGTTGTGCTAGTCTCCCCCGAGGAATAGTCGAGGTGCGCGCAAGCTGGCCCGGACACCTCGGTTACCAAAAAAAAAAAAAGCCTTCTTGGGTTAGAGATACAAACTGTAGGTTTTCAAATACGAAGAGGGCATTCGATAAATAGAGCAAAGTTGAGGTTATTTTTGTAATTATAACCTTTTGCTTTTCTTCCCAGTTTCAGGAGACACCGAAATTATCCATAAAATATTTTTATGCTACATCGAAAAATAGATAAAGCTATAAAATAGTCTCTTACAAAATGATAAAAAGTATAGCCCATAGATTTTTGTGTTGGACGGTTGAGAAAGCAAGAAGATCCATCACCCAAAAATGGGAGGTGGGTTAATAAGATGAATTCCTTGTGTTCTTTATTTGGATAAAGGATAATCCTAAGACAAATGTGCAATTGTGCACAATTCAAGATTGACCCATTTTCAGACTAAACAAACCAAACTCAAATCCAATCACATGTCCCCGTCATCTAGTACAATATAATGTAACTTATAAAGTCGAGTGCGACAGTTTCATATGTTTAGACCGACTTTTAAAATTGCGAAATTCAAAGAGTGATAATCATACTCGATTACTTTGATAGCACGTCATCCGTGCTGCTCTTGCACCAGCTTCGTGAATCTTTGACTACATGTCGAAGTACGGAGGCTCCTTGACTTTACAGAGATGACTTTGAGCTGAACCTGGATAGTGAGTGAAGCTACCCAAGAAAATGACTTGCGCCTCGAGGAACCAGGAATTTAGTTTCACTTCATGACTTTAGCAGAAGAGAGGGAGGACCAATTGCCCTCAAGCTCGATGCCGTCGGGAGCGATGCTCCCTCCCTTCAGGAAGCGCGAGTACCACTCGGCCGACAGCTTTGGGTACCTTCTCAGCTCGGGGTCATCCAAGTCCACGTAGTACAGGCCGTAGCCTGTCCGGAACCCGTCCAACAGCTCAAACACATCTAGGAAGGACCATGTGAAGTAGCCTTTGGCATTAGAACCATTCCTACACAGGCCACAGAAAAACGGAAAGGTCAGAAAAAACATGCACATTCAAGTTGCGGGGTTACGGTGTCGGGGCTGATGCACATAGGATGTGTACCTCACTGTATCCAGCAGGACACTGATGTGCTCTTGCAGATATTGAATTCTCGGCCAGTCTTCAAGAGACGCGTTTCGCTGCATCCTTTGACCTACAAAGAGACAACCGAAAGTTCTTGCTCGTGTTAACCACATTCCAGGAAAAGGAACTGTAATCTGAAAACCTGAGTAGAATGTCGAAACGATACGATTTCTTTATCTCTCAGTGAACGACCACTTTTCCCTTTTCTCTCCTTGGTTAACTACTCCGATCGGTCAAACTAGTCTCCTCGAACGAGACACCAACAGTATAATTCAGGACACTTCTTGATTGAAGTTTATAGACTCGAGACTTGCTTGACAATGTGCTTATGTGCATTCGAATTCGATTTTTCGACTGTGAAAAGAAAGATCTCCTAGTCTGAACTAGTGTGCTCATATTGCGTTCAAACATCTAGTTGGAAGTCCACATCATATTTGAACTGCCGAGAGAGAGAGAGAGAGAGAGAGAGAGAGAGAGAGAGAGAGAGAGAGAGAGAGAGAGAGAGAGAGAGAGAGAGAGAGAGAGAGAGAGAGAGAGAGAGAGAGAGAGACCGTTTTCATGGATGAAAATGGGAGGGTTTCCATAATTTTGCTTGAATAATTCCAGCACGCCTTGTAGACCCCATGGAGTAAGTGGAATCTGAAAAGAATTGCTTCAGCAATTTCATTTTCTTCTCAATAAAGTTAACTTATAATTCACTGCAGCGATAAACTCTTACCTCAGACGAAGGTAATGGCGTGTACTTAGATGATGCATTTTCCTGCATAGCTGCCATGGACGAAAAGTCAGCCACTAGACTCTTGAGTAGATGAGAAGTTCTCGAGAAAATGTGGCAAGTAAAACGTTCCTAATACAATCTAGCATTGTGAAGAAATGTTTTACTAAATTAAATGTCGTCTAGCATTGTGTACTTAGATGATGCATTTTCCTGCATAGCTGCCATGGACGAAAAGTCAGCCACTAGACTGTTGAGTAGATGAGAAGTTCTTGAGAAAATGTGGCAAGTAAAACGTTCCTAATACAATCTAGCATTGTGAAGAAATGTTTTACTAAATTAAATGCCGTCTAGCATGTGATGGCCATTAATAACTAAACTGCAATGCTAAAAGCAATACGAGATCGCGATACTAAGTTTAAACAAAGTCACGGTCAATATTGAATAGGTAAAAGAGCACATACATTTCCAGTCCATAGCCATGTCAGCCTTATAGTCCCTCGGTTCGATGTTCAGGCTTTCTGGATTGTCCTTGACATAGCTAGCGCTGTAGAAATTGACCGCAAAGAAATCATATGAACCCTTGACTCTTTGAGATTCGAGAGCAGTGAAGGAAGGGAGTCTTGATCCTGCATTCTTCTTCATCACCTCGGGATAGTCCCCACGCACCAGCGGTTCCACGAACCTGCAACAAAGATGACGCCCAAAACTCGGTTTCACTTTCTAGTGAATTACAACTTGAAACTGACGAGTGACCTTTGCAGAAGAAAATTAAAATCTAAGGTAAACCATAGGGCAGGTTCAGAGTTACTTAACAAACAAGACATTCTTAAGCAAGATTGATTTCCCAAGATTTCCGTAGACAATTGTCAGTAAAGTAATTGTGAGGTCAAAAACCCGGTTCAAGTTATATTGATTTCAAAGGGAGGAAGATACAGATCACGTGTATATCGATCACTCACCAACCCAAGAAAAAGTCATTGGCCCTTTGAGTTGCAATGACATCTTCCGTTCTGTTTGTGCAAGGAACAAAGTAGAAACTCAGGAGGTTGAGCCCCATGTATCCCTTCTGTATGCTCTGTAATACGGAGGAACAGAAATGGTCATTCGGCATGATATATCATCTGTTTTCACTTTGTTCTCCTTAACATGATGAAAGAAAGGAAACCTGCATTCTGTTGCCAGCACAAAATCTCAGAGTGAATTAAACTACAACGTATAGGTTGAAAGCAGGGTTCTGTTACTGAGGTCGACTTAGTGGAAGTTCCCTAACAATAATCAATCAACTGCCTGAAAAAAAAAGAAAAGAACACAAAAACTTTTACCTGGTATTTTTTTTGATACAGTCTAGCGGCTGATGCATGTGACAATATGATATTGTGAGCTGCCAAGTATGGTTCCAATGACGAATCTCCTCTGGTGCAGTTAAAGTATCCAAATGGAGAAGAACAACGATTCGGCGGCAGGAATCCGAGATCATAACCAGCCATCGTGAAAATATTGGCCTCGTTGAAGGTTGTCCAGTATTTAACTCTGTCCCCGAACATTCTGAAACATATATCTGCATATTCCATGAAATCTTTCCTGCATCAACAGGAATTGGTCCGGTGATGGCAATGATTCCTCGTACCGGTGCTTCATATGACGGAGCTGTAATTGAAGGAAAAAGAAGAAAATAAAGGAAGTCGATGGGATTAGCGATCTTACACAATTTTTCGACTTATCCATCCTCCATACTCATCTTCAAGAGCCTGTGGCAGATCAAAATGGTGTATTGTCACGTGTGGTTCAATCCCTATATGTGAAAATTAATTCGTTACCGTCCATTGGAGGTAGTTCCTTCTCTTATATAAAGGAAAACTGCATAAAAAATGGGGCATAAAATATCATTAGTATGCGCATAACAAGCTTTGACTATCACCATGGCTGATTAGTTCATTGATGAGGTCATTGTAGTATTGCAATCCCTTCAGATTCACAGAGCCTCTCCCATCTAAAAGAAGAAATACGATCATATCGCAGAAGAGATCAGAAACGGATGCACCATTTGGAATAGAAAAGGCTACAGTTAATGGGTGTTTGCTCATACTTGGAATGAGCCTCGACCATGAGATGGAAAACCGGTAGGCGTCTAAGCCCATTTCTGCCATGAGTTGGACATCTTCCTGCATCATAGTGATCAAATAGGATTGAGGGATGGTGGTTTAATCTCAAATTGAAGAAAATTTAGGTTAGTTGGTCACTACTCATGACGACTATCTACTGTAGTGAGAAAATACTGGATATCAAATTGTAATGAGATGACCAGTGATTACCTTGTATTTGTGATATTGATCACACGCAATATCTCCATTGGCTCCGCCTGTAATCACTGCCAGATGGAAAACCAGATAATTAGCAGAACTAAAAGCATACGCATGAATTTATGCCTGCTTAGTAATGAATTTTCGAGCTTTTAGCAATGACAACATGGAACCTGCTTACAGAATCATGACAACTATTTTACTTTCACTGCTTTTCAACGCTTTAAGAAATTCAGCTGCTTTACATGTCTGGCCTTGTCCGTAAGGACTTCAAAGTTTGGTTGGACTCCACCAAACCGAAGCATAAAACCAACTTAAAAGATAATTCATGTGCCGAAGACTCGCCAAGCCATAGCCCGCCGTTTCAGGAGTTTTTTATCAGAAAACACAACTATTCTCAAGTCCCATAAAACAGTCGAGGCCATGATTCCACTCTACTGTTCAGTGTTCAAACTTTAAATATCAACCTGAAATGTTTTCAACTTGCTAAAAGCTGAGCTCAGTCGAGTACTTTTTCTTGAACAATCAAGAAATTTCATTGACATGACAAAATATTATCAAGGTAAGAGGGTCATGGGCAAGCTTATCAGCCAAGGCTCTTGGTGCAATGGCAAACCCACAATCATTTTTCAGAACCCAAGTTGACCATAACAACAATTTGGCAGCACTTTATTTTCTCCGGACCTCCCCTGGAGGCCTGGAGTGAAATTTCCCAAGAAGATCATTCAAAATATTTTCCTGCCCATATTTAAGATATAAGAAAAATAAGAACTACCATGAAAATAAAGGAGAAGTACTCTAACCTAAAAAAAACCAACATTTTTTATGTTAATGTTCATGTAAATGAAGATCGTCATATGAATTAACAGAAAGATCAAATATCTTAAATGAATCAAACAAGAAAGAGACTAGCCTGAGTCAGAGTGGGCCCAGGTATCCATTATACTCGGAGTCCTCCCATCCTCATTTGCTGCTCCTTCAACCTTCCAAATTCCACAGCTTCAATCAAACTCCACTCTCTCTCTCTCTCTCTACACACACATACACATTGAAACAGAGTGAGCAAGCACAGACCTGATAAGCTGAAGTGGCAGCACCAAACACAAAGCCAGGAGGGAAGTCATATCTGGTGAACTCATCAGCACCAGAGACAATCTCTGCCTTCACCAGACTCGCCACCAAAAGCTGCAACAAGAAACCCAATTTCTTCATCATCATCTCCGTCCTGTATCTGGGTCTCCTTCAGAGATTACAGTCACATCACCACAGGCACATGTATCACCTACGTGGTGCCTCTCTTCCCTGGTTATAGCATCTATTATTCCCTTTCCGTTTCTTTTTCTTTTTTGGAGATTTTGTTTTGTAGTGCAGAAAAGGAATCACCAAAATGAGAGGTCGAAAAGGGAAGCGACGGATTTGAATTGCAGGACAGAGAGAGATGCTTGTCATGATTGATCTGGATTTTCTTGGTCTTTTTTGTCAAAGGCCACGTTGGACTTGGACGTATTTGTTGCTCCATCAGGCCTCGTGTCTTGGAAATTTTGCGCATTCTGTTTTGGCTCCATGCATATATATATTAAGGTTAATACCACGAAAAACACTACGTTGATAAATCTATGATAAATTTATCCTAAATTATTTTTTTATTACAAAAAACTTCAAACTAATACACCTGTTTCAATTTTACCCCGACCTATTTTTTTAACCACCAAAAACCCCACACTAGTACATCTGTGACAATTTTACCCCGAACTAATTTTTTGACCGTCAAAAACCCCAAACTAGTACACCTATGATAAATTTACTCTCCGTTAATTTTCATTAAATTTTGCTATCGAATTGCTAAGTTTGATAATACGTGTTAGTTGACGGGTGTACAAGTTTTGTGTTTAACCCCTCTGTTTGTCACAAGTTTACCAATTTGTGATTTTTCATGATATTAATCAAATTTAACGGATATTAACGGAGGGCAAATTTATCATAAATATACCAGTTTGAGGTTTCTCGTGATCAAAATCAGTTTGGAGTAAAATTATCACAGATGTACCAGTTTGGGATTTTTTGTGGTCAAAAAATTTATTCGGTGTAATATTGTCATAAGCATATCAGTGTAGGATTTTTCGTGATATTAACCCTCTACATTAATAATATTAATTGCCACGTTTTCTTTCCTTATAGCAGCAGAGGAAAATACTTGGTCACTTCTGGTCTCTGTTTTTGTTCGTACAGTAGGGAAACTCTTTGGCTAAATCACAGCCGTCCATAATGGACTCGGGGAGCCCCGCGGCGCATCCACGGCTTTAGTTGAAGCAACGTCATGCATATTTTTGCTTAGTGATTCCCGATATTCTTCTTCACCATCAGCGTGGAACGCTAGAAAATTGCCCGGAACTACGACAAGACAATGTTACTCAAAGAGGGAGGGAGATGATGTGAATAAATTTAAGCATGACGAGGCATGAGGACGATTAACTTGGAATCTAATACGGTTTCGACACATTTCAGACATAGATAAAGATGCAAAACGACACGAATATAATGATACAAAACCACTCGATGGCCCTACCAAAACATTGCAAAGCAATTCTTTTATGTACATTTATCTATTTTCCATTTGCTTAGATTGTTTTTTAGAATCGCGAAATTCAAAGAGTTGGAATCACACTCCATTACTTTGATACCATGTCGTCTGCGCCATGCTCGCATCGGCTCCGTGAATCTTCTCGACAACACGTCGAAGTACGTATGAAGAAAATACTGGACAAAAGAGAGTACATCTGCAGGCTCTTGACTTTATAGCGACGACGCCGAGCTGAAAACCTGGATAGTGAGTGAAGCTACCCAAGAAAATGACTCGCAGCTCAAGGAACCAGGAATTTAATTTCGCTTCATGACTTGAGCAGAAGAGAGAGAGAGGACCAATTGCCCTTGAGCTCGATGCCGCCATCGGGAGTGATGCTCCCTCCCTTCAGGAAGCGTGAGTACCACTTGGCCGAGAGCTTCGGGTACCTTCTCAGCTCGGGGTCGTCCAAGTCCACATAGTACAGGCCGTAGCCCGATTGGTACCCGTCCAACAGCTCGAACACATCTAGGAGGGACCATGTGAAGTAGCCTTTGGCATTAGAACCATTCCTTCACAGGCCAAAGGGAAAAAGAAAGGTCAGAAAAATATGCACATTTGAGTTGGGGGGTAACGGTTGGTCAATGCACGGAGGATGTGTACCTCACTGTATCCAGCAGGACACTGATATGCTCTTGCAAACATTGAATTCTCGGCCAGTCTTCAAGCGACTTGTTTCGCTGCATCCTTTGACCTGCAAAAAGACAACCGAAAGTTCCCGCTCATGTAACCACATTCCAGGAAAAGAAATTGTAATCCGGAAACCTGAGTAGAATGTCGAAACGATATGATTCCTTATTCTTACAGTAAACAACGACTTCACCCTTTTTTCTCCTTGGTTAACTCTTCTATCGAACTAGTCTCCTTGAACAATGCTCTGACAAGATAATTTAGGACGTGTCTTGATTGAAGTTGATAGACTCGAGACTTGACTGTTTGCTATATATATTTTAACTCAACTTATCGACTATGAAAAGAAAGATTCCTAGTCTGAACTGGTGTGCTCATATAGCATTCAAACATTAAGTTGGAAGCTGGACGTCAACATCATATCTGAACTGCCCAGAGAGAGAGAGAGAGAGAGAGAGAGAGACCGTTTTCATGGATGAAAATGGGAGGGTTTCCATAATTTTGCTTGAATAACTCCAGCACGCCTTGCAGACCCCATGGAGTAAGCGGAAACTGAAACAAATGCGTCAGCTATTTCACTTCTCAATAAGGTTTACTGATCGTTCACTGCACCAATTTATTCTTACCTCAAACGAGGGTAATGATCTATTCGTAGATGATGCATTTCCTTGGGTAACTGCCATGGACGAAGAAGTCAGCCACTAGACTCTAGAGTAGATGAGACGTTTTCAAGTAAATTTGTGGCAAGTAAAATGTTCCTGATGCAATCAATAATTCTCAAGAAGCATTACTAAATTAAATGTGGTTTAGCATGCGTTAAACGGCCATTTATAAGTAAACCGTGATGCTAAAAGCAATATGAGATCGAGAGGCTAAGTTCAGACAAAGTCGGCACTACGGGTGAAGATTGAATAGGTAAAAGAGCACATACATTTCCAGTCTATAGCCATGTCTGCCTTATAGTCCCTCGGTTCGATGGTCAGACTTTCTGGATTGTCCTTGACATAGGTAGCGCTGTAGAAATTGACTGCAAAGAAATCATATGAACCCTTGACTCTTTGAGATTCGAGAGCAGTGAAGGAAGGGAGTCTTGATCCTGCATTCTTCTTCATCACCTCAGGATAGTCCCCATGCACCAGCGGTTCCACAAACCTGCAACAAAGATAACACACAATACTTGGTTTCAATTTCTAGTGGATTACAACTTCAAACTGAGGAATTACTCTCCAGAATAAAAACAAAGGTAAACTGTCTGGCAGGTTCAAAATTACTTAACAAACTAGACATTCTCAAACAAAATTAATATCCCAAGATTTCCATAGATAATTCTCAGTGAAGCAATCGAGAGGTCAAACACCCGGCTCGAGTTAGATTGATTTCAAAGGGAAGAAGATACAGATCACATGTATATCGATCACTCACCAACCAATGAAAAAGTCATTGGTCCTTTGAGCTGCGATGACGTCTTCCGTTTTGTTTGAGAAAGGAACAGAGTAGAAACTCAGAAGGTTGAGCCCTACGTATCCCTTCTGTGTGTTCTGCAATACACAGAAACAGAAAAATGATCAGTAGGCGCGATATATTATCTGTTTTTACTGGGTTCTCCTTAACATTATGAGAGAAACGAAACCTGTCATATGTTGCCAGCACATAATCTCACAGTTTACATCGTATAGGCTGAAACCTAAAGCAGGATTCTTTTACTGAGGTTGACTTAGGGGAAGTTCCCCTAATATTAAATCAGTCAACTGCGCAAAAAGAAAAAAAATGGACACAAAAACTGTTACCTGGTATTTTTTCCGATACAGTCTAGTGGCCAATGCATGTGATAATAAGATATTGTGAGCTGCCAAGTATGGTTCCAATGACGAATCTCCTCTGGTGCAGTTAAAGTACCCAAATGGAGAAGAACAACGAGTCGGCGGCAGGAATCCGAGGTCATAACCAGCCATTGAGAAAATATTGGCCTCGTTGACGGTTGTCCAGTATTTAACTCTGTCTCCGAATACTTTGTAACATACATCAGCATATTCCACAAAATCTTTCCTGCATTGACATGAATTGGTCCGGTGATGGTAACGATTCCTCTTACTGGCGATTCATATGATGGAGCTGTAATCTAAGGAAAAGAAGAAAATACAAGAAGTCAATGGGATAATGATCTTACACAATTTTTCGACTTATCCATCCTCCATACTCGTCTTCAAGAGCCTGTGGCAGATCAAAATGGTGTAGGGTCACGTGTGGTTCAATCCCTGCATGTGAAAATTATTTCGTTACCATCCATTTGAGGTAGTTCCTTCTCTAATATACAGGAAAGCTGCATAAAAAATGGGGCATAAGATAACATTAGTATGCGTATAACGAGCTTTGGCTATCACCATGGATGATTAGTTCATTGATGAGGTTGTTGTAGTACTGCAATCCCTTTGGATTCACAGATCCTCTCCCATCTAAAAGAATAAATACGATCAAATGGCAGAAGAGATAAGAAACAGATGCACCATTTGGAATAGAAAAGCTACAGTTCATGGGTGTTTGGCCATACTTGGAATGAGCCTCGACCATGAGATGGAAAACCGGTAGGCGTCTAAGCCCATTTCTGCCATGAGTTGGACATCTTCCTGCATCACATACATCAAAACAAATTTGTGGGATGGTGGGTTAATCCAAAATGAAGTGAATCTAAGTTAGTTGTTTACCCCTCATGATTACTATCTATCAGTAGTGAGAAAATACCAGGTATCAAATTGTAACGAGATGACTGGTAAGTACCTTGTATTTGTGATATTGATCACAGGCAATATCTCCATTAGCTCCGCTTGTAATCCCTGCAAGATGGAAAACCAGATAATTACCAGAACTAAAACCACAAAACCCACATATTATGCCCGCTTAGTAATGAATTTTCGAGATTTTAGCAATGAAAAAATGGAACCTGCTCACAGAATCATGACAACTATTTTACTTTTCCCTGCTTTTAAACGCTTTAAGAAATTTAGGTACTTTAGAAGCCCGGCCTCGTTGATAAGGACTTCAAAGTTCGGTCAGACTCCACCAAACTGAAGCATAAAACTAACAAGAAAATTCATGTGCCCAAGACTCGACTTTTCTCAAGTCCCACAAGACAGTCTAGTACAAGATTCCACTCTACTGTTCAGTGTTCAAACTTCAAATATCAACCTGAAAT